GAGAAGTGTAATGGGACTGGGGCTGGAACTGGACCTGGATGTGGGTACTCGTTAGGTGGGAGGTCATGCGATGGAGACAGACCAGAGAAAACACTCACCACTGGGCGGCGGCATCGGCTTTGGCACTCGCATCACAATCGACTTCTCTTCGCCGGCCTCAAACTGCCCCATTTGATCGTCCTCCTCCATGCTGTGAGGAAACATACATACATATGTACTTTTTTCATTACATAACGTTAAAGAGCCCAAAAGTGTCTCAGACACAGGCACAACACACACAGATAGATGGGCATCTGGGGCAACCTACTTGCGCAGCAGGAAATGTATCTTCTTGGGCGAGGCGTTGATTTTCTCGTGTGCCTGGGTCAGAGTCAGCTGCGTGACGTCCTCTTCGTTTATCTCGAGTATAATATCGCCCAGACGTATGCCCGCCTTGTCAGCCAGACCATCTGGTGTAACCTGCGAAATCGGGTTAAGGATTGATAATTAAACTGTCCAAAAGTCCCATCACATTCCGCTGATCACATGAAACACACACTTAAACCGTGCGATACGACTGTCGGGGCGCAATTGACCAGAATACTGCGTATCTCTGGTTTAGGTTGGGCAGATATACACGATATTAGATCGACAGATGCAAATGACATGTATGTACATAGTACTGTACTATACACACTCGTATGTTTATGAAATGTCTGCTCTCAAAAAGCAACACCCAGACAAACAAAGGAAATCGAAAGCAAAGCAAAAACGATGCGCCTCTTGAGGATATAACTTATTCGACTTGGGGAGTACCATGGGCAAATTTCTGCATGAGATTACCCACTCTAGAAAATACATGTTGCATGTTTTGGGAATATCTTACGAATTTGAATAGGTGCAAACTATAGATATTGCAAACTTTGAGACCATAAAACTAAATGGAAGATTCGTTTATTTTGATATTAAAATATTTTTTTCCATCAAATCTGCTATGGTAATGTGTTTGTTTTACTCCTTCCTAGAACAAATATAATATACATTACTAACTCCAATCTTAATGTTTATGTTCTATGTATTATGCATTTTTAGGTCCAATATGCATTAATATACATGTTATACGATTTACTTATTTTTTTATTAATTAATTAAAAATGTTGACTTTTTCATTCATATGAAACGGTTTTTTTTAATCATCCTAACTACATTTTCCTTTGACTTTTCTATAAGTTGCTCAAACAGTAACAGCAAACAACACAATTGTATTTTTTTTTTTTCTATCTCTGATAATATATTATATTCCCACACAAAACTACAAAAAAAAAAGAAGAGTCTAGTTTTTTATTTTTTAATTAAATTTCTTTTATGTTATTATATTAATGTTTGTTCTATATTTTTTCATTATATTTTTTCTTTTAGTTTTCCTATGAGGAAATCCTTAGTGTGGGACTATGGAAGAAGTAACACACCTCCAAAATGGTTCAGCATACCCTCCCACTTGCTGGCCCATTTTTAAAATGTTTTTCAAACAAAACAAAAAAATTATTTTTGTTCTTTTAAGCCAAACGCGAAACGTCAAAAGTAAAATGTGGCAATACAAATAGTTTTGTTGGGCTATCTACAGTACAGTGCGTTTCATAGCTGTAGGATAAACAATGCAATATTCGAAATCATAAGAGAAGTCAGCAGTCGGTGAATATATTAGTATATATCTCAGATACAAAACTTTTTTAATTTATTTATTGGACTGAAACGCAATGCACATATTTATGTTCATGAGTGCAATATGTGGAATAATAGGCGCCTTTTGTTAACCCAAATATTGTACATTCACTTGACTCAAGTGAGCCAAAAAGAGGCGGCGTGGCGGCCCCAAACGTCATGGCACGGCATCCGCTGCAGATGCCCCCAAAACACAGATCGAACGTGGATCGCGGGGAGAAACAATAAAATGTGCCTTTCTTTTAGGCGGCAGCCATCCAATTTACGTTGGAAGTGACTTCGTCATGGCTTAATTTGAATCAAATTTCGACTTCGAGTTTCGCTTTTTGGCACTCGACCAAAAAATATCGACAACAACAATGAAAGCTACCTTCGAATGAACGAGGTCATTGATACCCTTGCCAATCGCTCGTTCCTACTGAATCCACATGTTATCTGAGCTATAAAGAAATAATATATGAAACTAAAGCGTTCTGAATTTTGGTTAGAGCAAAATAACTGTGCCTGCAAGGACTGACTGATTGTTGCGATTTTGAAGGTTCCAAATGAAATGTATTCAAAACTGCCGGGCTAGTTTTCATGTCGACTACGCTCTCTTCTCTGTTTTGTGAGCATTTGGCGAAATCATAATACCCTCTGCAAAGGGTACTCGTGTAATAACAGACCCGCAATTGCAGCTGTTGCAGAACTATCAAGAGGCAGATGGTAGGGCTCCCAGACTGTGCCCATCCACTGTGACCCACTCACCTGGAAGACTGTTAGCGGCATGTGAAACTCGGCGCCGCCGGTTACCAGGAAACCCCATTTGGTGTCGTCCTTGGAGGCATACGCATCCGAATCGACATCGAAGGCGGGAAAGGCATCTGTGTCGCCGATGCCGCAGGACATCTTGATAATGGGCGCATTCTTCTTTGTCTCCGGCGTCGACCACTGGAGACCCAGTTGCTCCGGCATTGCTTCCTTTTGTTCTCTTCCCTCTGTCTCTCTCTCTCTCTCACACTTTTCGCAGTCGCTGCCACTCTCTTCCTCGTGCTGCTGATTTTATTTATAAATTTTTGTGCTTGCTCTTGCTTGCGGCGCTTCTTCTCTTGTCTATTCTCTCGTTTGCTCTTTTGCTTGTGAAAACTTTTAACGTTGTTCTTTTTGCTTGCTTGTTTTCGTTTTCCTGTCAAAATTTCACCCGTGCAAAAATATTATTTGTATTTGTGGCTTGCCGGCTTTTCAACGAGCGTCTGGCAGAAGGATTTTTCCACGCTCGCTGGTTGTATGGAAGGTTCGTAGAATCAACTTTCAATCTTGGCCAATATTGCGAGTTATATAACCAGCAGAGCAGACTGAACGGATTGTGCAATTTCGGATTTCGATTTGAATGGAAATTGAAATTGCAATGGAAATCGCTGCCGGCAGAATGCTTTAGCCCGCCGGATACTACCGGAATGACTGCCCCTTGGCCGATAATTATGAAAAATGTATTCACACTTTCGCCTTCCTCTTCCCGCTGGGCTCCCCGGTCCTCCGTCTTTCGCTCTGGTTTCTCCGTAACTTCCACACGACTGCACTCGACGACTCGGGCAACTAAAATAATTTTCGAGAAGTTTTCCTTTGTGCCTGCATTCACGTTTTTTTGTTCTTCATTCTTTATGTCTGCCGCCGCCGCTTGCCAGCCTCTCCCCTCTACTATATTTCACTTAGTTTTTCCCGCCTCTCTCTCTCTGACTCTGCCCCTACCTCTGCCTTTCTGCTGCGTGGCTGGGATGCCGTTCTTGCCTCCCGATGTGTTGCACTTTTTGCCGAGCTCTTTGTCTACACTTTTTACCCGCAGATTATATGTACATCTGTTGCAGAACTATGCGAACATCCAATTTGTGTGTAGAATGTGAGGGTAACAGTTATTTAATTGAATCCCCAACAGACTTGCGGGCCTTGGGCGCTGGCTGATGATAGAAGAAACAGTATAAATCGGTACATGTCGATCGGCAGCTGGGCACCATACCCTCTTGCTCCCCTCCAGCATACTGAGCGAGTACTGAGTAAACATATTCAAAAGAAAGTGTTTTAGCTTACATTTTGCGCAAGCATAGTAATCAAATAAAAAGTATCAAATACAAAAGAAAGCTTACAACTGACCTTCATATAGAAGTATTCTAAATTTAAAATATTTCATATTTAAATTAAATATTTTTATATGTAGATTAAAACTATTACATGCAAATTTTATATACTAATTTATGTTAAATTGTTTTACACTTAGATTCATTTTTGACCGTCTTAAAAAGACTTATTAACACATTTATGTGTAAATTAAAGATAATTCTATGTATTTCATCTCACTTAATCACCGAATTTATGCCATATTTAAATATGGCTGTGTCTATTTTTAATATGCAACTTATCTCTGAGTGTATGCAAAATAAAAATAAGAACTTATAATTGGAGATAGATAATTAAATTTTTGCATTACAAAAATCAAATTTTAATAATTGCCTGCGACGTGCCAGAGCTCTACAAAGAAACATATGGATGTCATTCTGATGGGAAATTTGATTATGAGCAAAATAGTTTCGCCACAAGATTGGCAGAGCGAAAACGGACTGGAAGCGAGCAGAACAGAACGTGACTTATCAACCGAAACGTGAATACCAAAAGGAACTACAGCAATGGACACTGAGAAACAGGAGACAGGCAGGCCTGACAAAAGGATGATGCCAAAAGAAAAATGGCAACAGAAGAGCAACATTTTCAATGAGTCCAAACACCAAGTACACAAGACAAATCTAAATTCATGGAAAGAATACTTCCACCATACGCAAACGAGAAAACTTACTTCAGAAAGAAGCGAAGGGAAGCCGAACCGAAGCGTCAGATACCCTCGCAGATCTCTTTTTCCACTAACAACTGAACAATAGACGCCTCGGAGATCAGATCTTGACAGCTTTCAGCACGCAGGAAGGATGAGCCAACTGGGGAGCAAGTTTTTATATAAATTCTCAGACAGATGAAAAGAAAAAACTGTCAGAGACATAGCAGCACGACTTTTGCTGGTGATCCAGAATACATAAGTATTGAAAAATGCATGCTTCTTTGCGCTGCCAATATCTGTGCAAAGAAGTCCCAATACCCTCTTCAAGGGTAGAAACACCGACACAAATACAAGGCCCTTATCAGACTGGCACATCGCATCATCGCCACTGAGCTGCGACGACATTGACGGCGTTGTCTTGATAAGAGCGGGAGCAGGCGCTGATAAGGTGCTCCCCACAGCCGAAGAAGGCGAAAGTAGGGTAGGGAAACGTCAAAAGTTGAGAACGCCTGTTCGGGGCTTTTTCTAGTTTATTTAAATCTACTTTATGTTTAATGTGAGGGCTCATTCGATGTAGGTTGTCTCGTTGGCCTCCTTGGAGCTCACCTCCATCACCTCGCATCCTTGGGCGTAGTCCTCAATGCTGGTGTTGTCCGGTGGAGTGATGGCAGGCACAGGTCCATCCTCTTTCTCAGCCTGACTGTCTTGATGAAGAGGATCCTCATCATCATCCACAATCTCAGCGCTGTGCGAGTCCTTGATGGCCTGACGTCTTCTCCTGTTGGCTTTCTCCGGCTCAGGCTGCTCCTTCTTCTTCAACTCCTCGGAGGATTCCCCCGAGCTATCCGTCTTGGCTTTGGCTTTTTCCTTGTCATTTCCATGTTCCTCCGAGGAGCTGCTGGCGTCCTTGCCAGCCGCCTCTGTGGATCTTCTTTTCCTCTGTTCTGCTTGTTCCGGTTCAGCCTGTGCCGGCTGCTGCTCCTTCTTTTTTAACTCCTCGGAAGATTCGCCGGAGCTGTCCGCCTTGGCTTCGGCCTTGTCCTTGTCCTTTCCATGCTCCTCCGAGGAGCTGCTGGCGTCCTTGGCAGCCGCTTCAGGCGATCGCTTAACGACAGTCTTCGGACCACTGCTCTCGTTGCTGTCCCAACCCGTACTCAATATCTCATCGCCCTCCACACTCTCTGCCAGCTCCTTCTCCAACTCCATCTCCATCTCACTCTGCAGGCTGGATCCCCTCTCGGCGGACTCCTCTACACTCAGGGGCAGGGCAACTGCCGCACTAAGGACGAGGGCCGCCAGCGACAGGAGCAGCAAGGATTGCTGCATTGTGAATTACCTTATAATCCGCTATCGATATTCAGAAACAAATTTTGCCTCTTTGCCTCCAGATCTCTGTATTTGAACCTCGCGCTGCCAGTTGTGTTTTCCCACTAACTGTGGGTGCCCTGTAAGGTTTCCCACGAAACCTCAACAAATTTATTATCGCCTCGAATCCGATTGTCCGTCTTAAATGTAATTAAAGCATCCATCAAGCAAGTCGTGCCTGATAACGGCCCCAGCCATTGGCACAGTCATCCCCGTCTATAAGTAGAGCTGCTGCAATGTGCCAATAGATTGCCTTCCCGTCGAACATTCACTCTTCCCTTTGCAGACTGCGCAATTGCCGGATTGTGCCAATTGCGATTTCAGACCGGGTCTGGACTGGCTTGCATAATTCATAAAAACAAATTGAGGGGATGGGGACCCGTAAACAGAATCTAACTGATAAGCCCGCGCTCTGAGAACGAGAGCCGAGACCAGCTCAGATGCGGATCATCAGAAGATCAGGCCGAGGCGTAATTTGTAATTATCGACGCGTTCCCAGAAATAAAAGCAAAACACTGCACAAATACTCGTATATGTACGTACATACATACATATGTATATGGAAATCGCTGTACACGCAACCCGTAACTGGTCACAATTGGCGGTGGCCTGCTGACGAAATAAATTATACTTTCGGAAAGCGGAACGTGACGACGCGCCTTGAGAGACCTCTCAAGTTCAAGTATACACAAGACGCCGAATCTTTTCTGGGCTGAGTTGAGACGAAAATATCTTTTAAGGCGTACAAACAACAGAGCGAAAGGACTATTCACAAGTCCTGAATCGCATTTTAAGACAGGACGTGAGCGGCCTATCGAATCCATATGGGAGGCCTGACGAATGTCCACCGCAATTATTTCGTGCCTACTGTTTACTCGACTATTAAAGGACGATAAACCATTTTATTCCCGTTCACGTTCACCTGAAGCCGTCATTAAAGTAGGCGCGGCTAAATAAGCGCCTTGAATGAAATGGAAGACAAATTTATTGAGCACCATCCAAGGGGACTCGATTGGCCCTGACGGAGAGGAGTCCTCCACCCCGCAAAGTTCTTTAACGACCCCGCCAGAACAGGCTTATTGAATATGATTCCCAGATGGCCTCGGCACATCAAAGGCAGCGCGAGGCAAGCAAGAAAAAAGCCTCTCCTGTCGTCTCTTATGCTTAATTTAAGTGAATTTTGGATTCGCTGAATCAGTCTGCTACCCGCACCACCTCCTACAATACTCACAAAATAATAAAAAGAAAAGTATTAAGAGCTGAAATCCACTCCAAGTGCGGCAGTATTTTCTATGCAAATTACTCTTTTCAACACTGCAGAACTTTATGCAAATCCAAGGCAGGCACCTGATGCCGCAACAAAAAAAATAAAACACAAAAAGAAAAAAAAAGAAAAAACAAACAACATAGATGTGCCACTCGCCTCGTAACATTTTGTCATATATATTAAAAATTTATCAATGTCATAAAGTTTGCCCCACAATCACACGGGCGCGAGCAAAAGGAACGATCAATCAAATTTAAAGCAGTCCCAAAAGGATACCACAAATGGGACACCAAAATATGAAGCGGGAATGATAAAAAAAAAAGCTTTAAATTAAAGATATGTGGAGAGGCGGCAGAGAAATTAAAATTATATGCCATGCTCTGAATTTTGAACTTAAATGTAAAATGTAACTAATCGGCGAAATCGAAGTAGCGCCACTATATTTAGCAGCGGACGTTTCATGAACTAAAAACGATCGATTGCATTCACTAAGAGTCTCGCTGCTGGGGAATTCGTGTAGAATGTATGTAGAATTATGTAGATATGTATTCCTGATCTTCATCAATAAGGGCTCGTGCACACTATAGCTGAAAGCGGAGCTGAAATCGACGCTGAAATCAGAGCTGAAAGCCCAGCTGATCTCAGAGCTTTTCTCAGGCAGAATCAGCTTGCAGGTGCGTACATTGACAGCTGATCTGATTGCTGAAAGCTGAAAGCCATTGCCTCCCTTTGTCTATCTCCTTAAGTGGCATCAATAGATATCATTATAATTATTATTATTATATTGTTCATGAATTATTACTTCACAGTACGTACAGTAGCCCGACGGAAGTTTTCTTCTTTTTTTTTTATTCCGTGTATTTCAACCACATTTCCGTTATGTATTGTATTCTTATTACTTTTATTTTACGAATTATTATTAAATTTCTCAATTATTCATTATATTGTATAATAATAAACATTGTGATGTCTTTCGAGCGTTTACTGTACTTGGGGACATAGTATATTATATTTATTATTGACATATGAAAATGGTAAATAATAAAACTTTTTTGCCCAATTTATCGCCTTCCAGAAATTATAGAAATAAAACTATTATTCAAATATTTTTAATAGTCCCGCTTATTCCCCAGCGCTGGGTTAACCGTAATTTCGCTTAACAATGTTTTGCAGCCCGTTTTCGATCACTTATGAACCAATACACTTGAACAAAATCAGCAATCAGCTTGCTGAAAAAACAAACATGCTTGATCGATCAAACTAAGCTGAGCTGATTTCAGCGAGCTTTTTCAGCTCAGCTCAGTCTGCAATGTGCGCACTTGCACCGGTGCCGTGTGTTTGTTTTTTCAGAGCTTATAAATCAGCTATCAGCTCCGCTTTCAGCTCCCCTTTCAGCTATAGTGTGCGCGAGCCCTTACAGTACCAAAACTTTGTGTATGGAGACTCTGTGGGTTCCGATACAAATTCCGGTGCGTGCTTATACAATTTTTTGTATAGGTTACATAAATCATACGATTGCGTACATATCTACCTAAGTACCCACTATGAAATTGTTGTAAGTATATTACCGTTATCTTGAGAAATAGCTGAGACAAAAAAAATGCAAATCCAACTTATTAATGATTGGAAAACAGTATTGAATACAACATTAACTTCTGTATATCTGTATTGCTGGGTTTTCCGTAAGATGTTAAAGGTTCACCCATGTTTTAGTTGTCACTATCATACATTTAACTCACATCATATGTGCTACGAGTAGTTTTAGATACACAACAACTTATCGCTAACACTAAAAACATACTCCACAACAACATTAACACATTAACATGGATACAGAAGCCGACCCCACTGCAGACAACACTGAGCCCATCGATATCACAGAGATCGCAGACGACCAGTCCCAAAATGTCCCAGATGTTCAAAATGGCTCTGAGGATCCAAATCAGGCGCCAGAGTCGGAAGCACTGGGCCAAGAAGAGCCCGAGAAAACAGAGAAGGTGAAATCCATTCTCCCTCCGGAAATACCAGAAAATAAAGATGCTGTCGATGGGTTACAGGAGCAGGGCAATTCGGCAGAACTAGCCACATTAAAGGACGATGAAAGTGTTAAGGAACCGGAAGATGTGAAGGAGCCAATGTATGTTTCGGGCGAGGATTTAAAAAAGAAAAAAAAAGCAGACCGAAAACTTCGGATAAAAGAAATGGAAGAAAAGCGTTTCATAATTAGTGACGACACCTCAAGGCGATCGTTTGATGCAGGGGACCTAGAAGAGGAACGAATCGCCGATGAAGAAGATGATCACGCGGAGTTCCGCGAGATGCGGAAACGAGAGGAGAAATTGCAGGCTCGTCACACACATCTGCTGGAGGAGGATTACGAGGATGCGGTGCTCAGAGATATGGAGGACGATGATTACTCCGACATTGACGTGGAAATGTCGTCCATAAGCATTCAGAGGAGAATTGATAAGGGCACAGATACCGTTCGACTGAAGGAGGACTTTCTCAACGACTTTGATTTGCCCAGTTTGTCGGACTACTCCGAGGAATCCTTGGTGCATGTTAAATCTCTCATCAAACAGGAGTCCATCATCCAGGCGGCAGTATCCGATGTTGGCATTTTTGTTGATCCACTAACCGGCGAGGTTCTGAGCAGCACAACCTCCACCTCGTCGGAAGGGACCCAAAGGGTAGAAGAAGAGGAGGCTATAGAAGCGGAAGAAGAACCAGTGGAATGCCCCGAGATGTCGGACGATGACCTGCCAGTCCCAAAACTTCAGGGTGACCAGTCTCTACACGATTTCGACCAGTTCCGGCAATCCTATCTTACCCAGAGTCTGGGAGAGAAAGAACGAGATAGCGATGCCGAGGCACGTACGCACCGAACCGAGCTAATGATTATTACCCAAGACTTTCTTAAAGATCTCATCAACGCGCTGGTCAACAAATCGGAGACCATTAATCTGGACAATCTACTCAGAACCCGATGCGACAAGAGCAAGCTAATGGAAGAGCTCATTACCGTCACGAAAAACTTCTACTTTGAGAAACTAGACAACATCTTCCTGCAGGGTCGCCTCGTCGAGTACTACAAGCGAAGCAAGAACATGCGAGTATTCTCCCAGCTAGACCCGGAAGACGCAAGATCCTACGGGACGCGGTACACTGCGTCCCTGGACCAGGTCGATTTTATGAGGAATCGATTCATTACGGCCAAGCGCAAGAACAGCAGTCTTATGAACAAAGTGCTCCTGGAACTGCACTACACTCAAACCAACGCATCGCGCTCTGAAGCGCATTTGAATCAGACGGTACGACATTATCTCTCCCTCCAGGATATGGAGTATCTCAAGCGGCTGACGGATCGTGAGCTGAGGCTAATGAATGTCAAGCGAAACGAGATTAGCGACACTCGTCTCGTCCTCATTACCATGAAGCACACTTTGGGTCGTTTAACCGAAGTAAGTTCTTGCGACCAGATGTGGGCCCAGGATCACCTTTTGCTTTCTTCTTTCCCCAGAAAATCAATCAGTTGGAACGTGTGGGCGATGATCTGTACATAAACGACTTCATATCCATTCAGAATCAGGTTGTTACTTTGGATAAGAAGATCGAGGGTATACCATAGATTTTTAGCTCCAACTCATGCAATTTCTAATCTATCTAATACTATCTCCAGAACGAAATATTGAACTGAAGAAGCTCCGTTGCAAGTACCATGTGGACCTGCATGTGATTCAGCACAACCGAGAGAAGGCGCTAGCTCTTGCCCATAAGCTTCAGCTCTGTAAGGCCTCCCTTGAAAAGCTTTTGGACACGCAGCACGCGAAGAGAGAGGATCTTTACCGTGCGAAGATGGACCGCACAAGGCTCCGCAAACAGCAGAAGGAAATGTCGTACCAGGGCGGCATCCTGTCGATGCCCTCCCTGATGTACGAATACGATAACACAGTGAAGGGACTGCTGGTGAAGCGAACCAGCGTCTTCAAGCTAAGGGAGACCCTGAAGAACCTCAATCGTCGCATACAAGAGTATGAATCGATCTCCATCTAGGAATATTCGACTAAATTGTGCTGCACAATAAAGATAGAAACTCCTTGATACTGATATTCATAAGGATCATTCTTTTGGCCTTATGTTGCAGCCTGTTTTACCCTTTTCAGATCTCCAATTTACCAAGTGACACGCTATACTTGACTAGATACGAGTATTATCAAAACCTATGAAGGATACAACCCCCATAAGTTTAGTGGCTTGTCACCCATAGGCCGTTTTCCCAATCCACATTCCACAAACAACATTATACAATTATAAAACATGCGAAAAACCAAAAAAATAAAGTCAAATTGCCGAGAAACTCCACCGATGCTACCTCCGTCGCAATTCGGCCGAGCACATCAACCGCGACCAGCGGATATGTGGTGTCTCGCCAATTATTTGCTTTGAATTAAATGTATGCTTGTTCCTGCGCAGTGTCCATTATTCCGTACTCCTCCGACAAATGTTTGCGCAGGTGAACGTAATCCCACAGAACAGCGCACTCCCTGGCGGGGCATCCGTCGGAGATTGGGCCCATTACTCGGCGGGCATATCCCAGCTGACGAATGGCGTTGAGAACTGAGGACACACATTCGTCAATACTGTCTTGTCCGAGATCACCGACCTGCGAGACCTGTAAAGTAATATATAAAATACATATAGCAATTCTGACTAACCAGAGGATCATATTCCTGTTTTTTATTGGGGCCCTGAACACGGTCAGATTATTTCCATTACGTCATGTTTTTTTTCTAACCTCAAATACCACAATGGTCGAAACATGGTGGAAACTTATTTGAAAAATTCATCGGATTCGCTTGAAACTCGTTGGTCGTTATTTTTGGGGCCGCTGATTACGAAGCCAAGCCACCAGTCTCACAACAAGCCGACTGCTCCGCCCAGCACCGCGCTGAAGTCCCAACAACTACAGATTTTCGAAGTTCCGAAGCACTGCCGAAGGGCAGCTGGATATCCTCAAGCGTGACTTAAAGCGGCGAGCGCTGAAGCTGCAGGAGCAAGAAGATCAAGACCAGGATCAGGATCAGCAGTACGATAAGCAGAACGTTCTGGAGCTGTTCGCCCAGAGAAGTGGTGCGCAGGTCAGGTCCATACGCTTGTATGTAGACAGAAAAACTGCAGCAGTCCATCATCGATATTGCGCCCCAGGCAAAGAGGCAGGCGCAGCAGCAAGTGCTAGTGCAACACCAGCTGGTACCTACGAACCCTTAACATCATTTGAGCAGCATATTCAATTCAATTCAAACTAGAAGGATTCCTCCACTTTGGCTGTGGCCGCGAATGACAGCAACAACAGCAGCCCAACAGCAGCCCAACAGCAGCCCAACAGCAGCCCAACAGCAGCCCAACATCGGCACCAACAGCATCGTCAATAACCAGGCAACGGCCGTGCACGACAGCAACTCGCCAAATCAAATGCCCAGGACAGGAAAAGAGGACAACTTTTTTTATACCCGATACTCAAAATGAGTATTGGGGTATATTAGATTTGTGGTAAAAGTGGATGTGTGTAACGTCCAGAAGGAATCGTTTCCGACCCCATGAAGTATATATATTCTTGATCAGCATCAATAGCCGAGTCGATTGAGCCCTGTCTGTCTGTCCGTCTGTCTGTCCGTCCGTCCGTCCGTTCGTCCGTCCGTCTGTCCGTCCCCGTCAGCGCCTAGTGCTCAAAGACTATAAAAGCTAGAGCAACGATGTTTTGGATCCAGACTTCTGTGATATGTCACTGCTACAAGAATATTTCAAAACTTCGCCCCGCCCACTTCCGCCCCCACAAAGGACGAAAATCTGTGGCATCCACATTTTTAAAGATACGATAAAACCAAAAACGCAGAATCGTAGAGGATGACTACATGTTCTAGATTGTAAAATCTTAACCAGATTGTATAATTATTATAGCCAGAAACAAGAAAAAAATTTCATTCTTTCTCGCTCTGTCTCTCTCTAACACTCAGGTTTCAAGGTCGGTTGAGTTCACGGATCTCAGAACCTATAAGAGCCAGAGCAACCAAATTTGGCATCCACACTCCTGTGATATCGGACCTTGACCGTTTTGGGTAAAAATTTCGCCACACCCCCTTCCGCCCCCGCAAAGGACGAAAATCTGGGGCATCCACAAATCTCAGAGACTATTAAGGCTAGAAAAACCAAATTTGGTATCCGCACTTCTGTTAGATCTCACTATAAAACGTATATCTCAGAATTTCGTCCCACCCCCTTCCGCCCCCACAAAGGACGAAAATCTGTTGCATCCACAATATTGCACATTCGAGAAACAAGCAAGAAATCAATTTGCAGTGGCTACGCAGCGCCCTACGTCACGCTCAGACTGATTTTCTGTGTCTCTCGCACGCACTCTTTGTCGTGTCGTTTAATATTAGCGGCGTCTGCCGGAGGAGAGCCATACTGACTTAGTATCGGGTATAACTGTAGAGTTGCGGTGTCCGAAGCAACTCACAACGTTCCCCCTCGTTAAAAATTCATCCTCTTTAATCGGCTTTTTTGTCGGCTTGACCCGTTTTTTTTTGACGAGTTGTTGGCATTATTGGTGCAAAATATACATTCAAGGAAACGTTATACTAGCAATTTAAATATAGCCCGACCAGTTGGCCTAGAAGAACTGAGTGACTCAGAACCAGAAAATAAAGTACAGTTATTCTGAGGGGATTGGGAGGGAGTCCTTATACAGTTCTTCGGCACTTCATCTTTAATTTTCGCGATTATCTGTGTAACGAACCATAAGAAGGTTCGTCACAGTGCGCTGCATCGCGGGATCGCCACCGCCTCATTTTTCCCCTTTTTATATCTCTAGTTTCCCTTAAATATATCGTTACTTAGCCTTAAGAATAGACAACGCATACGATAAATGTACCATCAGTACAGAGACTCCTTCCCCATATCGTTTCGCTTACCATTTCACGACAGCCAATCCCACATTCCCATACCAACACATTGCCCCCTCCTCGAACCGTAAGGTGTCCTTAGTCTTAGTCCTTACACCACTGCGTCCTTTTCTCTTTATAAGAACTTTCCTCAGTCTACACACACAAACATGCATTATTGTTCCTATAAAGAAAGTAAAGAACTAAAGACGACATACCAGATGTATCGAAAGTCCATTCGGAGGCTTAAAGAGGAAATTAACACAAAATCTGATTAGAAATGAAGCAGAGCATAATTAAGAGCAGTTAGGCGTCATAAAGCGTATGGATGATCTCTCAGACGTCAACTAAAGTGATTTTCTTGTTGTCAACCTGCCCAAAATTTACTCATTCCCAGCGCCCTGAAATTCAAGTGTTTTTCTCGATCTGGCTGGACTGTACTCCTGAGAATTGTCAACGGGAATTAGAAATTTAATCGAAATTGGAGCAAAATCTTGTCAGGCAGTAATATTATTGCTTTCTGGGTTGTATTGTCCCGCCGACTTGTTTGAAAAAGTGTAGAGCCACGAGTGACTTGCTAATTTTGAAAAATAATGGATACTACAGGATCCAGAGAGACTTCCTACTTATTGTATAAGCTTGCTTATGCATAAATAATAACCCTGAATTGGCACACAAAATCTCTTAATGAACCATTATAAAAAATGTATTTCCCCATAATTTTCAGTGTCAAGATTGATATTTATTCGTTTGTTTTTATTTATCCCCTCTCCATACATTCATATGTATAAATATACACAACGCAAATAAAAGTGAGAGAAAATATTTGTTTCTGTTGTATCACATTTTTCTATGTATGAAAATTTCCAATCTCTTTAAAAAATAAAAAAGCAACATTTTGCTTGAGTTTTACAAAAATTTTTTTGTTTTTTTTTTCGATTTATTGGAATTATTAATGTTTCTATATACGATATAAAAGTATAAAGAAAGTATTAGAGAACGCTGCATTTAGACAAAACTAATTAGGCAAATCATTAATTTATAAACATAACGAGTTCGGGGCAGCCCGAAGTCCAAAATACTCTCACTAAGTCAAATATTTAAAAAAGAGAATCAACCATGATTGTCAACGAGAGGCAGGATTATAAATCTAACTAATCGTGGCATAAATACTGGAATATTCCGTCGAATAATCGTAACAAATGATTGAATTTCACTTCTTAATCCTTGGGGGTTCCAAACGTCCCTACAAAGTGTTTATACTCTCTGCCAACCGTATGACATACATATGTATAATGTATTTGATTTATTTCTCTTTTAAATAAATGAAGAAATTCTGAGACACAGCAGCTGAGGACGTGGAATATGCTGAAAGCCGTCTGGCCTTTCTCAGTTTTGGCACTCTCTCATAATTGTTGCACCTGAAATATATTTATTTGAAACACACACATAGATATACATTAGGTAGTAGGTATAGGTATGGTTATATACATAGATATAATTATTTCGCGCCTCCGACAGGTGAGACTCTGTTTTTTTTTGGGGAAATTCCTGTCCGAATATATACTATATTCATTATATGTGCATATATATTGGATCTTCATGACGGTTTGACCTCGACACGCTTCAGTGGAATTTTTTGGGCTGTTTATGTTTGGTTTATAACGACGATACGATATGATGATATACCCGAACATACCTACATATATGCGAGTCATTTATAGAACGGATTGTTGCGAACATTTGGTGCTCATTGGGGTTGGGGCAAAATAAGTAAAGACTACACCCACACAAAAGCAAAATCAAAAGCAAAAACAAAAACAAAAGCAAGAGTACGATCGGAGAGCTCAAGGTTATTGAATGGTGGAATTGAAATTGAAATCAAATTGGAAGTGCAAGTGCAAAAGGAAGTGTGGGATTTTTCATTACTTTATTTTATATAGATTAACTTAGGCGTACGAGTATACTTAATTTAAAGGCTGTAAAAGTTCTATAAGCTTTTGCATTGCTTTTTTGTTGTTTTGTGTGAGTGATTTTTGTTTTGTTTTTGTTGTTGGTGAGGAATATTTTTGTGTTGATGTTTCATATAAATATATATATGTATATATCGTGTTTGTGTGGTGTGTGTTTATATAAAACTAGCATACATATGGATATATCGTGTAGAAAAACCAAAGACAGATGGGGGCATCTATCGTACGTCGATCATCCATCGTCCGTCCGCACAAAGTAATCGCTTACTTGCCGAGCAGAATTTTGCGGCCAGCGCCAAGGTTCTGGCCGGCCTGGGTGGCACCCTTGTTGGAGCCAGCCTGGAGACCGACAATGGTCTGGCCGGCCTTCAGCTGCTCGTCGGTGAAGTCGCGCTTGCACTCATCGGCTGGCTTGGGGCCCAGGAAGGGACCCTTGAAGTCGTCGTGCTTGTAGGTCTACAATGAGATCAATCGCGGTCAATTGTATCCACAAAGCAGGAGCAGAGAGTAGGGTTTGCTGGTCAGGGGGTGAAACTTACAGCACGGCCCAGGGCGAAGATGGTGTTGGTGACATTGGCAATGTCCTTCTTCTCGTAGAGATCGACTGTCTGGAAGACATCGATGTCGGGCACACCGTACTCCTTGAGAGCCTTCTGGAAGTTGTTGATGTTCTCCATGAACTTGAACTGGCCGCCGGAGGAGTTGACCTTGGGCACGGCATTGGGGGACAGGATGTTGATCAGCTTGCACAGCACCTGGCCATCCTTGAGCACATCCTCGTAGGCCTGGCCGGCGGGGAACTTCTCACCAATGATGGACTCCACCCACTCCTGAGCCTCCTTGTCCATCTCGGGATTGCGCTTGCCGGCAATCTATGGGGATCGAGCGAGGATCAAACGAGAACAAACAAAACTTTAGCAAATAGCCACATAGGATTTTCTTAATTTTGTTGCACTTTGTATCGTTTTTCTTTTCAGTTCTTTTTTGAAATAAATTTTTTCCTTTTGCATTTTCTTTTTATTTTTCCACAATTAGTATTCACCTTGGCACGAACAGCACGTTCTAGAGACATTTTGTGTTGTGTTTTTGGGGGCGTTGGGTTATGTTCTTCTCTAAAGCCTGGGCAAGCTTACACTGATGCCTGGCCACGGGGCGTATGCGGCTTTTAAAGCACGAGAGAGCCCACTCCCGCAGTACGAGCATCGTTCAAGAATTTTCCAAAAATATATCCGAATTCGGAGTCGGCTACGAGAATTCCGAAGCGTGGGCGTTCCTGTACCTATACATCTTTTTGGTCCGATCACGCCTGCTGCCCCCATGAGTCGTGCGATATAATTTTAGAATATCATCAGAAAAAAAGCTAGAGAAAAACTGAAAACGAAAAATCCAAAGCACCAACAACAGCAAATGCTTGATAATTTTCACACATATTGCGAGTGTGTTAAAGTTGTTCTAGTTGTTGCCCTCCAATTAATAAATATGTGTGTACACATTTACACACTCTACCCAAAATGAGTTGCTCATCTGCATTTTTTCGGACTCTTACGCGGACACGAGCCGGACGACAGCCAGCTGTCCTGCTGCCTTTCTGTGTCCGATGTGTTTGTCTGCGAGTGCATTTGTTGCTCGTAACTTCCATGCGATTGGCGTGCATTGGGTCATAACTAAAAATGGCACTGAATTGGGTTGCTTCGACGTGGACACGCTCCAGAAGCAACGTTGTCCAATGAGCAAATCTTGTTGAGGTGCTCAGAATTGGTTACGGTAAGGGAACCATATCCGGGTGGAGTTTATATTACATTTTATTACGGAACTGTGTATACTCTTGTCAATTATGATATGGATATGGAACTATTCAAAGATCTGATCGTTATATTACATGGCCAAAAATCAAGTTATTTTAAGGGAGCCATTTATTGCTCAAATCAATTTCAAAAATTAAAACCCCAAGTCGTTATTCTAGAACCCATCCAAATCTAACTGTCGACTCTGATTGAATTCCAGACTCAAAATGAAAACTAATGTGTAACTATAATATTTTAATACAAATCAAAGGAGAAGCACTGAGAATCAGAGAACGAGAGAAGCATTTTTTATTCAAAAAAATCAAGGCCGGAGATGCTTTAATGTCCAGACAATTAAGTTGAATTATGAGCTGCGTGTTATTGAAAAACACTTTTGGGGGGACATCAAGCGACTGTCTGTTGCCGTCCAAAAAATCTTCCAAATGTCACTACAAGAGGAAGAAGACACGACAAGGCTGCCGCGCGGCCAAGGGGCTCTGACCTGTCTGCCAAAGTTCAGGCGCACCCCCTCGAAGAGAGATGTTTTATTAAATGAATGTTCCACAGAACCGCTAGTACAAATAAATTAGTACAAATAGTACACACTGAGAGTGGCGTTCGCGAAAAAAATCTTTCTAGGGCGGATACAGTTTCGATAACACTGGGACCCGAGCAGACGGCACGCAAAAGCTCGACAAATTTGTGCTCTGGGTAGTATTTGCAAAGGTATTTCTGTCCCACTCCGAACAAGTGGACCCGAAATAGTGGCGCTGCGTCAGCGTCGAAATTTTCCAGCCACGTAGTTCTCGTTCGCGCTCTCGATTTTGGGGTCTTTTGCTTATTTTTCTCACACTCAAGCTCCACCGAGAAACAGAACAGAGAAATTCTCGGGCCGTGGCGTGTTGGTTTATTTTTACCACCTCCTTGGCCCGCGGCGACGGACAACAGGAGGACTATTTTTTAAATAAAAAAATATTTTTTCGGGTCAGAAAGAAAACCATAATCATTTCGATTAAGTGAATTAAATTTGCCTCGGGCCCTGTCCTGGTTTGCCTATTGTCTTTGGAAAATCTAATTAGGGCCCCGCAGATGTGTGCCAATCTTTCACACCAATTAAATTAATGTAATTGTATTGTGGGGACGGAATGGTCGCCTCCAAGAAGTCTAAGAATCCAATTCAATTATAAGGCAGATATCTGGCAAACAGTCCAGCGACCTGAATTGCAATGCCAACAGAATCTCTGCATCCTGGATAGCCTGTGATGTGCTGTTTGTCCTTCTGTCCCATAAATGGGGGCCGGATAGCTTGGTCGTGCATTCTCATTCCCCACTATGTAGGGGCATGTACATACATAGGTGGCTCGTGTTTGTCTAGGAAAATTGGATTCTAGTGCGCAAACATTCGGGAGAGCAAGCTAGTTTACCCAGACGCACTTGACGCTAAATTCGTGGGGATTATTTTCCCATAAATCAGCATAAAAACTCCACAAAGGCCAGCGAAAGACCCACCCCATCCAACCAATTCAGTCCACTGATATGGCCAACAACCCAAAATGGCCGACGCGTACCCCAAATGAAGTCAGGCGAAAATTAGGTCGTGGAAGCTGGAGCTGGCTGTAAGGCAGTAGCTGAAACAGGATCTGGGCGGGGATTCAACCACTTGCTGGCATTTCTGGCCGCTTCCGTTGGATGCTCACAGTGGAGCGGAAACGGAAATTGAGTCGAGCATTGTCCTGCAATTCCATTTATCAACAAACAGAAACGGCACTCGTGCCTCCGAGTGTCCGAGTAAGTTCCTCCGGATAAGAATAGATACGTTATTTATTTAAGCCAAACATTTAATTGGAAAATCACGCCCAATGTCGTCATTTGGCCAACAGAAATAAACAAACGGCTCGCATTGGTCGGCGGGAATAGTTATTTATAAGTTTTCTAATAATTTCTCTAGACGTTTTCCCGCATCTTCCCGATAAAAGCAATTAAATTTCACATTTTCACATTGTTGCAGTTCTGGCCAGAAAAAGATATCGAACGAGGGGGAACGTTGTGAGTTGCTGCGGACACCGCAACTCTACAGTTATACCCGATACTAAGTCAGTATGGCTCTCCTCCGGCAGCGCCGCTAATATTAAACGACAAGACAAAGAGTGCGTGCGAGAGAGACAGAAAATCAGTCTGAGCGTGACGTCGGGCGCTGCGTAGCCACTGCAAATTGATTTCTTTGATTCCTTTTGGCTATAAAAATGATCTGATCTGATCCAGATTCAGCAATCTGATAGATATGGTCATTATCTATGATTCTGCGTTTTTAGTTTTCTCAAATCTGCAATATTGTGGATGCAACAGATTTTCGTCCTTTGTGGGGGCGGAAGGGGGTGGGGCGAAATTTTGAGATATACGTTTTATAGTGAGATCTAACAGAAGTGCGGATACTAAATTTGGTTACTCTAGCCTTAATAGTCTCTGAGATTTATGAATATCCCCAGATCTGCATCCTTTGCGGGGGCGGAAGGGGGTGTGGCGAAATTTAGAAACAAACTCGTCTCGGTCTGATATATTAGGAGTGTGGATACCAAATTTGGTTGCTCTAGCTTTTATAGTCTCTGAGATCTAGGCGCTAATGTTTTACTCTAAGCAAAGCCGCCTATGCTACGTGTGTGTTAAAGAGAGACAGGGCGAGAAAAAATGAAATTGTTTTCTTGATGCTGGCTATAATAATAATACGATCCAATTCAGATTCCGCAGTCTAAAAGATATCGTCATTCTGTACGATTCTGCGTTTTTGGTTTTCTCGTCTCTTTAAAATTGTGGATGCCGCAGATTTTCGCCCTTTGTGGGAGCGGAAGTGGGCGGGGCAAAGTTTTGAAATATTTTTGTAGCAGTGACATATCACAGAAGTCTGGATCCAAAACATCGTTGCTCTAGCTCTTATAGTCTTTGAGCATTAGGCGCTGAAGGGGACGGACAGACGGACAGACGGACGGACGGACAGACGGACGGACGGACAGACGGACAGACAGACATGGCTCAATCGACTCGGCTATTGATGCTGATCAAGAATATATATACTTTATGGGGCCGGAAACGATTCCTTCTGGACGTTACACACATCCACTTTTACCACAAATCTAATATACCCCAATACTCATTTTGAGTATCGGGTATAAAAAGGCTGCGTGGCGGGAAAATGCTCTCATATTATTCTGTTTACCATTTGCCCAATGTTGGCCCTAACAATTCAAGCGAAAAAGGCAAAACGCAAACGGCAGAGTTCTCCTGGACATGGAGCGACTTTTGGCTAACCTTTCGATTAAATTTGCATTTGTTTGTCGACACAATTTATTTGTATACCCTAAAATAGCATAAACAATGTATATAATAGAAAACATATGTATAAATACACAGCATATAGTATAAATACATATATGTACCATACACATATCATACACATGTCTTTAAAGGGCATTCCCTAAATATTTCCATTCTCAGAGCTCATATGCACATAGTTCTCACCCAGTTTTAGCTACAATTTAATGAAACACGAAATACCTTAAATTTATATAATAAAATTTTAAAAAAAAATTTTTATTTTCAACTCTTCTTACGAAAATAAGTACTATTTATTTCGAATTTAAATTATAAAAATCAAAAATTAGTTGTTTATTATTAATTATATACAAATTACATGACTATGTATATTTATAGCATATCCAGTATATCCTCGAAAAACTCAATCATGCAGCGTTTTGAAATTACTTTTTTCCCCAGTTGAAAACTTCTCTGAATTACAAAAAAAAATAAGATTTTAGTATATCTTACCTGCCTGGGATTAGTTCATGAGAGTATGAATGAGGTCTGATAGACACAAATAAATTCTCCAACCTTTTATTTGAAATCTTTGGTTCAGCAATTATTCCGATGCGGAATCTTTTGAACTTCTTTGTTGCCTGTTGGATGTTTGTTTGGTCTGTTCTGTTCTGTTTGGTTATCCCGCCTCGTGAATATCATTTACATGAAGCGAGTGTCTGTCTGTTTAATCGTCAGCCGGCTGGGCCTGATAAATGATTCTGCCGCAGCGAAGAGCGCCCCATCTACAGCTGAAACCAAAAAAGGTTAATTAGAAATTCAGCAGGACCGCAACAAAGGTGGGGGCACTTAACCACAACAAAAAGGTCTTCGTCTTCGCAGGATAAGTGTTGCGATGGGCCAGAAAGCAGGTGAAAATAATATAATAAATGTACGGGTATGTCAAGGACTAGGAGAAAAGCAGCCATCAAACACTTTAATCAATAATTCAACTGTGACTGTGCATCTAGTCGATGGCCCACTCAGCGCGGACTCGAGTCCGTTGTCCAACCCGAAATAAAATCCACAACAAATATGGCTACGAGTAATAATCGAATACCGGGAGAGAACTAAACCCGAATCGCTTGTCCCAATGGTAAAAGGTACAAGGCGAAAACTTTGTCAATATTTCAAACTCACGCATGGTTGCCTGCTGCCTGAGCTCTGGTGGCCCCTGGAGCTGCAGAGACCAGTCCTGGATGCTGAATGCCGAATGGAGAATGTCGGATGCCTTCGCCTAATTGAATTTCCCGGCTAACACTTTAAAGCTTGCTGCCTGGCTACCTAATAGCCTCTTGTAATGAGATTTCAGGCACTCCCACTCGCTGGCCGCTTTCGTCTAGCAAAAACTTTCCATTTCAACAAATTGACTGACGGGCGCTGGAACAGACTTCAAAGCAACATTTTCACTAAATCAATTTGCACAAAGTATTTGCCAGTCTTGGATTCAAGCAGTTCTGGACCACCGCTCCCCAGCCTAGCAGCAGAGAAAAGTTTTATCTGGAACAAAAGTCGTCGTCTGTCATCCTTAACTCAATTTTGTAGCGTACAATGTGTGTCACATTAGGCAGTTCCAGTCCCAGTTTTTCAACAGCAACATATGCTAATTCGAAGCCATTATGAGCCTAATTACAAGTTGTGCGATTTTGTTCCGATTGTGAGATACCGTTCGAGTTTTAAAGGGTTTCAGATATCTGTTCGTTCCTGCATGTCTGACTCTTAAGAAACAATTTCCTGCAATTGCTACGTTAACGTACAAATCGCAAAATGAGACTGTTTGACTGCATTCTTCCGCTGTTAAACATCCGACAGTTCCAACTGCTGTCTGTTACGTTGCTTACAGGCCTTAAACGCGAATCCAAAATACTCTGTCGCTCGTCGAGCACCCTGTAGGAAAGGCGTTGTCTGCTTTCAATTTCATTTGTTTTCAGAAAGTTTTTCTTTGTGAATGCTGTACGTAATTTATGCGGGATGGGAGAGTATCTACAAATAATTTTCCCTAACATAATAATAACAATAATTACAATTTAAATGAATTTCCTTTTTGCTCGGAATATATTTGCTACAAAAATTATAAATAAAACAAAACGACGGTTTGGCAGTAGGGCAGTAGCATCTGTTGTTGTCGGGGCAGTTGCATCCGGTCCGGCGATGGAACGCCAATAAATAAATTCATTCTTTGGGGGCAGCGTGGCCCTTAATCAAATTCAACGCGACATGCAAATCGCAAAAAATATTCACAGAAACACAGTTTTCCCGAGTCGACGTGCGAGTTCCCCTTGCCCACTCCAAACAAATTTATACGTATAGAGATTCGTATCGATTTAATCGAAAGGGAAAAAATTAATTTTATTTCAGTGGCAGATTCAGCTATGTATTTAATCGTATCTCATATGACTTGCAAATTGATGCATATTAAAGACTATAGTTGCTATACTCCCTGTCAGAGTAGAGCGAATCCAAGCGGATGTGCTTTGGGGTCCAATTGCAAAAGGCTAAAACATTACACCACCAGAAAATCTGTTCAAGACTGTACCGTGTACACTGTCAACGTAAAGGGCAGAGCACATAAATGCTGGGAAAACGTTGAAGAAAATTGAAAAACTTGCAGGGCGAAAAGTTTGCTGCGCGTGCCGCAAAAAGCAATTGCAATCCACGCTGAAGTTGCTCCACTCGCCCGACAGATGACAGCGAAAAGTCAAACCAAAGCTGCAACCTGAGGAAAAACGGCAGCGACCAGGTGCACGTACCCATAACGTGGCCGCGAAGCTGGGAGGGACTGAAAAGACATCTGGAAATGCGTGGTCAAACTTTTTGTTTAAGCTGGGTGTCCACGGCATCGAATTACATGTGGGGGCACTCAGAACTGGGGAACCGTAGAGAGCAATTAGCGCCTCGCAGTCAAAGGATTACCCTTCTCAATTTAGGTGCACTCGATACGGCTATTAGGCCTGACATGCTGTCATTAGTACGTCAGACCCAGAGCCACATTTCCAAATATTTGCCAAACATTTGAAGTACAAACTGCCGCCGGATCCAGTGGTAGGTCAACACGCTCCGCCAACCTGCACTCCAATGCGATGGTCGCCCACGAAATTACTTTGAAATCAGCGGAACATATCCTATCCCCTTCACCAGCAGAACAAACATCGAATTACACCCTGCCTTGGGGCAGTTTAAACACGAGGTTTAATGGTCATTAATTTCTAGTCCACAGCTGTGTGGGAGACGGAGGCGGGGAACTGGAAGTCGCCGATCCGCTGGATGGTCTGACGCAGCTTTTCCAATCCCGTGCAGTTCGCCGCATAGGCGTCCAGTTGCTGCATTGCGGCAAACCAGCGCTCCAGCCGTGGCCAATGCGACAGGCGAAACATGAGATTCACCGTGCTCAATGTGGTCACAATGGATATATCAGCGAGTGTCAGCTGGAAAACCAACAACAACAACGTTGAAACTCTACTCTTAATCGAATCACTGCAAACGCAAAGAATCGCATTAAGTGCTGCGGTTACCTGGTCGCCAGCCATATAGTCGTGCCTTTCCAGATACTGCTCCATGATGCCGTAGGCCTCGGTCAGCTTCCGTTCGTGATGGGCCACATCCACATTGGCAAATCCCCTGCGAACAATTTCCGACTGTAAGCAATAATGGATGAGAGCGGAACGAAACGCTTGAGCTTGGTCCAAAACGCACCATGAAATCACTATCACGGCGGAATAGGAATGAACATTCGAAAAGCATCCGATTTAGCACCTGAATGCGGGCATCGTGCTCCTTGGGCCAGAGTGTGCCAGCGACATCAAACTTTTCAGCCAGATGGATGAGTATGGCATGGCTGTCGGTCAGCACAAGTTCGTCGTGGACCAGTACAGGAACAGAGTGCTGGGGATTCACCTGTGGATCAGAAGATCATTATCGAATCTACATAACTACATAAAAATGTTTTCTTTTACGGATAAGAACGCTTTCTCGAATTGAGCTCCCATGAAGAGATCCACGAAACGGAGCTCGACGTCAATGGCCAACAGCCTAATGAGAATCAAACAACTGCGTACCGGCGGGCTGCGATCGTCGTAGTACAGAATGGGTTTGGGATCAGACATTCGGAAACAATTAGGCAGATCAGGTAGATCAACAAACGATCGCGTTCAGAGCCGATGAACAACTGAAAAATCAGTAAAGGCTGCTCACAAGGTAAGCTGGAGACAAGACCTTCTTTGTGGGATATTCACAATCACATATGTATGTACGTAAATATATATGACTTTTATATTCCCTTTGTTCAAGAATTATCGTTGAAAACGCATTTTACAAATAGCAAATAATAATAATAATAAATAATAAATAAGAAAATAGCTTTAAATCAATAAATAATCTATTAGATTAAATATTTTGAAAAATTGTAGTTTCATTGCATTATTTTTAAAGTCTTAAAGATGAATCTTCTACATGAATTTTACATTAATCAAACTAAACGGTTTTTAAGCAATTCGTGTAGCTCTGAACCTTTTGAATAATATCGATAGTTTTTTGATAAATACAGGTTTGCATTATTTTATAGCTGGTTCTGGCTGTGTAAAGTTTGACCGCTCGAAAAATTTGAAAAAAACTGTTAGATGGAAATCGTGCTATTGAAAATCTATATAGTTAGTTATGGTTTGATATTTTGTTCAATAACTGTGCAAAACTTGCACATATTAGCCTGAACAAATGTTTCAAAGCATTTAGATTAAACAATGGAAACTTAACGAATAAATGTATTTATTTGTATAAATTACGAATCATTTTTCTTCTTAAAAAGTATCCCAATTTTTAAGCTATTTCTTTTTGAAAACTCAGCTGTTTTTCCTTCTAAAATTTTGGCAGCACTGATGAAAAGTGTAGTGCTGGTCAACGTCTTAGAGCATCATTAAAGCATCGATACTTTGATTCGATACCATAACAACAGTTCCACGTGCAGCGCAAATGGAGCTAAAAAAAATGAAACCTATCAAGGATACCACGGATGAATCCACAAGAGAAGCTGGCGAGGATAAGTCCAAGAAACGTCGCAATCCATTCAATACACAGCGCCTGAAGGAAGAGAAGGAACGGAGGCAGAAGAAGCGTGCTCGTCTCATTGTTCGAAACATTAGCTACAAGTCCACGGATGCCTCGCTGCGGGAATACTTTTCCAAATGGGGGACGCTGGAGGATGTAAACATATTAAAAAGAGGCGACGGCAAGCTGGTCGGCTGTGCCTTTGTCCAATACGAGACCATAAACCAGGCCACAAAGGCTATACTGAAAACCAACGGAAAAGATCTGCAGGGAAGAAAAATATTTGTGGACTGGGCGTTGGGCAAAAATGAGTATTCGGCCAAGAACCCCAAGGATGAGGAGCCGGAAGAGAAGAAGCCAAAGGTGGAAATTAAAGATGAAAGCGGAGAGGAGCCCATGGTGGAAACTAACGAACATGCCGCCAGTAAGGATGGAAGTGAAGATGTTGAAGAAGCATCGGACTCCGCCTCAAATGAAGGTGAAGAAGATAGTGAAGGGTCCGATGGAGATGACGATGAAGATGACAGTGACGATGACAAAGATCAAAAAGAAGACAAAGATAAACTGGGCATTGAAAATATTAAAAAGGAAAAAGTAATATCCAACGATGTCCAAGAAGGTTGCACAGTTTTCATCAAGAATGTCCCATTCGATGCCGACGACGCAGACCTGCGAAAGGTGTGCCGTAAATTTGGCCTGGTCAACTATGCCATTATCAATCGGGAGGCTGTTTCCGGTCACTCCCGGGGCACAGCGTTTGTCAAATTCAAGGCTAAAGAATCCGCAGATCTATGCCTGCAGGCAGGGACAGAGTTCACGCTGATGGATGAGGTGCTGGATCCACATCCAGCTCTAAGCAGAGATGAATTGAAGTCGAAGCAGTCACGGGAAAGCAAGGATGATGACACTGGAAAGGATTCGAGAAATTTGTATCTAGCCAGAGAAGGCCTCATCATGTCTGGATCTAAGGCTGCCGATGGTGTTACTGCTTCGGACATGACGAAGCGCCATGAGTTGGAGCAGATGAAGACTCAAGTGTTAAAGAACTTAAATCGGTAAGACTTGCTGTTTCTCCTCCTGATCAGATCTGTTTCCACCTTTCCCCATTCTTGCAGATTTGTTTCGCGGAATCGTTTGTCCATACACAATCTTCCCTATAACTATGACGACGAAAAGTTGAAGCAAATGGCTCAAACCTACACAGGCTTTCGCCCTCATGAATGTCGTGTAATGCGTGAGCACAAAATCACTCCAGAGCATCCACATGGCAAGTCCAAGGGCTTTGGTTTCATCTCCTTTGAGACACATCAAAGAGCATTGGCTGCACTGCGTAAACTGAACAACAACCCGAACATATTTGGCGCCCAACATGTAAATATTTTCCTCCCAAAATCAAGGATTATAATCGAACGATTTCTTTCAATCTTGCAGCGGCCCATTGTAGCTTTCAGTATAGAGGATCGTGCGGTTCACAAAATCAAAGAAAAACGCGACGAGCGGTCCAAACAGAATAATCCTACCTATCAGACGAAACTGCAGCAGAAGAAAGAGCGTCGTCAGCAGCAGCGGAACGGTCAGCAGACCAAAGAAAAGCCTCCCCAATCGGACAACAAAACGAAACTGCAGAAGCACATCAAGAAACTGGAGGCCACGCGGGCGGCTAGAACTGAGGGTAAGGAGAAGGAGGAACAACAGCTCACCGATGACCAAGACTTTGTGGGGGCGGCCGCCAAACCGGGAACTGCGTTGCGTATGCGCTCCAAGAAAAAGATCATGGAACAAGCCCAGGAGCACATGAAGCGCGTGAAAACCGAGAAACGCAAGACCAAGAACAAAAAGATACGAGAAACCCACCTGGCGGAGCGAAGGGCTGATAATCGGCCCAAGCAGGGACGCAAAAAGGAGATTGATGACCTGAAGCCCCTAATTGATAAGTATAAGAAAATGATTACTGGCAACCAGGATGGCGGTGGTGTTAAGGGTATCTTGGGTGGTAAAATTAAGAAACCTAAGCGCACAAAGTGGTACGCAGAATAAGCTTCACCCTGTCTAGGCTAAGGAAAACGGTAGCAATAAAAATGTAAATGAGAAACCCAACCCAGGTGTCTCTCAGGTAAATGGGGAAATTTTCCGTATAAACATCTGCCATATAGGCCCTGCAAGTGAAAGATTCTACCTGTAAGATGTGGTATATATAACTGGAAGACAATGTCTGTTCTTCAGTATTGCCTAGCAGTGTCTGTGAAGCGTTTCAAGCGCTCTAAATCGAATACACATATTAATAAGATGGCTCCGCGTGAAAAAGTTGAATTCGTTTTAGTTCGCCTGTCGTATGTGCCATATATGTAAGTACCCAACATAGATTCCAAGTATTGCGATATCATTAAGGAATTCCAATCCACAGCCATCCTTTATATCCACGCATCAGCTATCAGATTAGAAAACACCCTCCAACAGGGTCAGTTGTACAAGTCCGTGATTGGTTCGAGCATGTAATGCTAAGAGAACATTCGAAACTTCCACCTGGTGTTAATCTGCGCTACTCCGAGTGGCGCATTATCACCGGGGACGTGGATCTCTTCAAGGTGGAGGGCTGTCGCTTCGACAAGATCATGTTGGTGCTCGGCGAGGAGAACATATCATGGGTGTTCTATCAAAACATGCCACTACATCGACGCATCGAGGGAAGTGCTTGCTTACCAGTAAGCTACTGCGGCTGCTGCCTCAACAATCAGTACTTGGATATAATGAAGAAGATTAAGCAAACTCTGTCGAGAACGAAATTGCGATAAAATAAAATAAAATCATTGAAGTACTAATGGAAACAATAGTTTATGTTAAGATGATCGCTTTCAATTTCACTATACAATAGCAGCTGTCTACTCCAGCCAGTGGAAGCGAGAACCGTACTTGGCTGGAGGCTTGGGGTAATCTTCGGGCAAGCCGGGGGTGGCATCCGGATACGATTTGATCTCCTCCTTCTTGGGAGCCTCGCGTGCAGATTGAATGACCTGGGTAATATAATTTAATGTGTTACATTTAATAAACATGATTTTGACGATTCACTTACCTTGGCCCTGGAAAAGTAGCCATAAGAAGGGCGCTCCCAGTCAAAGTTATCCTTAACACACTTGTCAAACACACCTTGGGTCTTGCGGCACCTGAAATAGCGAATGATGAGCATCTTTTGATACTAAGTGGACCTTTAACTTACTGTGCAAATGCCATTGTACCACTGCTCTTGTCCAGGCAAGTGGCGTACTGCATAAACTCCTCATGGCAGGTCTTCTTCACCTTGCGGAAGAAGTTCAGGGCGCAGCTGGTAACCGCCTTTCCCTCCCCCAAGCAGGCACGCGGATCGTCCAGCTCTTGCCTGCACAACATAAACTCCTGAAATTACATGGGAATTAAACGTAAACAAACCCAGAACGGTGGGGTTTTGAGGTTAGGTTATATAACTGAAGCGGACCAATTTTGGTGTCCAGACCGATCTTAATTTATGTTTTCGTTTCACAGCAGCTAAAGACTCATATATAGAATTAATCTGAAGTAAAATAAATGCACTAACATTATTTTCCTGCTCGCATTGCTTGCCTAAGTGGAAGGCACCCGCACGCATAGCCGCTGAAGAAAGATTCAGCTCCTGAACATTGAGCTCAGCCTCCTCTGGCAGCGTTGTGTTGTTGGTTATGACCATGTTTATCTTCTTCCCTCTGTTTTATTTGTCTGCAAGGATCGGTTTAATTGATATTAAATGTGAATATTTAAATTTCAATACCCAGACACAAAACACAACAGCTGATTTTCACTAGATTAATTTCGGTACACGGTAACTACACGCTAACTACAAATTGCTACATATTAACTACATTAGTATGTAAATACTAAAAGCGACACATCAAGGGGAAATGTGTTGTTCCATGGAAATATTCGGTATTTTCCGGTATTTTAAAACATTAAAATTTCGTGGAAAAAAGAAGAAGAAGGCGAATTCACAGCAAAATCATTTTTGTCCATTTTCTTCAATCTATTAATTTAATTTTCAATTTTATATAAAAATCCAATAAATGCAAGTATTTCGAATAGGCCAATCATGTATAGAATTGATTCATCAATCGTACAAAATTGAGTGGGCATGGCTAAATGTTCTATATAGATAGTATTATTCAACGGAATATCAAAAACACGGAATATGAAAATAAATCTTGAATTCGTCAGTATATTTACGGTATATTTTGAAAATGAGGCGGTATATTTTGTTATATTTCTGAGGGTCGGACGGTATGTCTTAACGATAAATCCGCGGTCACACTGGTTGGTTCCAACAACAAACATTTAGGCCCAAACGAATTTTCCAATCAGAAACTAATAAAAAAAATTTCAAAAACGGTCACACTGGCACCGACTTGTGCGCTCCTGATTTTTAAATAATAAATTCATTATTAAAAATATCAACCAAAAGTTTAATAATAATTGCACTTGATAATAATAGCAAAATACCACCGATCAGACGTATGTCATATCGCGTTTTGCATGGAAATATCTCGAAATAAACAACAAACCACCAAAAAATACAAATCGCCCTCGGCGAACAAAAACAACAAAAAACGCGGGAACGCAGCAGCACAAACAAAATCTGTAGTCGGCATTTTCATGAAATCAGTTTAAGCACCTGGATCCTGAGAAGCATGGCAAACAGAGGAAAGACAAGGATGGCCGCGGAGAAGGCGACGGGAGTAAAAATTCGCACGGAAACGCTGAAGAAAAGGGAAGGAGAAGCTAAATCCGCCATGCGGGTAGGAGTAAAAATGGCGGCAAAAACGGCTCCGCAGCTTTTGGCTTCTAAACTGTTGTGCAAGAAACCAAACTTGTCGACGAACGTGTCGACAAACATGTCCACGAACACGACAACAAGCATGACATCAAACATCTCTACGACGAAAGAGAGAGAGAAGACTGACGCGGTTTGTGTGGCTTCTGTGAGTACGAATAACGGAAGTAACCGCAAAATCATCGTTAACAAGTATTATGAGGGGCATAAAGGTCTATACATTGTTTGTATCGACAAAATGAGTGCGAATAATGCCAGAATTGCTATAAACCAGTTTGATCTATCCGATCTGCTGCTGAAACAGGGCATTAGCGATATCGAGGAGGTTGCTAGAATGGGCTATGGCAGGTGCAAGATTGTGTGCGGGTCGGCAGAGTGTGCAAACGGGCTAGTGGAAAACAGTGTTTTCGCTGCTCAAGGGTACCCAACCCGAATCTTTAGGCACTTCGTCCAAAAAGCAGGACTAATTTTTGGGATCCCCGGGCACTACTCGGAGGAACAGCTAGCGGAGCTTGTAACCTCGGATATCCCAATTGAGGAGATAGTTCGGATTACGCGAAGGGATAGAGCATCGGGAGAACGTGTACCTACTGGCAGGGTGAAACTCTGGTTCAGAGGAGAGCAGCTACCAACCAAAATCAATTTTCTATATTCTAAAGTAGAAGTGAAACCTTTTGTTCAGCTTAATCAATGTTTCAGGTGTTTTAGGTTTGGCCATCTGGCGCAGCATTGCAAGAGTGGAGCGAAATGTTTCAAATGCGGACAAGATCACAGCAGAGATGTTATCTGCTCAGGGCTGGTCTGTGCTAACTGCAAGGGGGAACATGCTGCCACCCACCCGCAGTGTGAGGCCAGGAAAAAAGCGTTCGCCATTCAAAAGTGTATGACACTGGAAAACCTAACTAGAGCTGAGGTCAGGGCTAGATATCCGATCCTTTTTGATAGAACTGCCCCTGACCCAAGGGATCAAGGGGAATTTCCTAGACCCAGTTGGCAATCTAGCCGCCCCCCTGAATTCTTGAATAACAGCTTAGAGTCCGCCAGGGAAATTCATTCTGTCACCTCTTTCGCGGAAGTGACCAAATCCAATAGGGTTGCCGCCCGGAACGCAGAGGCGGCCAAGGCAGCAGCCAACATGGCAGAGTGGAAGAACTCAATAAATTCAGAATACGTCCAATTGAGCGAAAAATTTGTGAGATCTTCATCTGTGGCATCTTCTCTGGCCCAGGATAAGCTAAACGCACTAGGAGCCAAACTCACAGCGTTCCTGATTGATCCAAACAACATCATTAAAGGGGATTCTTTAGCGAATAAATTTATTAAGGAAATTAGAGAATTTGTCAATGCTTCCAACGCAGAACTAGATAGGTGTCAGATTGCCCAAGGGATGGCAGTTGGTTCTCAAAACATCCAACAATGAAGATTCTTCAGCTAAATATTCAAAGTCTGACACACAACAACAACAAACAGCTCCTCTCAATGTTCCTAGACAACAACGCAATAGATATTGCCATCCTCTCAGAGATTTGGGTGTTGAACAACGCGGACTGCAGCATTTTAGAATATAACTTTTTCTGCAGGCCCAGAGTGGACGGCTACGGCGGGGTTGGCATCTACGTCAGGAAAAACATTCAATTCAGCATTTTAAAAATAGAGAACGACTTTTTAGCATATATGCACCGCCATCAACAACAGTTTCACAGTTTAAATCGGGCACAAAAAAGTTTTTCGAATTCGCGGCCTCGCTTGACATACCCTCAATAGTGGGCGGAGACTTCAACGCTAGGTCTTCTATCTGGGGAAGTCCGATCTGTGATCGCAAGGGCCGCAGCGTTGAGAATTCCACCCGGGAGGCCGGATTTATCTGCCTAAACGACGGTTCGCCAACCTTCTCCAGGAGCCCATCTCAATTCTCCGCTCCGAACTATTAACTGGCAAGTCCTCAAAACAAAAATTACGAACAGCAACCACTTCCCAATTGTATTATCAGTGCAAGGCCTAAATGTCCCCCTCCATGGCAAGAAGATCCTTCACAACAGAATAGCCCGGATTCTGGGTGCAAGTGATTTCTCAAATCTGGAGGAGCTCAACGAAAAAGTGAAATCCCTGACCTTAAAAAACACGGTCACATTCCCAAGCAAGAACAAGTACGTTGCTAAGAAATGGTGGAACGAGGAAACGGAAAAACTTTTTCGCGTGAGAATCGATTGCAGGCAGAAATTCTACCTCACCAAAAAATTGGCTGATGCCAGAGCAACTTTAGAAGCTGACAAAAAGCTACAAAACCACGTAAAAAATCTTAGAAAGCGCAACTTTTCCAAGTTCATAGAAGAGGTCTCCTCATCGCCATCTATGTGGAGCAGGGTGAAGAACATAAAAAAATACGGTCATATTAAAAATGTAGGGAACAAATGGACGTACGAAGATGACAAAAACTTTTTAATATGGTTAAAGCAACCCCATCCACGTCAAACAGTAGGCCCCCTAAGAAAATTCCTGCCCCTTTGTTAGGACCAGACGACCCGGAACCCCTGGAACTGGAAGAATTCCTGGCCTTCCTAAAAACCAGGAACCCCAATTCGGCTAGAGGCCCTGATGGCATCTCGTTCAGGATGCTTCAAACGCTACCAAGTGGGAAAAAACAAGACATTTTTGGAATTATAAATAAAGTATGGCTGAGTGGCGTCATCCCTGAAGTCTGGCGCAGGATAAAAGTGGTACCCATCCCCAAGAAGAATGCAGACCCTACGTCCTTCCAAAACCATAGGCCGATTTGTTTGATTAACACGCTGTTCAAACCCATAGAGGGGTTGATAAAGTTGAAGCTGTGACCTGCTGCCGGACAGGTCCTATGCCTTCAGGAGAAACAGGTCCACGGCTCTCTGCATCAACGACCTTATCAACAAAGTTCTGCCGCTGAAGGCGAGGGGTTGTCAGGTTGTCGCAGCCTGCCTGGATTTACAAAGAGCGTTCGACTGCGTAAGAGTGGACACACTCGAGCACAGGATGAGGGATATGCGGTTCAATACAAGCCTCACGGCTTGGATCTCCAGCTTCCTTAACAAACGAATCCTCATAAAGGGCAAAAGCGAGGTAGAGGTGAACAGAGGTGTTTGCCAGGGTAGTTGTCTCAGCCCAACCCTTTTTAACCTTTACACAGCCGAACTACATGATATTAACAGTCATAACTGCTTACTGTTTCAGTATGCTGATGACTTTTTCATAGTTTGTTTCCACAAAGACGTATCCATTGCGAAACGGGTGCTGGAAGACAGTATAGATAAGTTCGAGGAAAAATGCAATAGGCTAAACCTGTCATTCAATCCGGCGAAGTCTAAAGTGATTTACTTCAACAATCGTAGAACTGCGCTAAATATCTCGCATCAGGGAGTTGAAATCAGACAAGTAGAGCAGATCAAATACCTAGGCAGGACTATCTCAGCAAACAACTCAGCCTCTGGTCACATTGATCTGGCCATCTCGGAATCGAACAGAAATTGTGCGTTTCTCAGATTACTCAGCGGGTGTCACTATGGTGTCAGCCCCAAAAGAGGGCTTATATTTTACAAGGCATTTGTCAGAAGTAGGCTAGAGTACGCGTGCTCATCATTCTGCAACCTGTCCAAATCTGCCTTGGCCAAAATCAAATCCCACTGCAACCATCACCTCAGAAAGTCGCTGGGTCTGATAATCTGCACTCCCGTTCCTATCATATACCACATGGCAGGAGAACTTCCCCCGGACTACAGGATGAGATTCCTGGCGGCGAAAGAGTTGGTTAAGGTGTTTGCATTTAATCTCCCAGCAAGTGAAACAGTGTCAGCAAATAGGGATTTAAACACGGGCTACGCTAAGGCATATCGGGAGTTTGGCAGCATAATAGACAGAGTTGAGGTTTTCAAGAACACAGCTTCATTTTGCAATAAAATTAGCTCCGACTTAGAATTTTTCAAGGGCTCTGCACCCAACAAGCACGCTATAGACCAGGCAGGTATCATGCTGCTCCACGGGGAAAAGAAGGATCAGCTGACGAAGGGGGGTTTTGAAATCTATTACACGGATGGGTCAGTCGCCGATGGGCATTCCAGCGCCGCTTTCCTGCACGATAGGACAGGTTTTTTAGATAGCTATTACACGCACAAAACCCTTTCCTCGTTGTCCGCCGAGCTCCTTGCTATCGAGAAGGCATTGGACCATGCTATTTTGTACAATTTTCCTCGTGTCGCGCTCCTGACAGACAGCAGAAACGGGGCCCTCATTCTGGCGAAGAACATTCAGGATAACTCTATCGCCTACAAAATCAGAGAAAAGATCCAAAAAAATCCACATCTAAGAACTGTAGAGGTTCACTACATTCCCCGACACGCTAACATCCCTCAGAACACTTCAGTCGACGCAGCAGCCAAAGAAGCCCACAGACGAGGAAAATACACAGTGGTTAAATGGAACCTTAAAGACGCTATGTGCGAAATACACAGAATCCTAAAAGCAGAATGGGAGAGAGAATACGCCGAGTTTGCTAGTATCAAGCACCGTGGTTACTGCTCGCTTTTCCCCTCAACATCATCCAAACCGTGGTTCCTAAATAAAACTAAACTTAAAGCCATTGACGCTAAAAGAATCAACAGACTGCTTAGCGGTAACGCATTCGATAGGCACACTCTCGCCAAAATGCATGTAGTTCCTAGCAACATATGTGATACATGCGATAGTATCGATAACGCCTCGCATTTAATTTTCAATTGTACAAAGTACAACACAACAAGGCAAAACTTCCCATCTCTAAGAAAATATAATGATATTTACAAATTCTTTGAAAAAGAAAACACCAGCGCGTACCAAACACTAATTGACTTCATCGACAAAACTGATGTAAAGCTATAAACAGCACTCCAACATCTTCTTTGACTTGGCAATTTCCACCTTCAAAAGGCGGGCGGCCAAATAATCCCACGCTACTCACGGGTAGTTTGGTAACTTAAATCCAAAAAAAAAAAAAAAAAAAATTTTTTGATCAGCAAATATGGCTCTGCGACGTTGTCACCTAAATCCGAAGAAAACCTTGTTCCTGCTATGTGATATACAGGAAAAGTTTCGGCTTGCCATGCCTCTTTTTGAGAATATGATCAAGAATGTGGACAAGCTGGTAAGTTGACCTTTGACTAGGAACTTTTCTTATCTGCAAGGTTGTCGAGATTAACTAAGTTCCATTGCAGACCAAAGCCGGCAAGGTGCTAGATGTACCCTTGATCGTGACCGAACATTATCCCGAGAAGCTTGGCAAGACTGTGGCCCAACTAGATGTGAGCCATGCAAAGCTGGTCTCTAGTAAGACCCTCTTTAGTATGGTTACACCGGAGGTGAAGGCAGTTATCAAGGATATATTTAGCGGAAAGCCGGAAGATGTGGTCCTGTACGGCTTGGAGGTTGGTTCCTAGTCTAATTTAGTTAAACCTTGGACTTACAATCATTCTATTCGTGAAACAGTCTCATATTTGTGTGGAGCAGACCGCCATTGATCTCTTGGAGCAGAACATCAACGTGTACATAGTGGCGGACTGCTGCTCTTCTCGTCTAAACCAGGATCGGGACTTGGCCCTGGACCGATTGCAACAGGCAGGCTGTGTGATAACCACAAGTGAGAGCGTAATTTTTGATCTTGTGCGAGATAAGAACAATGCCCAATTCGATACGATACGGAAACTAGTCAGCCAGACCTCGGTGGACATGGAACTTAGGCGCACTGGTGCCGGGCTGCCGGTGGGCAGTGCAAAGTTGTGAGGCGTCTGTTTTGTTATCCTTTTCTAGTGGTGTCAAATGCATTTGTATATAAGAAGAATTTGTTATTTAAATGGGGTTTAAATTTCCTTCGATTATAAAGCACACAAATTATAAGTTTTGCGTTGTAAACTTTTAATATTTGAACAAGGCTACGGGGAGGAGACTCCGCGGAAAGCAGAACGCAATTGCACAAGAATGGCACTCTGGAATGCTCAGTGGTGACGAGGGCCATGTGGATTGGTTGGATGAGGATGAGCTGGCTGGGAATGAACCAACCGGGGCTGGGAATGAGGATGGGCAGGACGAGGCTCTTCCTTGTGCGGATGCGCATCGATGTAGGCCAAGGCCCTGAGAATTGCCTCTGGAGTGGGTGGTGGCGTGGGCAGGAGATCACCGTGCGGATGATAGCCATTCTCATCGGCCGTGTAGGACACCTTTACGGGCAGTCCTTCTTTTGAGGTGAAGTGATATTCACCATGAACCTGATGCTCGTCCCCAGCTTCTCCGGCACCAATGCCATTGGTTATGTCATAGCCGTAGGAGAACTTTCCATGTCCGTCCTCCTTCTTGTACTGCTTTTCAACATGGGCATGCGCATCGTCGTCGGTGGCGGTGCAAGCGGCAACCAGCAGGATGAAGGCCAGCTGGAATACAAAGAGTTGAGTGAATATACATATGGGCTGAACTCTAGCATCCACTTACGTATTTGAACATTCTGAAAAAGTCTGTAAAAGCAAACTGTTGCTCAATGAAACAAGGCCTAAGGCTTATATACTTTCAATCGAATTCACATTATCCGCAATTTAAAATTCCTGTGTAACCAGTTGGGAGAGTGCTGTGCTGGCTAACTGGTGGCAGATCCACCCGTGAAGTCATAAATTAAATGGAGCAAAATGGTGCCAACGTTTAATTGCACTTGATAACAAACAGAAATTTCGTAAATATATAGTCAAGGTCATCATTCGATCTGTTGATCAGTTGATTTGGGGATGAAAGCCGGTGGCATCGGCGGTGTATGTCACGCGGATTTGCTTTCCGTCCTCCCCCAACAGAAAGTATTCGCCCTGTATTCCATTAACATTTCCTTTGGCCTTCACCGAGATGCCATTGCTGGTCTCAATCTCGTGCTGAAACTGTCCCGCTCCGTCCAGGTTCTGAAGATTCTGTGACTTGAGCAGCTCCGCATTACGATCGTCCTCACTGCAGCTAACCAGCACCACCGCCAGAGCAAAGATCAGGGTCTGTTGAATGCGAAATGTTAGTTAAGATTTTTAAGCCACCTTTGACAGCTTCCACTCACATATTTCAGCATTTCTAGCATGAACCAAATAGATGTGAAACAATGGGCTAGTGGACAGCAGCCTTTTATACTGCGGCAAAGTTGTTTTAGCAAACGGGTTTGTTTCCATCGCATCTGCTAATGAATAAAGAACTTCGCTTTGTCTCATTCGAGTCTGTTGTTGTGTCTGGCGGTGACGGTCTTCCTCCCAACTAGAGAGCAAATTAATAGTGGTTTGGTTGCCTTTTCTCAATGTTCAGCCCACAAGTACTGGGGTGATTTTTAAAACAATTTATTCTCAAACCTTTCGGTTTTTACTGGTCAGCCATTTGTACTCATCTTCGATGAGTACCACATCCCACTGCTCTTGACTGTATTTCCACCACGCTGGAAAGTGCTAGCAATGGCTGGCTTCAAAGTGGACGGAACTAGCTTCCGTTTCATTTACTTGCGTGTGGTGCCCATAGCTCAAGCACTTCCGATTGATGGTGCCCGTTCCAAACTGGGCTTAAAAAAAATAAACGCGGCCTTAAGTATCGTCCTGCAAAGGACTGTGGATATGGGCCTAGCAGACAACCTAATGGCTGTTGTCTGCGATGGTTGCCCAGCCAATGGGCTAGCCGTCTCAAATGCCAATTGGAATTTTCCAGCTTTGTGGGATTTCCCCCATCTAGATAGGATTTTTTACAACAGCAAAAAAGCGCCCTTCTCCGATATCATTCTTAGAAATTTATACAATTCGAGCTTCACGCCAACGAATTGGAGGGACGTCTTTGATAATTTGCCAGATTATCACCCAATAGTCCCCACGGAGTATCATGATTATTATACAACAGAGCTATTCAACATCAGAATGATGGTTGACAAATTTTTTTTGGTTCCGCGCGCAACCCCATTGGAGCTAAGGGTCATAAATTCCAATAAGCTCGAAGCAATGGGTTTCATCATTAAAAGGCTTGCAGCGGACATTGTAGATTATGCATCCCACATTAGCCAGCCTAATGAATTTCAAGAGGATGCTCTCTATTTTATAGCCCGCTTAGTCGGCACTCTAGCTCTATTAGCTCAAGGAACCGCGTTGAAAATCTCTTTTTCAAAGTTTTACTTAATTTGCAAGTTGGCTGGAAGCTCTAGGTCCTGTCGAAGTACAAATTCGACGATTAATATTACATTTATTGTTAATAACTTCATACTTTCAGACACCCCGACGATCGATGCCCCGCCCTAAAAGTAAATATAGTGGATTAGGCCTATTGGGGATACCACTTAAAAAAAAACGCGCCAAAAACTCGACCTCTTGGGTGGTGTGGAATGAGTTTATTACCATAAATAAATAAATCCGGTCCCGCAAGATTGCTGAAAGCGTTGGCCAGCTCAACCTTTAACTGAGCTCCGACGTAGCTCTATCTGGTCCGACGTACACGGATCCCTATGCCTCTCCGACCATACTCCGCTAAAAACTTGACTGCTGTTTCGTTAACGGGATAGCCAGATGCTAGCAACTTCGCCATAAAAGCAGGATTTGCCTCAGGGAATATATGTAGAAGGCTTGACTTCTTCCGTGCTTATTTGTTTCGGTTTTGTTTCCTTGTCCGCGTACTTTGCAAAGGCGTAGAAGGTTACCGGAGAAAATAACTTTCCCAATCTGTCAATGGTCGAGAATTAGCCAAAAATGTGTCATACAATTGGTGGTACTTTGCCTATTCATGCTGAAACTCTTCGGGCGAATCATCCTCTTCCGCTTTTGGCATACTGAGCAACTTGTCCATCGTTCGTTGGGGACAAGCGCGTACCTTAAACTGGTGTCGCCTTCGGACCTTGGGTCCTTGTAGAAGGCATTGTGGTAGTAGTAGCCTGGCATACTCATCCATAGTCTTTCGCTCCATCTTCATCCGCAGCTTGGTCGCGTTGCACCTCATATGGCATAGCCGGCAGGTTCTCTATTGCATTTTTAAAGTCTTTAATTTCTAAGCGGTCTAGCGGTCTTAAGTCTAGTTACTTAATTTCTTCGATGGAGCCATTAAAGCTCGATTTTTGGTTCGGTGCGCGAAAATATCCGAGGCACGGCCATCGCAGAGCAGGGCGGCCGATGCAAAGCTGTGGGAAGGTGGAGTAGAATATTGTTAGTTTAAGAATTCGGGCAGATATCGTGTCTTTCCACTCACCTGGTCGATGGGACACTGAAACTCTCAGGTCGCTTGCAGCAGTCGGCCTCATCGTGGACATTGTCACAGTTGTCACTGGTGGTACCATCGCAGATCAGAGTCTTGTCTCTGCCCTCGGTTGACTGTCAGCTGAACTGATCCGCCGGGCAGTCCTTTCGTCACAGCGCCAGAAGGCGGATATACAGTCGTTCGTTATGTCACTACTCCCGCCACTTAAAATTATCTGTCCGGATAGACGCCGTAGTTCTCCTTGCCCTCCAGTAGCATCAGAGCATCAGAATCTGGCACGAGCATACGTCGTGAATACTGCGTGTCATACCCCGCTGGCCATGCAGATGTGGAAACACTTTGTGCGACTGTGCAGACAGGTGTGATTGCGCTCCTCTCCAGTCCGGTCTTATCGTCCGACACAAATCTCCCGAAGGCAGAGACCTGCGAGATGTGCATGGAAGCACGGATTTTTCTGTAAAGGGGGAGCAGGAGATTACAAGTGTCCAAAGGTGTCCAATATTGGTTGCTTACTAACATCGATACATCCGATCGATATCGGACTGTTGGTCTAAGGCCAGAGTCGTGACTTCTTCCAGGTCCACATGCTCATTGCCATCGACTCGGGCCCGAATGATGGCCTGATGGCTGCTGACATCTGTCCAGAAGAGCAGACGCTTCGAGGCTTCGGCGAGTTCGCCCAGGAAGCTATAAGAGGCAACGTTTTAGAACACAGCTGAATAGGGAGAGAGAGCTCCACCTGGGCACGGATAATCTTGCCGGACACCGGCAGCAGCTAATTCGGGCAGTCTGTCGTAGCTGGGAGGGATGCAGGCCACGTCCTTAGCGAGGCTGCGGCTCTGGCCAGTCTTGATCAAAGTCCCCGGTGCTCCAGTCGCTCCAGTAGTCCTAGCCATCCAGTAGAGGAATATGAGCTCCCGGTTATGGTTGCAGCTCGGATTCGTCCATCGTGGCGCGGCTTATGGAGTCCGAGGCGACTCTGTTCAAGTACATGCACCCGCGACGCGTCTCGAGGACCAGGGAACGCGGCTTCTCCACCCTCCTTCCACAAAGCACGACGGCTGCCATCCACGCGGGTGATCTCGATGAGATGAGCCTCCGCATCGGACCGACGCGAGAACAGGCCCCATTCCCCACGTCTTTCCATCGCACCAGACGCCAGAATCCTGAAGAACCCGGTGTCCAGATGCCGTCCAGGGTCTGTTCTTTTTCCTCCTTTTTCAATTGTTTTCCTATGAAATTCGTCTTCTGGTGGCTGAGGCAGGGAGTAGTGGGCCACAACTGCGCCAAAGGGCGCCGCTGGTCGTTTCGGCATCGCTGCAGACTCTGTGGCTCGACTTTAACTGTAAATACGAAGAAGGTGGAAAGCACGGAATAGCCGTGGAACAGCGGCTGTTTTTGGGAGTGCCCTGTGACATCAGGACTTACTGTCATTTGAAGCCACTGTAGGCAGACGCACAAGGCACTTATGTTCATACAACAGTAGCATAAACAAACGAGTATCATTCCAATTGCTCAATTCTTTATTCCGTCGAATATTCCCAGCTATATAGAACATTTAGCCATGCCCACTCAATTTTGTACGATTGATGAATCAATTCTATACATGATTGGCCTATTCGAAATACTTGCATTTATTGGATTTTTATATAAAATTGAAAATTAAATTAATAGATGACAAAAATACCATTTAGCACTAAAAAACACTACATGGGAGCGCGGCGAAAACCAGTTTCTACAGTATATACGGTCTCACTTGAAAAATATACCGAGTGGTGCGCGCCAAATCGAACTTTTTTGAATGTGAGCGACAAGGACTTAAATGTTGTCAACCGGGCCTTTATCTATGCCCACATAATATTATACGATTCATGAATAATATTTCTACTTAGCTGGCCTATTCTAAGTACGTGCTTTTATTGATTTCTATAAAACGTTTAAAATGAAATTTAATAGATTCATAAAATGGACAAAATATACCAGCATCAGGTAAATAGTAAAGCTGAAACGGGAAATCGATAATCGATATGGCGCAATCTTCTCCCTGAGTAGTCGCATTTGATTTTTTTTTAATTGCTTGAAGCACCTTAAGGTGCTTTACTAAACTTCCGCCACAATGTGATCATAGCGATGGAAAAGCTGACACATCACATGAGGGGAGCAGAAAAATTAGATGATGCGCTTGCCATTTGAAGCTACGGGCACCACGGCCCTCCAAACTCAGAAAACGAACTCTAAGAAGGCCTAAAGTTTGAGCAGTTTGAGAAAGACTGCCCCTATCGACTTCCAGTAGCAAGAGTTTCTCTACGGTACAATCTAATCAGCTCGTGGATATACACATATTCGGACTTTGTCCAATACCCACAACTAGCAGTTTGACTCGTATGAATCATGCAATATCTTGGCAATATCTTATGGGTATATTTTCAACATTGATATAAGCTATAAACGCCTTACAAGCTTTAGAAGACAAAAAACGGCTTTCAATGAATCTCATCACTAGCTGACTCGAGTCTGCAATTAATAAAAGCGTGCCAATCACGTGATCTATGGTATGTCCATGAGAATGATGAACACAATATAATACGGGTATCGGGTACAATAAACGGCCACAAATAGACAAGTTCTCCAAGTCATCATCGAAAATCCCTCTAAGCCCCCGCTCTCAAAATACATACATATGTAGGTAAATTTCTACTAATCTATTGATTTTTTAGGTTCCATACCTCAGGGGTAGCTGAACTTTGGATAAACGGGTTTGCATTTGGCGGTTGCTGTTCTTTTCTTTCACTTTGAGTTCTTCTTTTCTTCTTCTTCTTTTTCTAGAAATTTGATGGTTGAATGTGTGTCAGACGACGATTGGTACTTTGAACCCTCGATCAGACACATCCACACATATACACATAGGAGAAGGGCGGTAGACAATTGACTACATATTTCAATTGGAATTTGTTTATAGGCAAATCAATTGATTCACATGAGAACCTTTGACGTCTCCAATTGCCAAACAATTTGCTGGCCCATGCTGTCAATTAGACTTTGTGCCTTCATGGCGCAACAGAACAGCCAAATTGCAAAGGTAAGCGGACAAGAGTTACGACATTTCTTCCGACAATTAATAGAGTCTCTCCGAAAAGCACTAGCCGAGGGAAAGCCTCACGCAACCTTTGCTGATAGCAGAACAAATTTGCTTATCGGAGGAGGTACTCTGCTAATCCGGATTTCTAGGTGTACGCCAAGTGCTTCGATTCGAAGAGTCTGAAATGCGATTTTCGAAAAAACAGTTTCCATTTCCGTAACGTTGAACACTTCATTTTAATAGTTTTCACTCATACGAATACATGGTATTATTCAATAATTTGTGGCGTCACAGCACGCATACTCGTATATAGTATTGTATAGTAAAGTTTTGTACGTTTGTGTATATTTATAATATGTAAATAGGTCACAAAATTGCCCAGCACGAGATGCTATGAGAACGCTTCTCGCATAAAACACATTTCAATAACTATTAATAGGAGTGCTCACTGTAGTCCATTTTTAAAACCCTGATATCTAGCTATTCTCGGCTTTTAAAATATACATGTATGTAGAATATAAAAACCCTGAACTTATTCTTAATATATTAATAATATGTAACTGAACAATAAATAATATTAAGTATGTCGATAAAACATTAACGTTAGGCATTGTGACTGTCAGTGCCTAGCATTAAAAAAAGGATCGGCCCTCACTTGGTCGGATTTCAAATGAGTTATTGTCGGCGCTTAAAGTCTGTGAGTAGGAACACCCCTATGGTTTCAATATGTAACAAGCTGTTGGTTATGCCAACGAGAGGTATATGTGTGTAGGCCTGAACATATGTTCTACTGTAATTAACAATTATTTATATAATTATTTTTCTATGGAAGACTCTGTAGTGGTCGATCTGCGTTCAAGCTTTGTTCACACAGGTATACGAAAAGGTCACATTGTTATGCACTTTTAGGTACGACATCAATCATATTAGACTAAAGACCTACGACTAAAGCGGTTGGTGAGTGCCAGGCGACGCCTCCTGGAAAATCCTTTTTTTCATTAAATTCTACTAAAACTATCGCTGGAACTATTGCTCTGTTAGCTTGGTGAATATCTCATCCTGGATTGACTGGGCCCGTTCTTGCTCTTGGCGCCGCCACCGACGAGACAGTGGAGGAGCAAAGAGGTCGTAGTCCAGCTGTTTTCTGTACTTATCTAAATATATCTGTGAGTTGTCCGCCCATTTCAAGTACGTTAGGACCCTGCTGGCGCTGTAGCCAATGACTAGAGCGATGAGAAATCCGAGGACACTGAACCACAGATAGGAGAGTCGATAGAGCCATAAGTACTCCTGCTCAGTGGCCACCCGACTGCTCTCTGTGGCTAGGCGCAGGTCTTCTGCGACAAAACTGGTGGTGTTTCCACATCCTGAGGTACTAAACGTCAGGGTCTGGGGTTTCGGTTTGGGTCCACCAAATCCAATGAAGAAGGCGAAAATGATCGAGATCCAGAAGCCCAGGAGCACGCCGCGTTGATTACTGCGCGTTGTGCAGACTCCCAGCGTAAAGACAGCTAGCAGAGGTCCTCCCACCACACCAAAGATGGTAAGCGAAGCTTGTAGGACACCTCCAAGGGAACCAGCCCCGAACGCCAGTCCAATGCAGAGCAGACCAAAGATAAAAGCCACAACTTTGGTGGGGAGCGTGGACTTGGAGTCGATTAGAGTCCGTTTAAAAATGACCTTGTATAATGGCTTCAGGTAGTCCTCCAGGGTAACGGCCGACAGAGACGTGACCGCTGATGAAATACTGGAAAGACTAGCAGAGAATATTCCCGAGACAAAGAGTCCACACAGGCCGGGATATTGACCTAAGGCAATAACATATATCAAATGTAGAGGTGTATTTGCAGAGGATATGCAGGAAACTTACCCATGGTGTCCACAGCGAACAGCGGCATGAGCTGATCCCGTGACTTGATGCGTCCCTCCAGCAGCGGGTCACAATTGCGGTAGTAGTAGAAGATGGCCAGTCCACTGAAGATGGTGCTGAAGCTGAGCAAGCCCAATATAGGTACATTCCACCAGAGCGCAGACTGCGCGCTCTTTAAGTTGTGTACGCTTAACAGCCGCTGGACCTGGGTCTGATTGACGCCATAGAGCGAAAGATAGGTTACCATGCCGCCAATAATTAGGGACCACCAGGTGTGTCGCACCGTTGGGTCAAGTGAAAATTCGGTTATCTCCAGTCGGCCACGCTCCGCGGCCACCTGCCAAATTGCGCCCAAGCCGCCAGCCTTTATTCCTGAAACAGCTATCACCGCAAAGATGGCGGCAAACATGAGGAACGACTGAAAGACATCCGTGATCAGAACCGCTTTGAGACCTCCGAGCGTCGAGTAAAAGGTGCAGACCAGTCCAATAACCAATATGGCCGTACTCCGCGGAATGCCAGTAACAGCCTCCAAGGCCAGAGCCGGAGCATACAGGGCTATCCCCATGTAGAGGACCATTTGAATTGTGAACGCTAAGGAGGCACACAGACGGGTGGCCTGGCCAAACCGACGCTCCAGGTACTCGTAGACACTTGTTGTCTGCATGCGATAGAAGACCGGCAGAAATATGTAGGCTGCAATGGGCGTGCTGCTCCAATAGGCGATATTTATCACACAAAACATGGTCCCAAACTGATACGACTCATTTGAAACGCCCATGAGGGAGATGGCGGACATGAAGCTGGCCATCAGGCTGAAGGACACAGGGAACGTCGTCATGCTCTTGTCCGCCATCAGGTATTCCTTTGTGGTTTTTTGCTTGCCCCCTGTGTACCGATAATAGATGCCAATCAATGCCGAAATTATCAAAATGCTGATCAATACGGCCGCATCCCACGCATCAAACGTTCCCACACTCATGGTGTTGTTTTCGTCACTCGAGTGAATTGATTTTTCTACAACGGCAACTCACGGTGAATCGCCGAGTCTGATCCGCGTAATGACCTTTTCCGCAGTCAATGGTTCTTGCGCGCCGAAAAGCAAAGTACGCGCAACCAGCGAAAACAAACAACGCGTGTCTCGCGAAAATGATTCCGTTTGAACCGTCCGGATTGATTATTCTTTTCGTTGATTGGCACAGCTGATTAAAGAATAACCGATGACAGTTGACCGCGGACTTATCAGAAATATACCGAATTACGTCACAAATCTCAAAATATACCGTAAATATACTGACGATTTATTTGTACTCAAGTCGCATCATATTGCTCTTTTTTTATGTTCGGTTGAATATTAATAGCTAGTTGGGAGCCTCAACTCTGAACTCATACTTTTATCTGATCGATGAATCAATTTCCTATAAGACTGGCTAATCTTAAGCTCTCACCTTTATTGCATTGCTTATAAAAAAGGTTTAAGCGAAAACAGTCAACAGCAATTTCCACTAAATTAATTTATTTACACGGTAACTACACGCTAACTACACATTTCCTACATAGTAACTACGTTTATATGTAATTACCAAAGGCGACACCTGAAGGGGAGATGTGTACGTTTCAAAAAATGTTGCCCGTTTTTTTTCATATAAGGCCCATGGAAGCGCCAGTGTGAAAAACATCCGTTATCCACTTTTTGACATGCCTTTTTTCCGACATTTTTGAAAAAATTGAGGTTTTGATGGCAAACGATCAGGAATTCGATGCTGATCACGAATTAGTATTCGATCTGGCCTGGGACATGGCTCTAAGTGAAATTTCTACACGGTTTCTACATTGGTGCATTCGACAAGAGGGTGACAAGAGGTTCCATAGCACGTCTTAAAATATACTGGAAAATACTAGAAAATACTATGACAAGTATAAAATTTGCAAGGTGTGTGAGCTAGACATGGTGGACTTAGCCGAACTACTTGAGGAAAATGTCGGAAAATATTAACGATTGTTAACTGCCATCTTCCTCTGAACTTCAAAAAACACCACGATATTTCTCACTTGAACTGCGCTAAAATTATATTATAAAATATTATAAGCTAGTTAAAACCCTCAGCCCTGCCCACATAGTTTACTTGTCTACTTCAACTGTTTATTTTAAATTGTAACTTTTATTGGATTTTGTCTAAAAATAAGGTTTTAGCGAAACAAATAAAACGTTGATTGGCACAGCTGGTTAGCAGAAGGGCTGGGAAAAACTCGATAGCACTATCGATACTATCGATGTTTTATTTTTTCAACAGATACGATCACGGACTCGGTGTTTCGTCATAAAGAGCATCTCTGTTTTGGGCCTTTACCAACACCAAGCGAAGATTGCGCGGGTGCAAGAGAGCTAGCAACAGACTGCTCGCATAACACACATGAGCAAGAGAGAGCGCAATATTCTGCCGTTTTCTACGCGACTGCAGCGCCGCCGTCTACGTCGACTCGCTTTATTTCTGCTTTGCGTTCAATCAAGAGCTGTGCTGCGCTGCTACTGCATTATTCTTGGGAAAAAATTTCACTGTTGGCAGCGACTGAGAAATAAAATTGAAACGTCGACGTTCCGTTCCTTCCTCGGAGAAGAAACCCCCTTCGAAATAAAAACAAACACTAAGCGTGCGTTCGCGCCAAATATTTATTAACAATTAGCAAGCGAAAGAAGCAAAGTGAGTGTTCCCCCGCCCTGCCCCCCTTCCAAAGAGTTCGTGTGGTCAGTTTCCATAACTCAAGTCTTGTTTCCCCCGACCCAGTGCATACCCTTACGGCTGCCATTGAGATGGACAAGCTGGATGCCAATTTGGAACAGCAGTTTGATCTAAATCTCATCGAGGCTGTCAAACTGAATCCCGTCATATACGACAGATCGCACTACAACTACAAACACTTTGTCCGCAAAGCCCAGACATGGAAACAAATCGCCGAAACACTCGGAGTGCCTGGTAAGTGAAATTCGTTCCGACTTGGTCCGACTCGACTCCCAGCGCAGTCCGGGTCCAGGTCGGTCTGCTCTGGGGTATATCTCAGTAGATATAGTATGTGGCAGAGACGTCGCGACTGGTGCCCCAACAACAACCAAATTGATTAATTCTGCAGGAGGGGCGACAGAGGGTGAGCTAGCCGACGACGACAGTGGCTGAGACGGTGGCGGTGGCAGAGGCAGCAAAAGCAAGCAAGTGTAAGTGTACAGAAAACGACGCAAAAGTGAACGGCGAGGCGACAGAGACGGTTGAGAAATTACAGGAGCGTAGCCAGCGTGACAGGGGTGGTTTTGTGAAATTCCACATTTTACGACCCTCTTTCGGGTCTTTAGCTCCGCCCCTGCGCGCGCTGTCCATATTTTGGAAGTTGCTGTACTTTGCTGTCGCGTCGCAGTAGTTGTCTCTGTCGCACCCACAGTTATTCTGCTTGCGCTGGCGTTTATTTTTGTACTCTGCCACAGCGCCGTTCGGCTGCATCTGCTGACAGCTCTCTCATACATACACACTCGTGCGAACACACACACAACACAACGGCATAGGGGACGGAACAGCTTTCGTTTCTTTTTCACAAGTATACCAACAAATTGTACCGTACTTCCCCATCCCCGTCCGCACCTTCTATTTCGTTTTTAAGCGAAATATTTAAATTGTCGTTTATATGATCCACTTTTTCGCATTTTTGTCAACTTTATCCACGGGTTATGCAAGACATTCAATATCGAAAAGTTTGAGCCAGGAGAGTCAATGAGACAATGCCACAGGTTTCCTCCGTCTTTGGCAGTGGGTGGTGGGCCGACTTCGTAGTCGAAGTCGGCAGTAACGTCACCGTCAGACAATCACGTCAACGCCTCTGCTGACGCTTGGAAGCTGCCGCGACTTCTGCTTCTGCCAACATATTTGTACGAGTGTGTGTGGTAGCAGCAGTTGCGAGCAGACGCGACGCATTGTGGTTTGTTTTGGTTTGTGATTTGATGCTTGTCCCCTACACCTGTCACTTGCAGTGGCGTTTCTGCCACCCACTGGGGCAGCAGCATTACGGGGTTTGAGCTCTTGTAGGGGACTTGGACCTGGAACTAGACTTATAGTCAGATAATATGCATGTTCCTTGACTAAATAAACTAATTTAATTTTTCCAAACAGAACAAAAATGTACAAAGCGATGGAAGAGTCTGCGCGACAAGTTTGCACGCGAGATGAAGCTGTGCCAGGAATCGCGCTGGCGCTACTTCAAACAAATGCAATTCCTTGTGGACAGCATCAGGCAGTATCGGGAATCGTTGCTCGGAAAGTGTGCTAACGGCAGCCAGGGTAATCAGGTGTCTGATCCTCAACAGCAGCAGCAACAGCAAGCCGTGGTGGACATCTTTACACAGCCATTCAATGGCAGCGCCACGACCTCGGCAGGGGCATTGACCCATCCGCACGGTAGGATTGACAACTTTCTAATATTTTGAATTTATAATTGAATTGTGAAATTATTTGCAGAAATCACTGTAACCAGTGACGCACAGCTGACGACTACCGTGGGCAAGGACCAGAAGCCATATTTCTACGAGCCGCCTCTTAAGCGGGAGCGCGGTGAGGAGGAGCACAGCGACAACATGCTGAACTCCATCAAGATTTTCCAGAACAGTGTTTCACAGGGGGTCAGCGCTGAGGATCAGTCGTTTGGCATGGTCGTCACAGACATGCTTAACACGCTGGGCGTGCGACAGAAAGCCGAGGCCAAGGTGCACATAATCAAGTATCTAACTGACATGCAGCTACTTGCCCAGCACAACAAGTACTAACTATCGGGCGGCGGTCACCGGCAACTGCTTCAGCTGCTGCAATTGGAGAGTGTCTTGTCCTGAGATCAAATAAACTGGCGGCCTCCCCCATACACACACACACACATAGACACACACGAACGCTTGCGAGTCGTGTGCGTTTACTTTCTCTAGGTTATAACTATTAAAAGTCAAACTAAAGTTTAAAACTAGACCTTAAGCCCCACGGCATATATATACATAAATATATAGAACATAATAGTACTTCCCTTAACCCAAAAGTAGACAAACATATATATATTTATATGCTTAGTTGGCCCCAAGACCGATTCAATTCGTGCCCAGTTCTCAGCTCTGTAAAAAAGAATGTGGAAAAAACTGATTGTAAAATTATGCGTAGTTTGTTCAAACACTTTCTACGCAGCGATGTACATTTTTGACTACGATTTAGTTGTAACTTGCCATCGGGTTTTAGATGTAATTAAGTAATTGCAGATACGTTATATTATTTTTTTAAGTTCTGTTGTAATATGCTGAAAACGCTTGAGAGATACTTTGAAATGCTTTAAATAAGTACGTCATTAAAAACCATTTTACATATTGAGCGCATATTACAATCTTTATATGGATCATGGACCATTTTTGGGATTATCTCGAAAGCCTTAAGCTTTGCTTTAACTTCAATCAATTTAATGTGCAATTATTTAATATTAAAAGAAAGAGAAAGAGATCTAAAAATGAACCACAATACTGTTTCCATCAGGGTGGCAACGCCGTCATCCAAAAATATAAACAGAGCCAGCTGTTTGAGATGCACAAATTTTTTATGTAATTAAAATGGGCAACAAAGCTGAAAATTCTGACACAAAAGACGCTCAAAACAAAACAGCGTTGGACGATGCGTGGGCGGTAAGTTACCGGCTTTGTAAATAATCAGAAATCTAATGGACATCTCCCTTAGATCCGGCCCTGTCATCTGTACAAGGATGAGTATGATGACTGCACGAGTTTCAAGGCACGATTCCACCAATACTTCATATTCGGCCAGGACAGCGATTGTTCCCAGTGGCTGACAGACTACAAAAACTGCGAACGCTATCACCAATCAAATGGTAACGACGTGGCGTCCGGTGCGGCTGTCATCAAAAGCGAGGAGAAACGCCGCCAAACCCGATTGCGGGCGCATTTTGCCAACAACACATGGGAAAAGCGTAAGCAGCCGCCAGCAGATTGGGCCCAACCTCTGCCAGAATGGCTGGAAAAGCGCAACGAAAACACGTATCTGGAGCTGAAACAAAAAGAGCTGTCCGGCCTCAGTGTACCGCAGGATGAGAAGGGTTCGCTTTGTGCAATCATGTGAAAATAAATAGAACTGATAGATCCTGAAAAGTTAGTTTGAGGCGTATTTTAATTGTAAATGGACTTAAATATTTAAATAATTTGTTTATACAATCGATCCAACTTTCTGGCAACGCTGCAAACAGCTGGTTCTCCGTGGACTTCATGGTTGCTATTGTTGGTGCTGTGCTGTGAAGGGTGGGAGGGAAGTTACACACCTCAGGAATGGAATATATATGTTTTTTCCGAATCCCAATATACTAGCTTTGCTTAAAATGCTAAAGGGCAGCAAACTCAAAGCTTTGGATGTCAGAATCCTGAGGCCCCTTTTTGAAACAAGGTCAGGTAAATGCAAATTACATAATCTTAAACCAATGGGAGAACTGTAATTTTTGGCTAGCCAAATTGTGTGTGTCACTGAGAATGTGCTTTAACCTTTGCAGCTGTTGCCAGCAGCGCAGTTTCGCCAATAGCATACAAAGATCCTACATAACGTTCAATGACTTCCGCAGCAAAAATCGTTGGTACACCAAAAAGGAGCTTGTGGGGTAAGTGCCGCCACTCCCCGAAGCAGCACATGCCACAGGCAGCGCTAACAATTGTATGTATCCACAGGTACTCTATGAAGGACATGTACACAGTGGTCTCCGACGTGAGGAACTACTACAAATTTGTCCCTTATGTGAAGCGATCGCACGTCCACACCGTCGACAGTGATGGTTTCAAGGCAGACCTCATTGTTGGCTTTCCCCCACTGAACGAGGCCTACACGTCGAGGGTGACGCTAGAGTCGCCCAGCCTGGTCAAGTCCGAGTGCCATGATGGACGTTTGTTCAACTATTTGCTTAATGAATGGCGTTTCAGTCCGGGCCTGAAAGACATACCCAACTCATGCGTCTTGGATTTTAAGGTATCCTTTGAATTTAAATCGCTGCTGCACAGCAACGTGGCCAACATATTCTTTGATCTGATATGCGATCAAATGGAGAACGCTTTCATCGAGGAAGTGCGTCGACGCAATGGACCACCTTCGATTCGTTCGCACGTGCTGACCTCCCAGAGATCATGACGCGGTCCAAACGGCCCATCTCCCTTCGTTCTAGTAACTTAAGTTGAACGTGTATTTGTACATTTCATTGACACAGAGTCGTTTTATATTTCGTTGTTAGTAAAATTAACCAAAATGTAAATAAACATTATTCAAAGTCGATTTGTGTGTAATAAATTATCCCCCAACTTCAGGAGTTGTGTCGAAGATGCTTCGAAAGTTATTTTAAGTTGAACGTTGACAGAATCGACCACACACATACAACGACGAGCACAAAAAAGACATCAATTAAGTACATTAGTTTCATTCACTTAAAAGAATACTCAAAATGAATAGTTTTTGTTAACAGTCTCGTGTTCTGGTTTATTAGTATGCAACGGAAAACTGATACATAGATGGCATGAGTTAGTACGAAGAGCTCTGCTTAACTGACAGCTGCTCGGTGACAACTTTGGTGTAACCACTAAGAAAGATAGATGCCCTAGCAAGTCGATCAATCCTATGTCAGCTACAGGTATATGATGATATAGTGGTCCAAGCTGGACTGTTTCGACGGATATACCTTTACTGCCTGACGGATTAGTTGGCATATCTATTTTAAAATTAAAATTAATCATGGAATGGCATCGTTTAAGTCGAGATAAGTGTGAAAATATCCTCAAGTGGCCTACGCTACATTACCTTACATGCTTACCATATAGAAATTGTTATTATCGTATCGTGCATTTAAGTTCAACATCATCGAGTTGTAAGTATTCGCCTTGGAATACTAAAATTACCCCTTCAGGTGAGGAGAAATAGATGTGGCTGTTACCGAATATGCATCCAAGTGATACTATCTACGTTAATATGGGATCTATTCAATCTACGACTATAGCGCTAAGCTCTCTACACATTACTTTATACATGGGGAGGAGTGTAACCAACTCTCTACTTAGTTTGCGCAGTAAAAAAGTCTGACCACAACAGTCCACTACAAAGGTTAAGTGTAAGTTTCTAATTCAATTTTTTTATATTGTCCAGTGAATTACGCGTGCATCTATTTTCGGGGAAACAATTAGGCTATCAAGATGGGTCAACAGATGGTTAAAGACGAGGCCAACAGCAACATTAGCTTAACATTAAACATTAGCTTAATAGAACGAGTTCATAAATCAAAAATTAAGCACAAGGACGAGGTCTAAAATCATACGAGAGAGGGGCGAAACTATTTCCGAGTCGGGATGTGTGGGGGATGTGGAAAGGGCATGGCACAAGATGCAACCATTTAGAATGGTTAAGCATAGTGTTTAAGCCTTACAAAATATCACTTTTTCGACGACGATAGGTCGCCAGTTTCCTTAGTTCTCAGTTGTGCTTGGCCCGCTTGCCAAACATATAGCCCTTCCAGCGCTCTGCGGTCTGTGCAATTAACGGGTCGCTGTCAATAGTGGCCAGCAGTAGCAGCTGATTCACATGCGTTGCATGATAGTCCCATCGTGCCAAATTAGGTGCCACGCCAAGGCTGAGATGCCTTAGATCGTAGCTGGTGCCGGAGCCCGTGTCGTATAGTAAAAGCATCTTCTTAAGCGAGTACATGCCTTGGGCAAACAGTTGGCCTGCCTCTCGGGCTATTTTAGCTGGCGCCGTGCTATTCAGATCGTAGAGACCTAACAGCGAATAGATGAAACCGTTTAGCACTAGGGATGGCGGCGTTGTGGGATACTCCTCGTACCTGTTGATACGAAATAATCACATAAGGAGCCTAAGAAAAATGTCTGTGGTCGACTCACCAATAGAATTTGTCCATGAACTGAGACAGCACGCCCCCGTCCTGCGAGAATACCCTATATGGTTGAAGTCCTGCTGCGGCCGCCTTGAGATAGCGCTCATCGCCACCGGAATGCCAATAAGCTCGCGCCAAAACGGATATGGCATGGCCTTGGCCCATGGCCGATATCCAGCCTGGACTCAGCTCAGCAAAACCATTGAGACTTCGGCGCACAGGATTGGTCCAGCCACCGGACTTGGGGTCCTGATTGTGAACGAACCACTCGGCAGCATCATAGAAATGCGCCATATGCTCGCTGGTGGACAGGGTAATGTTATCGTAGAAACCAATGCCCAGGAAGGCGACAGACAAAACTTCCAAATCGGAGCGCCGTACCTTAAGCGGTGATCGCTTGTCCCCTAGGACGATGCCCTTCTGAACATCAATGTGAAGATCCCGGGTTATGTGGCGCCATTTGTTCAAAGCAGAGGCCCCCAAACCATAATAAATGTTCGAGTCCTGAACGCTGAGTAGAAGATCGGCGGGAATATAGTGGAGGTTATAGCTGTGCTTGGTGTCTCGGTTCTGGACCGTAACCATAAGGCTGCTGCTGTTGGTCACAAGGAGCATATCTACGCTCAGAAGTAAATCTAATGTCTGGTTAAAGCCAATGCTGATGGCGCTCTCGTAGCCAATGGCCGTCTCGAACTGAACCACGCTGGTATTGAACTTATGATGCCAGATGCGTGTCATGTTACTGGTCTTGGGCGTTGTCCAGTCCATCTGATAGCCATCGCCATCCTCCAGAACGTGCACTCGGGGCGCCTGCTCTGTCAAATTCTTGCTATAATGCGATAGGGCGAACTGGGCTATTTGCGTGGGATAGAAATAGCCACGCTTCTCCCACTGTGTGCTCACAGGAACTCCCTCGGCGGCGCTGATGCACTTCACCCGATCGCGGACTTCCACATTGTAGTTCTCAAAGTACATGAACACGCCACGGGCATCGTATTTGCCCTTGGGCAGATTTACCTTGGCTGTGCTGTGCATCCAATTGAATTTTGCCACCTCAGTGCCGCTGGTTGTGACTGCTCCACTGACATCAAAGTAGTTTCGCAGGAACGAGAAGGGCACGTACACCTCGTTGGCATTCTCATCTCGCTTGCAGTGAACACTGTACTCCTGGTTGATGGAGCACTCAATGTCTTGCAGGGCATCTGAGGTTTGCGCAGCGCTAGAGGTCTGACTTTCATGGTGCCGATTAAACTGACGCACAAAGTCCGGTGAAAATGAAAAGGCGGCACATCGCATATAAACGCCTAGGGTTATCACCACCACGGCCACCGTTAGAACGAGCATCACAGCTTTCAAATTTAGTCGCATTATGAAGAATACGAATGGCTCCCGTTGCTAGTCGTGGAGAAGAGACAATGAGATAATGTCTGTCTGATAAAGACACAAAGATAAGAACCTACCTTATTACTTTGCGACTTGCGTTGATCCCTAATGTCCCCGCTCGGGATTAGTGGGTACGCGGGCAAGGCGAAGGCATCACTATTCGTGGTCTGATATTTGGACATTGAAGGAACCAGCTTCTGTCTAACGAGATCGCCGACCATGAGTCATGCTCTAAATATAGGCTCGCGAGAAGCGGCTTTGATCTGGCAGATGCATCACCTACAAATTAATAATATTGCACCAGTTTCACACACTCTGCCACCCTCTCCTCACTCTAACTATCTCTCTCTCCGACGGCCACTGTCTTAGCAAAAATTACACCTGCAATGGCTTCGGTGAAGGCTGTAGTTACCCGAGTTTTTCCCTAGGTGCACCACAATAGCTTCACTGGCTGGTTTTTACATTTCTCGAGCACATTTTCACTTCTTTTCAACGACAATGTCCGCACAATACAGAAGTAAATAGAGAATAGAGATTCTCTCTCCCCCTCTCTCTGTTCATCTCTATGACAATATGTTTTGACATATGACCAGTGTGACCGATCCTCAGAAATATATCAAAATATACCGTAAATATACTCACGAATTCAAGTTGTATTATACATATTCCTCGATTTTGTTATTCCGTGTAATATATATTATACCATATTATTATTTTACATATCATATTATTATATAATATTCTCATTATTATGATGACCTTGGTTCTCCGCTATAGATGCCGTGGTTCTCCGCGATAATGACCTTGTAATTATCCAGTTTTCCACTTGACTGGTTTATTTTAAATTCTTGCTTTTATTGGATTTGTCGAAAAAAAGGTTTTAGCGAAAAAGGTCAAACAAAAAATGTAAGAGCTTAGCTGTTCCTATTGCTCAATTTTGATATTCCGTCGAATAATTCTGGCTAAAACCCTTAGTTCTGCCACATAAGTAGAGGCCATTGAGGAATATATTTTCTACAAAATTGGCCTTTTTATACCCGATATTCAAAATGAGTATTGGGGTATATTAGGTTTGTGGTGAAAATGGATAAAGTATATATATTCTTGATCAGCATCAATAGCCGAGTCGATTGAGCCCTGTCTGTCTGTCCGTCCGTCCGTCTGTCCGTCCGTCCGTCTGTCCGTCTGTCCGTCCCTATTAGCGCCTAGTGCTCAAAGACTATAAGAGCTAGAGCAACGATGTTTTGGATCCAGACTTCTGTGATACGTCACTGCTACAAGAATATTTCAAAACTTCGCCCCGCCCACTTCCGCCCCCACAAAGGACGAAAATCTGTGGCATCCACAATTTTTAAGATACGAGAAAACTAAAAACGCAGAATCATAGATAATGACCATATCTATCAGAATGCCGAATCTGGATCAAATCAAATCATTTTTATAGCCAAAAGGAACAAATCAATTTGCAGTGGCTACGCAGCGCCCGACGTCACGATCAGACTGATTTTCTGTCTCTCTCGCACGCATTCTTTGTCGTGTCGTTCAATATTAGCGGCGTCTGCCGGAGGAGAGCCATACTGACTAAGTATCGGGTATAAATGTAGAGTTGCGGTCTCCGCAGCAACTCACAACGTTTCCCCTCGTTTTTATTATCATCCCAGTGTACACGTCACGAATTTTGGGAATCAAGGAGCCGGTTAATGTTTTCCTCGTCGGAAGCTTATACTTCGGGGCGTGCGTCACATCGTAAATAAATCTTTTGAATTCCGGTTCTTCGACCAACCGCAACGCGTGATGACCCTTGGCGATCATGCGTACAATCGGGCCATCGGTGTTTTGTCGGATACCGGGCTCCATAGACGCCGGGTTCTTGCTCTTTAAATGACGCCTTACGTTGCTTTGACATTTGGAACTCAAAACAGATTTTCAATACTTGCACTTGGCTTCTTAGCGTCAAACTTCCTCGACATTATTCAAAATTTCACTATACTTTCGAATTAGCGACATACTAAATTTGTAAAAGAGTAAGCAGCTGTGAAGGTAATGAGCAGCAACGCCCTTTGAAAATGCCCTTGAGGAGCAAAATTCATCAAAAAGTGAGTAAAGAAAAGTGAGCAAAAAAGAACAAGTCAACAAAATAGAACAAGGGAGCAAAAAGAAACAGTTTGAAAGGAACACGTTCAGTTGCTCACTTAAATGAACACCTCTTTTTTCACTTACTCATGAGCAGCACAACACTAGCGGAACATCAAACAATGAAGATTCTTCAGCTAAAAATTCAAAGTCTGACGCACAACAACAAACAGCTCCTCAACAGGGACGAATTCTCGCAGAGATTTGGGTGTTTAACAACGGCTACGGCGGGGTAGGCATCTGCCATACAATAGAAAAGACATACGATTTGTCATCGTCAAAATAGAGAACTACTTCGGAATTTTAGGAATTAAGACATTGAACCTCAAGAGTAATTTCAATATTCTTAGCATATACGCTAAAAAACATTTTCACAATTCAAATCGGGCAGAATAAACTGTTACGTTTTCGCACTAATCATACAGAATATAGATGAGCCAGTTCATAGAACGAACATGTCGCACGTTGAACACAGAATTCCCGTCCCATGGGGTTCGGGTCTGGCGTTCGGTTACCGCCTCGTCATCATGAACCAAACACATCTTTGCATGTGTACAGGCACAATTGGATGCTCTTTGCGTTTTCTGTGTGATTTCTGTGTTTTCTTGTGCGCAGTGCTGCCGAATACGCTCTTTTCCCGTCAGATTTGGCTTTTTTGAAGACCAAATGCGGAATACCTTAAAGTTAAAAAAATATTCAGAAATTGCATGCAAATTGAATTAAATAGCGATAATAATTTAATAAAGAGAAAAAATATCAGCGACAGCACTAGGTTTTGGAGTAAGGCCTAACCTGACACCATATATATCCATACAGTGGTTAGTGTCTGAACGAAACATAATAAAAAAAAGAATGGGCAGGGTGGGTGGAGGTACGATACACTTGGGCGTGGGAAATAAAAAAAAAACTTTTATCTGTTTGATTTATTTGAATTCATATGTAAATTATCAGAGCCGAAGGCCCTGGGATTTAGTTTTCTGTACTATACGGTTAGTGGTGGTACAACACAACAAGGCAGAACTTCCCATCTCTAGGAAACAAAACATCAGCGCGTATGAAACTAATTTAATTGACTTCCTCGACAAAATTGATGTAAAACTATAACAAGTACTCAAAAATCTACTATTCTCTGACTTGGCAATTTCCACCTTCACATAAGCGGGCGGCCATATAATCCTACGCTACTCACGGGTAGCATGGTAACTTAAACCGTCAACAAAAAACAAACCAAAAAATGCAATTTAAATGGTTTTAGCAGAATGCTTAGTCTTAATTATAGTGCAATATTCCTGCTGTTGGTCGGGGCCATTACTCTGTGCCATGCATCCAATGGTGACCGTACTCAATTCTTTCACAACTGCCGGCAAAACTGCGAGCGAACCAACTGCTCTGCAGGTAATTAACTATACATGTAATAGAGTGCACCTGACCAACCGTTGTTCTTTTCGCAGATGGCCTGGAAATACAGGAGCAGGCCGTGAACTTTTATAAGCAGTCGATATTCGATCAGATTTTTCAGTGGAGCTGTGCAGATGAGTGCCAGTATGGCTGCATGTGGCGGACTGTGGCTGCCTTTGCGGAACGAGCGTGGCCCATACCACAGTTCTATGGCAAATGGCCTTTTCTTAGAATGCTTGGAATGCAGGAGCCGGCCTCAGTCATATTCTCAATGTTAAATTGTATCATGCATTTCCGAATGCTGCGCAAGTTTCGACGAGAAGTGCGTCCAGATAGCCCATGTTACATGCTGGCTCATATATTCGGAGTGGTAAAAGGCCCTACGCCTTAAAAATTCCATTTTTACTAATTAATTTTGCCCTTTTAGACGTGTCTGAATGGATGGATCTGGTCTTCAATATTCCACACGAGAGACTTTCCCTTGACTGAACTGCTGGATTATGCTTTTGCCTATTCTATAGTGCTCTGCACTTTCTACTGCATGGTGATGCGAATGCTTCATCGATACTCGCTGTTCCTACGCGGTGTGATCACGCTGGCCATTGTCTCCTACTACATTAACTACTTTGCCTACCTGAGTGTCGGCAAATTCAACTATTCCTTCAATATGAAAGTGAATATTGCCACCGGAGTTCTGTCCGCCTTGGGCTGGTTCATCTGGTGTCACAGAGTGCGCACTCGGCGGCCCTACTTCAGGAGGATTCTCCGATTTTATATACTTTTTGCTTTGGCAATGAGCCTTGAGCTGTTGGACTTTCCGCCCATTTGCTGGATTCTCGATGCCCATGCATTGTGGCATTTTGCCACAGTCCCATTGGTTTCGCTCTACTACAAGTTGGTTTTCAAATGTCCCATATTTTATATGCTTGTCTATTAAGTTTATTTATTTTTCAGTTTCATGATCGAGGACTGCAGAACACTGCGAAAGGAGAAGGTCTTGTCGGGCGGCTACTCTTCGTACTTCAACAAGGACATTTAGAAAATAACAAATTCGCTTCGATCACGCTTTGTTTACAGATACTGTATAGCAACATGTATTTATTTATATAAAATCCAATACCAAAAACATCCATTCTACATCTGTCCACATTGCGAAATCGTCACTGGAAGCTTGGGCTTGTTGTTGGGCCCCGTGGGAACATTTTCAATCTTTCGCATTATCAGCAGGCCGTCAAGTACGCGTCCAAATACCACATGCTTGCCATCAAGGAAGTTGCATTTGGCACAGGTAATGAAGAACTGGCAGCCATTGGTGTCCTTGCCGCTGTTGGCCATGGCCAGCAGGCCAGGTGAGTCGTGCTTCAAGGTAAAGTTCTCATCGCCAAATGTGTTGCCATAGATGCAGGTGACGCCGGTGCCATCGCCCTGGACAAAGTCTCCGCCTTGTATCATGAAATCTTTAATTACTCTGTGGAAGCTTGCGCCCTTGTAACCAATAGGCACACCATCTGGCCGATACTCTCCTGTGCAGAATTGTCGAAAGTTTTCTGCTGTCCGCGGCACTGTATCAGCAAACAGCTCGAAGATCATGCGGCCGATTTCCTGCATGCAAAGATGGTTAACATAAATAAGTCAACTAATTATATGTGCCTCTACTCACGGTTGTGCCCACGGCAATGTCGAAAAATACGACTGGGTTGTTGGAGCTGCGCAGCTGGGACTGAATTTGGTTCCAGTTGGGCATTTTAATTATTAAATGTAAATCTCTTAACAAATGCAAGAAGTTCGCGTGCCGGCAGCGTTTTGTTTACATTTTTGCGATGAATCGATACGCACCAGAAATACCGATGTTTTCTAATACACTACCGATAGTACAAATACCGGCTCTATCGATTGGAATAACATGTGTGTTTTGTTTATAAGTTTGTGTTGATTCCGGATTTCAGTTCTTGAATTGAGTTATTTTAATCTTTAATCAGAAAGTGGTAAGTCGTGCTTAGGCAACAGCACTTTCACTTATTTATATGCTTATTACTTGAATTTCTTAATGAAACAATCTATAATGTCAAACTTTTCGTTGCATTGTCCGTTCGTTAAGGCAAGTTTTGATCCGTGCACAGTTTTAATTATCATTTGCAGCCTGGTTGCCAGCATTAAAAATATGCTCATCTCCGATAAAACATAAATTCTTAACTTACACTTAGATTTGCTCACGTACAGATATTTTGATGAATCGCCACTCAAAGGCGTACCCTGGGGGGAAGGGCTGGGGTCAGCTGCCGCCTTCAGCATGCCTATTATTACAACAAATTTATTTTTGTTATTAATCATGTGTTGTGATTTTCGAATTAGTCTTTTTTTTACGAAGGCGCAATGCAGTAATTAATGAATTGAATTAAATGCAGAAACTTTAGCCCCAAATATAAATTAATATGTAATTGAAGTGGATCTTGGTCCTGATACAATCGAAAAAACGATGACCAATTTTTTTTAAAGGCTGGAAAAAAATGATTCTATTATATTTGAGGAAATCTTTGCAAGGCAGATGACCCCTTTATTAGATTTTGTTGGGTGGTTAATTGTGGTCGTAAAACACAATCCGTATTTAGTGTCTGGTTTTCCTCAATTCTACAGCTTTCAGCCTACTTCCGTTATTTTACCGATTTTTGACGGACGTCATACTAATGTCTAAGGATGCCCCAATCTCATATTATGTGTCATGACTATTTGCTCAATATTTTCTCTCACAGCATCGCAGCATGACCTCTGGGTCTTGTTAGGGCTATCATATAATTAAGTTTTTCTCCATATGATACTGCATGATGAGTGCACACAGGGTAATCGTCGTGTTGCACTACACTTCGATTGAAGAGAATGATGCCAGCCATTACATATGTAACATACTATACGTATTGGAAAAAAACATGCTCTAGTATGGTTTGTTCGAATCGAATTGGTGTCGACTCAGCTTAACAGAAACAATTCGGCTCCCTCCGAGAAATCCAGGGCGTGCCCATGTGTCCTCACATTTCCTCTAGACTCAAAGGGATATGTATACACGTAAACGGGCTTTTACACAAGGATTGATTTTACAGGCGTTTAAGCGGAAAAGTAATAAACAAGTTGTGTGTATAAATATTAAAATATAAATATTCACTGATGCCCCACGCTCTTCATTAAGAATATAAGATTGGAATAGAGCTTACAGCGCGGCTTTGGGTTTGTCGAGCTACCGCTGAAATAAACTCCAGAGCTTGTAGCTAGACAGTCGCTTGGCCAGCTTGGCTGCTACTCTGCTGGGCTGAGACGTGGGGGTCTTTGGGGCCAGCGCGGGACGTTCGAGCAGTTTGGAGCGCATCTGCAGGTCGATTTGTTCATGCATATCCATCTGCCACTGCTCCAGCTGCTGCGAGAGCTGAACCTTCCTGTTAGACAGACTTCAGTAGCTGGCTGTTGGCCTGCTTTAGTTCAACACGGGTCCTGGCCAGATCCAACTCAGCCTTGGTTCGTCGCCCGTTGGCCGCATCGCGGTGCCGATCCGTATGGTCTTCCATATCCGTATGGATCCCCACTTGGTTGATCGCGCTCTTCCTTCACATTCCCCAGCTGCACATCGGTCACAGTGAACTTCGCCTCCATTTGCTTTATAAACTGAGTACAAGGTTACGTGTCCGGTCTAGCATGTTCTTGGAGTTGCCTGCATCCGACATCAGACATTGGAATCATCAGTCGGAACTCAATGGCCATGGGCCCGCTATCATTGCACTCAAATTCCAGCGATATGTTAGAGCTGGGAGCTGAGACATCGTCTTGGCTGATTTTCAGAGAGTCCACCAGGGACTTGAGTTGTATGTAGACGGATCGAGCCTCCACCCACATATGATTGGGCTTTTCTGTTTCCGTACAGCCGTCAGGCTTGCTGGGACTGAAGCGTTTGCTAAGGACATTGTTCTCTCGCTGTGATCTTAAAACCGCGCAAAAGGTATCCCCAAAGAACTTTCCAACGAATTAATATTTCTTTAGAAAATAAGCATGTCAAATGCCAGTAGATGTTTATAAATATGTGCTTTTGTTCATGATAGGTCACTAGATATAAATACAAGATGATATCGAATACAAATGGTATGACTTCAGAGTTGAATCGAATGAAATTCAGCGGCGAAACTTAGGCTCTAAATGCATAAATAAGTACTTAAATTCAACGTTAGCAACGTTAATTGGTAGAGGCCTCATCTCAGCTCCACGCACAACACTACAACACTACACTAATACTAGCTCGAGGTAAGTCGGGGGAATCCTGCTCGGAGGCTACACTCAATTACTCGCCTCATCGGTGTCCACATCGGATATATCTTTGAGCTTCGTGTTGCTGTTGGCGGTGGTTCCGTTCTTAATGTTATTGACCCTTTCGTTCTCCTCTGCAGCCTTCTGAAAGTTCTGCTGGAGTGTTTTTGGGTCCACCACGAAAATAGGCGTAGCGCCATCCCCAAGATGCTCGCTCTGATTCTGGTACTGCTCCCGCGAGATGCTGCGTGTGAATGAGAAGCGCAGCGACTTGGTTCTCGTCAGCTTCTTCTTGATCGGCGGCTTGCCAGCCACAGGTGCCGCCGGCTCTGAACTGGTGCGTTCTGCTTCTGGTGAGGCCGGGGCAGATCTTATCTCCAGCTGATTGTCGCGCAGGATCTCCTCCGCAAAGGACTTGATTTGGCTCCAGGCATCTAGAATGTCCTTTTCGCAGGCGTGCTCATAGGTGACACAGAATCGGATTACATAGCGGCCATTGAATTTTGCCGGTGTCATGTGCATTTTCCCCGAGTGATTGATCATGGCCAGCAGCGTGTGATTGGGCTCGTCGACAGTTCTGCAGAGGAAAGGATTTATTATTAAGAATTGTAGGAAAACTCAACAACTTTCTCAACTTACCGCATGCGGAAGCAGACCAGGCCCAAGTGGACATCATTGCGCACCTCAAAACGATCGTCCTTCCGCACCAGCATCTCAAACTTCTTGGCCAGGGCCATGTGGTTGCGTATATACTCTTGTAGACCCTTTACGCCGTATATGCGGAAGACAAACCAGAGCTTCAGGGCCCGGAACCGTCGGCTGAGCGGTATTCCATAGTGTCTGTAGTCCACGCCGCTCATGTGCTCGTGCCTCAGGTAGAGCGGATTCACATTGAGCGCACTCTTCAGAATCATCACATCGCGCACCCACAAGGCAGAGGCATCGAAGTTGGTTAGTAACAGCTTGTTGGGATTCGTGTTGAACGAGTCGGCGTATTCCAGGCCAGCTGAGAACACGCGCATCTCGGGCAGAATGAAGGAGTTGCCAGCATAGGCACCATCCACATGCAGCCAAATGCTGGACACCTGTCGGCAGACCTGGCCGATCCCTGTTATGTCATCGAAGGCGCATCCTCCGGTAGTGCCCACCGTGGCCACCACAAAGAAGGGCGTCAGTCCGGCGTTGACATCATTTTGAATAGCCTGCTTGAGCAGATCCACGCGCATGCGTCCATGCACATCCGCATCGATGATGCGCAGCTTGACCAGGGCCATCTTGGTGGCCTTCTCCACGCAGGAGTGCGCCTCGCGGCTGGCATAGGCAATCAGGTTGGGCAGGAAGACGCTGTCGTGCACAGTGGTCTGACCCTTTAGCTCGTTGATGGCTCGAGCACGCGCCGTGATCAGTGAGACAAGGACGCACTCAGAGGCGGAGCCCTGGAGGGCCCCTCCGCCAGTGCTGCCCGGGGCATCCGAGATGAAGGCCTTGGGCAGACCCAGGGCCTTGGCATACCAGTTCATCACAATCGTTTCCAGTTCGGCGGCTGCCGGACAGCTGGCCCAACTGAAGCCGATCGATCCAATGGCACTGCTCAGCATGTCCCCCAGGACGGAGGGGAACGAGTTGCCCGAGGGGAAGTAGGCAAAGAACTTCGGATGGTTCCAGTGGACGACACCCGGCATGATTTTCTGCTCAAAGTCCTCGAGCACATCTTTGAATGATTCCGGCGATTGTGGTGCGTCCGCTGTGGGGTAAACAAAAAGGCAGCTGGATAAGTCGGGTGCCTCCTAAATACTTCTTTTATCACCTATAAAGGCTAGCAGCGCCGGCAGCGCTGGCAGACCGGCAGACATCAATATTTATGGTAAATTTGTTATTTTTGGCAGTGAGTAGAATGATCAACAAGTAAGTCCATATATCTACGAGCACTATAAGGCCGAAGGTGTGTGTTTGCGTATGCATAATTAATTGATTTGTTTAGTTGAACCCGGCGTTGAATTGCGGCGTCCATTCGGGCGTAAATATTTAACTTAACAAACTGCGCGGAATTCGCCTGAAATCTCCTCCGGCCCTGCTACCACCGAAGTCTGCCTGCCTGCCCGACCTGCCCGGCCTGCCATAGCCTGCTTCATAGCTTCATCGAAGACGGCTGCTGAGTGTGTGCCCCAATTATGCTCTGGTCCCCCGCCCACGCCCGCACCCGCGCCTCTTGTTGTGGGGTATGTAGTACTATTGTAGGTGGGTGTGTGGGCCGGCTGGGGCTGTTCGAATAGTTTATATTCGTACATTATTCACTTGCCTTTGCAGAGCAATTAGTCAACATGATTTAACAAGTTTGCTTTCGAGTGGCTTTGCGTTTCATCTTCGACTTTCTTTAATTATTTTGTGCGAAGCGAAATATTTTCGAATTCATTGCCAATTTATTTAGGAATAGTTTACTAATTAGTGTATACAATTTATCACTTGCGCTATAAATAAGCCTTTCATTCTGATTTGCAAGAAGAAACTTCAGCACGAAAATTCACAGTGTAAACAAAATAGTTTTGAGAGTTGTTGGCATATCATCCGAGAAATCGGAATAGCATCCTAATCGGAATACTATCAGCTACGAATAGTTTATATGGTTTTTTTAAATTTCTTTCCTACCTGGAAGCAGTTTTTTCAGGTAACCCGGATCCAATGTTGGAGCCACATCGCGCTCTTCAATATTGCTGCTATATTGGCATATATAATCGATCACTTCCTTGCCGTATTTGCGAAAGTCTTCCACATTCATTTTAACAATTTGATTAACACTTTTGTCCCTTGTTAGCAATGTTTGCACCTTCTTGACGCTCTCTTTTGCTGTATGTACTATTTCTTTGGGGGCTTAAACACACTTCAGGAACACACACAAACTTCTCTCAATCACTGTACTATCCCGCTGTCCCGTGGTGCTTGCACGCTGCAGCTTCTGCTTCCTTTGCGCGAATGACTTGAACACCGAGGCTGCATTCGACTTTATATAGAAACTGTGCTTCTGGGGGCTTCGTGTGGCGGCCGCCCCGTCGGGTACTCTCGGCCGTGCGCTCTGTTTCTCTCTCGACTACCTGTAAGGTGTTCGCCGTAGTAGCGCTTCTATTGACGTTCACTGTCTCGTGATCACTCTCAAATTACTTGCACGGAGATGGGGAATTGGGCGATCGGGTGGCTGGGTGGCTGGGTGGCTGGGAAACCCGCTTTGGTCATTACGCCGCCTTCTTTCGGTTCTCTCGCAGTCGCTTCCAGCGGCACGCCTCGGCAGCGCTTTTGTGTTTGCTTTGTAAAAAAGTCCCTGGCGTGAAAGGGTTTTTAGTTTTCGCCATAATTATTTGGTGAGTGATACGCCATTTGCTATATAATTGAACATATTAATGGAAACTGTACTGAATAGTGTAAGAAATGGGTATTTATCTATAATTGTATGCTATGTTTGTAACGGACCAAAAATACATAGTTCGCACCTCAGAAGCACCTCGATAAAAATCACCAACTTTTAGGGGAATCTCAACAAAAATAATAGGTTGTTGGTTGACTTATCTGACGACTACACGTCTTTGTCTCATGGTACCCCTTTCTTCATTTCTTGCCTACCTCAATGTCCTCTTCTTCTTCTTCTCAGATTAGCTCAGATACATTTTACGATTTTTAAATTGCTTTTGATCGTGTCTGAGCTGCTTTAATGGCAGCCGAACCTGAATTAATTTTGCGGTTTTTTTTTAGGGGAACTTTTGGAGCTGTCAAAATGGCCAACATATTGGAAAAAGGCACGTGCAGATTGCCATTTCAAGAAAAGAACAAACACGCTCTCTCTCAAAACTCTTGGATTTCAAAATAGCCAAAACTTTCCAGCGGCCGATGTTTCGGGCAAGCATCAAACATGGGGGAATCACTTGAAGTACTTGCTCAAAAGTGGCAAATAATTGTCCAAATATTGAACAAATCTGTTAACGCAAAGAGCGATGGGACGGAGCAGGTGTTGCATGCGCCATGACGAATCCCTGGCAACAGTCCTAGCTTGTGACGTAGCGGTGAAGAGCGCCCATTGTTTCACGGAATCTCCTGCTAGGTGGAATATGAAAACAACAAATATCCAAATAACCAAATAAACAAATATTGCAAAATTAATTTTGTTTTTTCTCTGACTTATTCAGGGTGCAAGCGAGTGCGAGTGGGTGTGAATGATTATGAGTGTGGGAGTGGGTGAATGAGTAGAAATTAATGAATGGATTTCCCTGTCGTTAGGTGAAACAGCGCTGCACAAGCGAACTTGCTGAACACCAGTATCAGGAGTTGGTTACCCGCCCTGCCTTAGTTATGGTCAAGAAAGAGTATAAATAAATATAATATTTTCTATACTTTTTTACCTTTAGTCACAAATGTCATCCTTCTGCCTCCTGCATTACTTCTAATGCCCATTGCTTAATTGCTAGCTAGGTGATACTTTAGTTCGAAGTTTTTCAAAAATATAATTTTCCTCTATAAAACCACAAATCTTCAATAACCTAAACGTCAGTCCAATATTTAATCAGAATGCATAATTTTCATCAAACAACATACTAGTGGCTATCGAGTTCACCAGTGAAAATTTGGGATTGTTTGGTGTATTAGCAGTAGGTCCGGTACGGCACAAAATGCATGGATGTGAATTGCCGTTGAAAGCTTATTGAACATCACCCGTAAGTTATGTTAGATAAAGATACATATGTATTGCCATGAGGATCCACAGATGACGTATTCTTGACCGCACTCTTTATCTGTCTCTCAGAACTCCAGTTGGAGCAACGCCGACCATACATTCGGTGATTCATACATCTGTCGCACGCGCCGGCCTGACAAGCTTCAGATCGGAGCCATAAAGAGAGCCGAAGGAAGACGGACTGCGAGAGGGTGAGACGCCATGACTTGGCGTATTTCGGCGCTCTTCTTTCGCGGCTCGAAGCTTTGCCTAAACTTTCATTCACCGCGCCAGCCCCAGCGCCAGATGACGTCGTGCGTCTAAATATAAAAATATATTCAGTTTACGCGGTCACACTTCAAAATGCTTGAGGGCCATCGCCATCATCCATCCATCCGCCTTCTGCTGCTGCTGCTGTTGCTGTTGCTGGTGCTGGTGCCTCACACTACGTGCGACTTGGGATGTCTCTTCGGAGCTTGGCTCTGTCTACCCCTGCCCATGGCAAAGGCCCATTAATTATGGCAGTTGGTACTGCCATACACGAACGATCCCATGATCGTTCCGAAATACGGCTCCTCTTCTCTTGAAAACTGAACAATTTGTTGTTGCCCCTCGAAGCACGCGGTTGACAACAGCTGACGGATGTTGCATAAATTTCTGGCGTCGATCGAATCTTCTATGTTTTGGGCAATTTCGTCTGTTTGCATTGTGGCCCCATCATACCTTAGGCATTTCATTCATTCTGATTCGTTTGTGCATGCTAATTCGTTGTTGTCATCATTGAAATACAAAAGTTTAGCGGCGCTCTGATTGATGTATTATATGGGTAGTGCTAAAGGCTTTTTTAGACAGGTAGCAGATCGTTTAGGTTTACTGGGGGACTGAACTTTACGGTACGGACACCCGTAGTAGTTTCGATCTCGAATTTCATGATATGACGTTTTACGACGTATGCTAATTAATGGTGTTTTAAACCTGATTTGGCGCCGTTTTGAGTGGAATTTAAAGGATTATAAAATACTCGTACTGCTTGAAAAATAAAATCTCCATCTATATAGCTTATTGAATCCCATCATATATATGTATATGTATTCTGTAAACTGTGTTGAGCCTCGACTGCCATGCGACTTTTATTCTGGTAAATTAAAATATGTGAATTCCCCTCCATCCATTACCGTTCTAAGCGGAAATCGCACACAGGTATATTCTGACCTGCAGTACCTTGGATGGAGCCAAGCAAGTCAATGCAGGGATTACGAACTTGGAGAAAATGGGCCTCAACAATGCCTACGATGAGGTTGTTCGGGGCTTGATCAAGAGCTGGGAGTCCCCTATTGGATACCTACAAGGTCGGGGCTACTTATCAGGCGAATACAGAGACACATCGATAATCAAACCGCATCTAGATGCTATAATGGATCACATCGAGGGGATAAAGCGGCAGAAGAAAATGAAACGCGATTCGGATATACTCGGAAGCAATGCGATGGGCCCCCTTCCCGGAGAGATACATGCGATGAACCAGCTGGATATAATGCTCGACAAGATTAAGCCAAAAGGTACTGATAGAAAGCAGAGTGATAACAAACAGAGTGACATGTATCCAAATGTCGCTCAGCTGATGGACATAATGCAGGCTGGGCGCAAACGAGACGAAGAGGAGCGACAGCTCTGGGAGATGGAGCAACGATTGAAGCCGTTGCCGGAAAGTCTGTCCAAGCAGGATCAAACAGAGGCACCAACGTCGCCCTCAAAGCAGCCTGACGACATATTTAACAAAATGAAGGCAAGTCCTCAATTGCAAGAGCCGGAACAAGCCAGTGCCAGCCATAATACGGAAGATGGGGCACAGGTGACAACAGTCCCAAAGAGCAGCAGTACTTATAGAGAGGAACGCATTCAAAATGTCGCAATTGATAAACTCGATACAAACCTGGCCCCATCTAGTCGGGCGTCAAAAGACGTGGAGGCTCCAAGTTATCTGAATTGGGACATAGAGAAACAGCACTTCAGCCAGTACTCGCCCGTCGCCAAGGAGGCCTACGTGAACAAGCTGGTCAAAATGTTTGTGGAGAGGGAGAAGCTCCGGGAGAACCCACGCAGATTGTACACCTCACCGCCATAACCGATCTCATGCCCAATAAGCACACACATTTGTTTTTGCTTTTCTCAAAATTGTTTGAATTTTTGCCTCAATAAATTCTCTTTCGGGGCTTTCTCTGAGTCATAATCCATTTAATGCGCATCCCATACCCATACCCCTATATATGTATGCCCATATTCCTATTCCTATTCCCATGACCCATGACGATCCGCCAATCCTACGTCATATCTATGGCATCAGCAAAATGAGATTATCTTTCGGTATGTTTATTTCGTGGAGGCAAAGAAAAAAATCACAGGATAGGTGTGTTTATCACGTATTCGTACATTTTCTGTTGGCTTTGTTAGCTGTTTGTGGCGTCTTCCAAATACTCTCGAGAAAGTGGCACATATCCGTGAAAAGCAGGAGAAGAAGGGAGCTTGTCCATAGAGATAATTAACAGAAATATGTTTTAAATCTAATGAAGATTCCTAAAGCACAGTCGGTTTGTCGGCTCTTGAATTATGATTATTATCTTTTAGAAAAATGCAGGCTTGTATTTTTATAAGGTAGTCTTTGCTCACGATAGAAATGTATCTCAAAGATACTAAATTACACTTACAATGGTTTTTCAGACAGGATATAGTAGAAAAGTACCTAATGAATCCCATCTATGGGCTTCCGTATCCAGAGTCTCAGAAACCTTTAGCAAGAGATCCTGGTTTCTTCCCCCATTCTGCCCCAACAGTTTCAGAATTTGAAAAGTATCTCACTGCCAAAGAACCCGACGAATAAAAGCATCTTGCATTTACAAAGGCTTCTCAAAGAAGAAATTGTACATCAGATATAGAGCGGTATCTCATTGATTCCCAATAATCTAATGGATGCAACACCCTCTCACCAATACAATAAACTAGTTAAAGGAGTCTTTTAGAGTCCCCATGTAATGGAAAAGTTGCCTGACTGATCAGTGTAAATGTTCTCTGAATTGTATATACCTTTACTAGAAGATCTTCCTGATGTTCCTTCTCCCATTGCTCCCATAACAGTTTCAGAATGTGAAATTAAATTTATTGCCGTTCATAAACATGAAAGTTATTCGAGTTTTTGTTCGTTGTTCTTCTGCAAACGAACATACGCTAAGGATTAAAGGGGAGATCGAGAAAAGCCTTGGGAGTATTGATGTCTTACTAGATATCGTAAAATTTTCTATATGCATGTAATTCAACTAGGCGCCAGGGAAAAGGAGGCGCATATACTCGTAATATATTTGATATACGTGTAGGCTATGTGGGATATTCTTAGTTGGGATTATCGCGAGAGGAAGATGCCTTGCGCATGACCATGGGCGACCTGCGAGGGGATCTCTGTTCCTGCTGGGCACTCACAATGTCCAGTTCATTCTCTGGCGAGGGCGAAGACCCAGCTCCAGAGTTGCGGCGCGACGAAGAGTGACGCACATTGGTGTCCAGGTGTCGGAAGCTGCAACAAACATGGAGAGAGACAACCGATAAGACTGTACCTGTGGCAGAAGCTGGGCTACCCACCGCAACGAGACATTGTTGCCCTTGTCCTCGTTGTTGCCGCTGTTGAAGAGGAAGGCCAGCGGCCAGGATATCCAGGAATTGTGGTCGACGGAGCTCTGGGTGCGAATGATGGGAGCATTCCCGCGACTTACCACCGGCGATGGAAGCTCCATGGAGAGCTTCGGGGTGCCGGCCTTGTTGATGGCTGGATTGTAGATCTTCGGATCGCTGACCATCCGCACAAAGAACGACCGCTTCTGGGCCAGAGTGTCCTGCTTCTTCCGGTTAATGATGTCGGACAGCTCGTCGTGCTGCTCCTTCTCCAGCAGCTCGTTGGCAAAGTCCACAATAATGTCCCAGGCATAGTCAATGTCCTCGGCCGTGGCATTCTGGGCCACGGCGCAGAACCGTATGATATACCTGTCGTTGACACTGGCCGGCACCATGTGCAGCTTTCCCGATTCGTTGATGATGCTTAGTAGCTTTTCGTTGAGTTTATCGCTGCCCTTCAAGCGGAAGCAGACCAAGCCAAGCTACGTAAATGGAAAAAATTATCAATGTTAATAGATTTTGAGTGAAGAATCTATTCAAAGAAGTTCTCTAGAACCATTATCCTACTGAAAGGTTTCTGAAAAATTAAAAGTTGTATTTTGCATTGGAAACTGCATCCATCGCTCCCTCATGAAGTTGCAGATTGACCCTCGACCCTGGCACGCACAAGCGAAGAAGTGGAGCAAAAGATAATCCATGAGAATAGAAAAAAAACACAATATACATGTCGTGTGGGTCACGAGGCACATTCGATTTGAATATTGATAAATTCTTGATCAGCATAACTAGTCGAGTCGATATAGCCATGCTTGTCTGTCTGTCCGTCCGTTCCGATGAGACTATAAGGGATCAACCCAATTGGACCTATTTCAGGCTGAGGTAAACTCAGTCACGTCAAGGGTTCAATCCACAAGAAATTTGTAGAAATGGATGGAACTTTAAGGGAGACGTCGGGCTTGCGTTGTTCGGCGCAGAGGTGGGGGTAGAGTGGGGGATAGTTTTGGTCCCTCAGCGATTTGAAATGAACTTACGCAACTGATGTTATTCGGGTTATTAGTTTGATTTTTTTATTATTATTACTTTCTTAGCACTTAAACACTGATTCTTAAATTAGCACAGCGTCTGTACACGGCGCCGGGTTTCCACGTAAGTGGAGTGGTCTCGGTCTGGAGTAGGGGAAGTCCGCGTGACCGGGTATGATTAGTCGGCGCTTTGTGGGTTCTGCGCGTGTCTTTATAGCTATGTGTGGATCGGGTGTTATTAGAGTTATGAAGTACATATGGCGAATAATATATGTATGTATTATTCTATGTTGGGACCGGACCCTTTTGGGTTCGTTACAGTTTCCAGACTCCTATGATAACGCACTGTTTTAAAATTTTGCACCGCCCCCACAAAGAACGAAAAACTGTGGAGAATGAAGGACCAAATAAAATTCTGTAGCTACGCAACGCGCTAACTAATTCTCTCTCTCTCTCTCACACACACACTCTTCTTTGTACAGTGTTCGCCCTCTGGCGAAAGGAGCTCGATAGAACAGCTGGTGTTGGGCCGAAAATATAAAAAAAGGAGTTGCTGAGTTGCTGCTGCGACCGCAACTCTACATTTAGACAGAATGCGGAAGAGACAGAATACGTGTCTGAACATGTCTTCGAGCGCTGCGTAGCCACTGCAAATTGATTTGTTCCTTTAGGCTATAAAAATCCGATCCGATATGATCCAGATTCAGCTATCTGGTAGATATGGTCATTCTCTATGATTGTCGGTTTTTTAATTTCTCGTATCTTTAAAGGTTTTCGTCCTTTGTGGGCGGCGAGGAGATTTTAAATACACCTGTAACAGTGACATATCACAGGTGTCTGGATACAAAATGTTGTTGCTCTAGCTTTTATAGTCTCTGAGCACTAGGCGCTCATAGGGACGGACAGATGGACAGACGGACAAATAGACATGGCTTAATCAACTCGGCTATTGATGCTGATATAGAATATATGTATATACTTTATGGAGTCGGAAACGCTTCCTTCTCGACGTTACGCACATCCATTTTCACGACAAATCTAATATACGCCTATACTCATCTTGAGTATTGGGTATAAAAAAGACAAATGGGTTGAAACAGATCAAATCGAATATATAAAAATCTCCTAAACGATTCGATCGATTTCTATGAAATGTCTTTTTGGCAAAAAATCAGCCCTTGCCGCGGCTTACAACGTTCCCGCCCGTTTTCGCCTGCAGTTACGAAGCCGATTGCCCAAACAAATAGAGTTCGCCCCGCTTGTTCCACCAGTCCACCAGCATCTGAAAGCATCCGTCAGCTGGTAGCTGGCAGCCTGACTGGGCTGTCGATGAATCACTTGTGGCCTGTCTCTGAAACATTTTCTGTGGCCAAATAATGCCAAAACACTTCAAGGGGCCACAGCGGAAAGAAAGAAATCAAATCAAATTTCCCGCTGGTCTCTGCTCGGAATTCGGCGTGCTGTTCCGCACGTTTGCGATACTCGTAGTAGTACTTGGCTCTGCTCTGGGGTTTTGGCCAGGGTCTTGGGTGGCCATGGGCTTGCCTATGCAGACAACGGACAACGTTTAGGCACTTGTATCTGCGTCACTAGCAAATCGGTTTCCAAATTTCGACTGGGCATTACATGACCACCGAGCCATTGGTCTCAACAATGGACAACCAAATGCACACCCACCAAAAAACTTGCTTCAGTGAAAATCCCAGACACAGCCCACACAGAAATTGTTGGTGGGGCGCACACAAAGAGCTTTGAACCCTAAGCATGATTAATTACGAGTACTTTAAAGGCGAATCAAGAAAGAAAAGAAACGAAATGAAATGAAAGCCCACCGAATGTAACTCACCTTGACTTGATTACAGATCTCGAAGCGTTTATCTTTGAGCACCAGCTCCTCAAAGCGCTTGGCCAATTTGATATGGTGACGTATGTAGTGCTGTAGTCCGGAAATCCCGTAGGATCGCAGCACAAACCTGCAAGGAAACAGCATGGAAAGCCGGCAAAAACAATAATTGTATATTTTGAGTGGACTGATGGAATGATCGGACAGGAAACCATTAGCCATTGAATGTTTGTTCTACCTACACATGCACATATCTTGGTGTTGATTCATCTCATTTGGATAGATTCCGCGGCACACAGACCTTTGCTCTTTCCAAAGTTTGATTTCTATGTTTTTACAACTAAATCGCAAGCAAATAATGAACGAGCGTGGCGGACATGACAAAGATGGCCAAGAGTAAGGCCTAAACAAGACACCAGCGAGCAAGCGGTACACACTCCAGGCCAATCGACAAAATCAATTCAGTTTTTGACAATAGTCAACAAACACTCATTCACACTCTTGACTGTCGAGGGTTTTTCGGGGTCTTTCGGGGTCTGTCGGGTGCCATAATGATGATAATGATTATTATTTTTTTGTTCACATACCAGAGTTTCAGCGAACGAAACCGCCGACTGAGTGGAACTCCCCAATGACGATAGTCGATGGCCGCGTCCGAGTAGCCGTGCTTGAGGTACAGCGGATCCACGACCAGAGCTGATGTCAGACGGATGCGATCCCTCACCCACAGAGTCGAGCAGTCGAAGTTGGTCAGCAGCCACTTGTTGGGGTTCGTGTTGAATGAGTCGGCGTATTCAATGCCCTGCGGAGCGGATGTTGCAGATCGAAGCAGAGGGCCGGGATAGGAGTACCTACCTTCAGGAGCGGCTTGAGCTCCGGACAGATGAAGCTGTTGCCCGCATATGCGGCATCTACATGCAGCCAGACGCCGGGAAACCTCTCCAGCTGCTTGCCGATCTCCGGCAGATTATCGAACGCACAGGAGCCGGTGGTACCCAGGGTGGTGGACACAAAGAAGGGCACCAGCCCCTGCAGTTCGTCCTCCTCCATGGCCTCGTAGATCGTCTGACCGCGCAGACTGGCGTTCTCGTCCGGCTCGAGGATGCGCAACTTCACAAAGCAAATCATGGCTGCCTTCTCCACGCAGCTGTGCGCCTCCTTGGAGCAGTAGGCCATCAGCTTGCACAGCAGGTGGCCCTCCTCCACGAAGGGATGCTGGGCCTTTAACCGCTTCAAGGCCTGGGCCCGGGCCGCGAGCATCGTGACCAGCACGCACTCCGAGGCGGATGTCTGTGTCGATCACAAACAGATTTAAGGGCGAATTAAATCACGGCGTTTTACCAGCCGGACTGGCGCAATTTACCTGAATGACCCCGCCGCCGGTGCTGCCCTCCTTGAGGGCCAGGAAGTGGTCCGGCAGACCAATCGCCTTGCCCAGCCAGTCCAGGACGATCGTCTCCAGCTCGGTGCAGGCGGGGCTGGCTGCCCAGGAGAATCCAATGCAGCCGATGCCGTCGCCGAGCATGTCGCCCAGGATCGAGGGGAATGAGTTTCCCGCCGGGAAGTAGGCGTGGAACCGGGGATGCTGCCAGTGCGTCACACCAGGCATGATTTTATCCTCCACATCGCTCATGATCTGGTCCCAGTCCTCCGGCTCATGGGGCGCCTCAGCTGTGTGCGAATGTAGCCAGAGGGATATCCAGAGAATCAACGAAAATCCCAAAATAGATTGGATGGATGGAAAATTGTTTGCTTACATGGCAGCAAATGCCTCAAATAGCCCGGCTCCACGCTGGGCGTAACCCGTCGCTCGTTCAGGGTTTCCAGATAAGTGCAGATGTACTCGACCATTTCCATGCCACGTTTTCGAAATTCGGTGCTATCCATCTTCGATCCGTTTGTCCAATTTGGCTTTGGCTTGGGCTTCTGCGTATGTGTTTCCAAGTTTCCGCACGCTGCGCTTCTCATGGATGTATCCATCGATTAATTGAAGAGGCGTAGGCGTAGGCAGAGGCATGGGCGAGTTAGAAATGTTTTTATATTGATACAAAAAAATTAATTTCAAAATAAATCAATTGTTCGAGATGTTATATTGTAAGATTTGTCTGCGAAAATTTGCAGCCATTTCGTGTTGGAATTTATTTAAAGACCGAAATTCAAAATGATTTGAAAATAAAGATTTTGTGATTTTAGAATGAGCCAATTTGTATGTCGATTTCCAAAAATATCCAATAAAAGGTGCTATGTAATAGAGTGGAATTTTGTTCACAATTTGTGGAAAATTCCGTTCATATTTTCCCGATTATATTCACATAATAATTCACATACGCCGTATTTGTGGGTAAATTGATTCCATTGTGGTTAATTATTGTTAATCCACAGCCTTGATGGGGGTTTTTTACATGTTGCACACGCTTTACTTAGAACTTGATGAATGGAAACTATTGATAGATTTCTGTATTTCTACGATGCTGGGCTATGCTGTGGATAAACTTTGCGGTCTTTCTCAATTTTACTTGATTTTTCGAATAAACAGATTTTGTATTTTGTTTGTAATTAAACTGCGGTTCCCCCGGCATTGTTTCATCGCCTGGAGGCTAACACTAATTTTAATATCAGTTGCCAGGTGCCTTACTTGGATATCGGGCGAGATGCGCTGTGTGATTTAGTTCAGAATCCGCTTCTCCTGAACCGTTGGCCACGGCCTGCAAAACCAAAATGATCCTTGCTCTGCGGTTGGGCCAGGAGCTAAGCTCGGCTGGCTCGGTCTGCTGCCACGAATCGGGGCAGCTGCTGCTACTGCTGCTGCTGCTGCTTACCCGACTCCCGTGGCATGTCTAATGAATGCATACTTCAGTGGGCTGGGGGCGGGGGTGTGTGGTGCGATTGAGATGGCAAATAAATGAAATATTTGCGGCACTTCATTCATAGCTCGACTCTCCGCCCACCCTTTTGTACGCTGTGTGCTGTGCGCTGTACGTGAAGATATGCAGAAGGAGCAGAAAAAGAGCGCGAAAGAAAACGCTTTACGACCCCATGTAAAGTTTCAAAACCACTGCGTATACTTGATATTGCGTATACGCACACTAAATTGAATTTTCAACTTTTAAATAAGAACATCTTATTTCCCCAACAATTGGGTAACCGCCAACCGTTGGTACAGATAATTCAAAGTACGTGTTGTCAGAAACACTCCGTGGGGCAGGGCACATCATCGCCATCGCATTGATAGGAATAGGACATCGCTTATCGACGTCAGCGCCTTCCCACTTGTGCGCGTCTTGGGTGAACCGTTTTATTAATAACTTCCGCACCAAATTGAATTATTGTTCAAAACGTACTTGATAGGAATGGCGGCGATGCGGTGCCGTGCCGGATGATAATGGCGTTGGCAATGACGATGACGATGTCAATGGGACAGGCAGGGACTGAAGCAGAGATGGAAGGAATTTCCAGGCATTCCTTTAGGAACATTCCATTGCCGCTTTTCCTTTTCCTTCTACACAGCCGAGGCATTGTTCCTCATTTCTACTGCATTGAGCCTTGAGAATCGTCTGCTCCGTTGCTCTGTGTGGGACACGTGGCAGTATCTCTAGCTCTGTGTTCTTGGCGGCCTCTAGTTCTGCTAGTTTCTGTGTTGCTGGGTGTTCGGTGGGTGGAAAAGTTCATTAATAAACTTTCGTTGCTGCTGTCGAATTCAGCTGCAGCTTCCCCCGTGCCGCCACCCTGCGCTAAAATGTTGTTTGGCCCCTAACCTCAACAAGTGGCATCATGCTCCTTGGTAATCATCCCTTACTGGCCTCCTTTTCCTGCTTGTTACCGACATCGTCGTCGTCGGCATCGTCCTGCCACTGGTTGGCTGTTGTCTAGTGCCCGCGCCAGCAGAATTCTATTTAATGGGAAAACGCTGACGCTAGTGCAGCCGCGGACACTTAATTGCTGTAGGAATGGTTTTTTATTGACTTTTACTTGAACTCCTCTTCAAAATGCATTTACTCAAAGGATGGGCACCCATGGCAGTGTCAAATGGTTTGTCTTTCCGATTTCAGGAACAAATTGCGCCAAGTGGAAAAGGAGAGGAGTCCGGAAAGTTTCCTTCGTTTCTGTTGATGTGTGAATTTTCTCTTATGTAGTTCTTAACTGACCCAATTCTATGGAAATCTCGAAAAGCATAATGTACGTGTCTTGCTTAGTTTCCTTTCCTTAGTTTTCTTTGAGATTTTCTTAGTTTCAAATACCTTTTTATCAAATTAATGTAGGTAACATAGTTGTCTCTAAAGCTGGTCCCCTGCGCTATTCCCAGCTTGTCCTTTTTCTCTCTCTCTATTTTTTGATTTTTGTTTGTTTTTTTTTGCTCTTGGTCTCTCGGCTCATAAACCAAGCAATTATTCAATTTGCACGGACTGTACGCTGTACAGCACCCGGGCAATAACTGCTCAGGACAGTTTACGATGAGTGGAGTGGTTCGCTGTTGAGTTGGCTGCTGGCTGTTGGCAGTGTACTCGGCACAGATTGGGCCCTTGGGCTGCCATTGGTTATGTCAAGGTTATGCTTAAGGGCTTCTACATAATTATATTCCCGATGGTATGAAATAATTCCCGTTTCTCAGATCAGACTCGAGGACCCTCAAAATGATGCACTACCGCAAGGCGGAGAATGTTGAGCGGGATTTGAGCAAGAGTGAATTGCCATTTGATGACTGCGTACCAAAGACCCAAAAGGATTTCCTCTGGATGCAGGTTAGTGCTCACCTTTGGAGGTGAGTCTTTTAGTTGTCTTCAATCCCGCTTCAATTATAGGTTAAAGGCGGCACCAAAGTGAGCAATGTCATTGAGTATGCCCAGGCGGCGCTCAACAAGGGCGAACACCGCTGTCTAGTGTGGAGTGGCTCCGGCGGCGGAGTGGTCAAAACCATATCCTGCGCTGAGGTGCTTAAGCGTACCCACCCCCTGTACCAGGTGACGCGCATGGCCTACAACAGGTGAGTCCTCCTCAGCATAAGAGCCATAACATCATTGCGGGTTCAGTAATAGTAGTTCTCATTAAAGCGTGGAGGAACACTGGAAGCCACAGATGGATGGCCTCGAGGAAATCATTGTCAACCGCCAGATACCCAGCATACACATACTCATGAGCCTGGACGAGCTGCCCGAGAGCGTGCAGGGGTAAGAATAGAGTTTAAGAATCTGTTTACAAAAGACAACTAATACTCGTATATCCTTTCGTATGCAGAGTGCAGAAACCCAACACAACTAGCGATTACTGGCAGGATAATGGAACGCCTGCACGTACTCAGCCCCGCCAGCATCAGCAAGGAGCAGCCAGTCGACCAAATAAACGACCTAGATATGGACGCAACAAGCAGCAGCAAGGAAACCCAGAGCGGAGCACAGAGCAGCTCCCTGTTCCTGCTCCAAGTCCTGGCCAATGATAGATTTCGTCGACTTCACCTGAAGCTTTTCTTTAACTAATCTAATCGGCTAGAATGCTTTGAGTACCCTTTGTAGGGATATGCAAATAAAGTATAATTTACTATGTATTCAAAATTTATTGTATTTATAAGGCGACGAGCGGCCCAGCCGCAATTGCCGGCAATTGAAGATTCGAAGTAGCTCGGAAAATAACAAAGCTTGTTTATACTTTTATAAAGATAGTACCCATAGGAACACAACAAGTACTTGTGTTGTGAGGCCTCGTGTGCGTCGTTCTATTTACTCGTCTCACACAAAACATTTACGAAAAACTGCACAAATCTAATCTGGTGGGATTCAATGCCGCTTATCAGCTCTTATGGAGATGCGACACACGCGGACAGGCGACGGGCGCCACCGTCGGCTAGTGTGAAAAATGCTGCCACTTGGACGAGTTCTGCGAGCGGTGGGTAGCTTGCAGCAGTTCCGCTGTCTGTGCAGCAAGGCTTACGGCGATGCTCTGCCCAGCAGCTGTGATGTCCTGATCATTGGTGGCGGCGGCATGGGAGCCTCCTCAGCTTTTTGGCTCACGTCCAAGGCACGGCAGCGGGGGAAGAAGCTCAATGTGCTGGTGGTGGAGCGCGATCATGGTGTGAGTAGGGAGTCCTGAGGCTTGGCTAGATCTAGATCACTGACTTCCAACCATTCCTTACTCAGTACTCGAAGGCTTCTACTGTGCTCTCGGTGGGCGGAGTACGGCAGCAGTTCTCCCTGGCAGAAAACATACAAATGGGACTTTACGGCCACGACTTCATTATGAACAGCCAAAAGCATTTGGGTGACGTCGATCTCTGTTTCCAGCCGCACGGCTACCTGATCATGGCCACCTCCCAAGGAGCAGAGATCCTCACCCGGAACTCCAAGCTGCAGAACGAATTGGGGGCCCGGAACAAACTGCTCGGCCCGGAGGCCTTGCGGAAGCAATTTCCCTGGCTGTGCACGGACAAAATTGAACTGGGCTGCTACGGCATTGACAAGGAGGGATGGTTTGATCCCTGGGCGCTGCTGATGGGATTCAAGAAACAGGCGCGTTCCTTTGGCGCCAAGTTCGCCAACGGAGAAGTGGTGGGCTTCGAGTGGAATGCAGCTGGGGCTTTGTCAGGAGCAGTGGTGGATGCTGGCGATGGTACTCAGCATACTGTGAAGTTCGACACCTGCGTACTAGCGGCGGGAGCACACTCGGGCCAGGTGGCTAGCCTGGCAAATATTGGCAGCACCCAGGCGAAGGAGGCATCGCTGCGCGTGCCTCTGCCGGTGGAGCCGCGAAAGCGGTATGTCTATGTGTTCAGCACGCAGGGCGACAATGGTCCTGGCTTGGCGACGCCGCTGACCGTAGATCCCGACGGGACATACTTCCGACGCGATGGCTTGGGCGGCAACTTCCTCTGCGGCCGCAGTCCTTGTGATGATGAGGAGCCGGACTGTGATACCTTGGATGTGGATCATGGCTACTTTGACACGGACATCTGGCCCACCTTGGCAAACCGTGTGCCGTGCTTTGAGGCCGTCAAGGTGCAGAGCAGCTGGGCCGGCTACTACGAGCACAATACGTTCGATGCCAATGGCATCATAGGCAGGCATCCACATTACAGCAACCTCTTCATAGCTGCTGGCTTCAGTGGCCATGGCATTCAACAGACGCCTGCGGTTGGACGAGCCATCTCTGAGCTGATCCTGGAGGGCAGGCTCACCACTCTGGACTTGTCGCGCATGAGCTTTGATCGCATCGTGAAACAGCAGCCCATGTTCGAGGTCAATATAGTCTGAGAGTGGTTGAATATTGTTATCATTTTCATTTTTTTGTGTGTATGTACGTTCTTTTATTGCAATTTTCTTGTTGTATGTATATATGGTAATTTTTTTTCATATAGTAAAGTTCACGTTTGTAGTCACGTAAAGCATTGCTGTGTGTGTTTTGGCTGCATGTTGTCGAGAGGAATTGAAGGAGTTGAATGGTGTTTTGGTCTTGGTTCGGCCACAAGAATTACTACACATAATTTATTTAAATAAAGATTTTAAACATAGTCGTAATATAATTTTACGGAATAATTGCGGACTTAAGATCAGGTGTGGCTGGCGGGTTGGAGTGGAGAGGGGGCCTGTTATCATCTGGTTCTTTTGCCTTTATTACTTAGTTATCGTTATGTAGAGGGGCTTTATATATTTGACGTTTAAACTACATACAAGATTTGCATTTGCCTTTGAGTTGAATCCGATCCGCTCTGTCGGGGTGAGCCAAAACAAATGCTCAAGCTATTAGTTAATATAAATAAATATGTGTGTATGAGCGCGCCTACGCGTGAGTTTTTATATGAGAATGACTGGATTGCTACCTAAGCCTCGCTCTCGCCTGGTGCAGCGTTTTCTCCGTCGCTGATGGGCACGATCAGATTCTCCTTCGACATTAGATTGTATTTTGTGACGAAATGCGTAAATCGGTGGCATAGATACGTTTCTGCTTCGAACTCGTCGAAAATGCGACGATGGTGAAAGAAAGCATGCGAAAAGATACGGTAAACGCGCCGACACACCGACCCCAGCTTGGTCACCGACGACTCCTTTATGGAAACTCTGTGGGAGACAGTTGATTAGCCATTTAGTTCATGTTTTCTCATGAGCATGTTTACGCCTACCTGCTTGGGAAATATTTGTTGCTGTTGAGCAGACAGGCAGCTCCGTCCAGTGTGTGACGAGTGTAATCAATTGCTGGACACTCCTTTGGCGTCTTGTGGGCCGCACACAAGAATATCCACTGATCGGTTGCCGTCATCTGTGTGCAAGTCGACGGCGAGCATTCCTTCTGCAAGCGCACAGCCAGGCCGTTCAATTCCATGCAAAATTGTCGCAAGTGCTCGTACTTCCACACCCCCTCATCCTGGGCCTCTGGCATGGTCAATATAAGCTCGACATTGCTCGGATCACGCTTGATCAGTTGCTGTATGAACTGCTGCACAGCCAGCGTGCTGTCCATCTCCTCCAGAGGCTCATCGGGCCAGCGACAGAAGTCCTGAGTGAAAGCGACAGCGTTGTAAACGCACAGGTTTTGGTATTTGTCAACGGGAGCTCACCTTTGATGTTGTACCAGGTCGGTTCCTACGCAATATTGTCGAGCCGTCAGCCATCTTCATGTTTCACCTTCCTTCGAGCCGCGATGATCCACAACGCCTTTGCCTACGCCTAAGACGAGAAAATCTGTGGCAGACCACACAAAGTAAGTTTGATCCCGAAACACAACTCGTTCCCAAATTGTTTCAGTTGTGGGGCTAGCCTAGCTTTGTGCTCTAGGCTTTACAATTTAAGTGGACTTCTGTTTACACATCGCGCAGCAATTAATTTCAATTTAAAAACACCTTTGTGCGAGAAAATTTCTGACAAAATTCACATACATACATATAGGGATGGGCAAGGCAGCGATATACTTTTTGGCTATCGATATAGTTGATTGCCGCCTCTGATTTACTGAACTGAATAGAATTTGGTGAACAAATGCTGGCAAACTTGTTTGCATTCAGTGAATTTGGTCTAAGTTTGTTCGATCTTGTTCTAAATCGTTATTTATTTGTGACATTTTGGATGGCATTTGTTTAATGACCTCCCTCTCTAGCTCACACACCTTGCAAGGGGATCTTGTTCCCATCATTCATGAACTACTTCAGTTAGAGGTGCAAAAACATCGGCGACAGTATCGATAGTGCCTCGATGGTTTCGCAGCTCTATCATCCGTCATCATAAATACGAACAGAACTTACAAGAATTGCGTATTAATTGTAAAATTACGAGATCATAGTTTCAAGAAGTGTGATCTAAACCAACCAGCTGCAACCATGTCCTACGCATACTTGTTCAAATACATTATCATTGGCGATACTGGTGAGTTGGACAGCGCTATAAATATCCTCCCATATAGTGGAAAAATTTGCCATTTGCACAAAATTGTGTGGCAATTAATTGAACAACAAAACAAAGGTAGTCTCACAAAACGGTCAACTGCGCAGTGTGCTCGGGGTCAAGCTCCCAAGATTGTGTAAGGTAAGATCTGAATTGGCATCCGCTGTCCAGCACCAGCTGCCATATGAAAACGGACAAGGAGTCGGCCAGCAAAAGGAAAAATCAATAAAACCATAACAACGCATACAGGCGGGCGGGCGTTCACTGGGCACGAAGTTAACAGTGTGCGGGGGTTGTAGCAGAGGGGGCCGGCTACAGCCCACACGCTGAAAACCCTGCTGCTGACTCAACCAACAACCCCCACTGGTTGAGAGATTTTTCCAAAGAGTCGGGTGCTCCCCGCCCCACAGGGCTGCCTACCATTCGCTTATCAGTGTGGATTACACATTTCAGGATATCTACCAGCTGTTGTCGGTTATTCTCCTGTAGTGCGGAAGTGCAGGCTCCAGAGGCAGTCTCTAATCTCCTTCAGTATAGAAATATGTGGAAAACACCCACTTAAAGACTAATTTCGAATCGCATTTGATTTGGCAGACGAAAAACTTTCCCTATTTGCCAATTAACTTTTCTCTGTTTTCTCAGGCGTCGGAAAATCATGTCTGCTACTGCAGTTCACGGACAAGCGCTTTCAGCCGGTGCACGATCTGACAATTGGCGTGGAGTTTGGAGCACGCATGATCACGATTGATGGCAAACAGATCAAGCTGCAAATCTGGGACACAGCAGGCCAAGAGGCTTTCAGGTGGGAGAGCAAAAAACAATAATCAGTATTCGTTATGCAATGTGATGGGACATCAATTTTTGCGTTCAACAGATCAATAACCCGCTCGTATTATCGTGGTGCTGCTGGGGCCTTGCTGGTGTACGACATCACAAGGCGGGAGACCTTCAACCATCTGACCACATGGCTGGAGGACGCGCGTCAGCACTCGAACTCCAACATGGTGATCATGCTCATTGGCAACAAGAGCGATCTGGACTCGAGGCGTGAGGTGAAAAAGGAGGAGGGTGAGGCATTTGCCCGTGAGCATGGACTGGTCTTCATGGAGACATCAGCGCGCACAGCGGCCAACGTGGAGGAGGCCTTCATCAACACCGCCAAAGAGATTTACGAGAAGATACAGGAGGGAGTGTTCGATATAAACAATGAGGTAAATATGCACGGCTTTTGGCTTTTTGATACACTTTGGCTCACTTCGACACACGTCTTTTCCACAGGCAAACGGCATTAAAATCGGCCAACAGCATTCACCCACAAACCCCTCGCTGCCTGGGTCTGGCGGAGCTGCCGGCGCTGCAAACAGTGGCTGCTGCTAGGAGTAAGCGGCAGATGCCTGCCAGCAACATTGGGTATAGACGTAGCCCGCTTCTGTAAAAGCTACTCTAGTGACTAACTAATAGAAGGTACTAGCTGAGACACAGATATCTTGTTTTCTAACTTCAAAAGCAAACTAACCACAGGCAAATCAAATAGCAAACAAAACACACTAAGCGTAATGTTAAAATCACTCAATCCCACACAACTACTACACTTGAGCTACGTTTTAATTAAAGAACAAACAGATGCAAAATACCAAACGAGAGAATCGAAAAATAAACCAAAACAGATAACATATAGCATTCGTATGTGTATGTGTAAATGTGTCGTGTCGTGCGTGATTTCTAAATTTTATAAACTTTAACGAGACACATATGTATACCTAAATGTTTTTTATGTATATTTTTTGTGTACTATATTAAAATTAGTTTGCAAGTTATCTTTGTGTAAGGACAGATCAGACGCATAGTTATACACCGGTGGGGTCTAGGTCGTGCCGGACAAAATTCTGTGTAATATATAGACAAACTGAAAATATGTGAAATTCTCTCATTGTGATTTGTTTTCAGCGAGCCATCCAGTCGCTGCCCTGCAACGCCGCGCCACGCCCCATTTTGCAATGGGTGTCTGCCCCTGCCCTGCCCCATCTACATACATACCTACATACATACATAATTATGTGCATATTTTTATATTTCCTTCTCAACGCATTTGCTTTGTTCCGACATTTTATTGTGCAATTGGTTCCACTTTACACCCGTAACACTTTATTCATAAGCTAAAACGAAAAGAAAAACGAACCGAGCGACAACAGAAAATGCTAAAACTTGTGCGCTGAAAGGGAGTTATTTAAACGATATAGATACATCAAAATGGGATGAACGTGAACGTAAACGTAAACGCTGCGATTCAATGATCAATTTAGTATTCTACGAGGTTTAAATATACATACATATATTAAATTAAAGACAAACACAAGATTTAAACGAACTATACAACCGTAAACGTAAATCAAATTATTTATAATATTTGTATTTGCCCAAAAGCCCTTCCCATGCGGAATAATGAATATATACATACATAATAAATATTTAAAAACCACATCAAATCCGGTCTTTACCTTGGCCTGAATCTCGAGAGCAGAACCCATTAATGCATTAAGTACTCAAACGATCTCGTTTCAAAAATTGTATGTATGTATTTTCGTTAATATGGATCATTAGATAATTGTTTATTTCGTGTAAATATTTTATAATTGTAATTTACTTATGTGTTATGTGTGTGTGTGTGTGTCTGTGTGTGAGTATGTACATATTTGCTAGAGTTCGAAAACAACAATAACTACGCTACAGTATAGGTCCTGGTCTGCCTTTTACTCTCTAACGTGTGAAGTGTGCCTAGGTTTGAACAAAACTAGCTAGCTTTCAGTGTGCTTCTCGGGTGAGTTTTCTTTTTATCTCCATATCTATAAATATGTATTTTTCAATAATACTTGAACTCTATATTCATCTGCATTTCCAAGCAAGACCTTCCCTTCTCGACTCCACTCGTTTGTGTTGTGTTGAGCTTTATAATTTTGCAAACATTCCATAATGGTATTCTATCCTAATGGTAGAAAAACGTTTCCTCACTGCAAGAGCGGGTATTCGGACCTATTTGCTCCTTTGCTGAAATCTTTTTGGAGCCTTGCAATGATGTGTGTGTGTACTGTTTATTCTTGATTGACTTCAAGATTGAATGTTAGTTTAAAGACAAATGCGGCCAAGGACTTACGAGTAACTACGAGTTCGAAAGATCGATCGAAAAATGGTCGCTTGTCCTTTGTTATTGCATACGTTCCTTATGTATAGATTGGTTGTTGTTTATTGAGTGTTCCTTTACGGTGTTCGTACGAAAATTAAGGCCATTAAATCTAGGCAATATGTAGGTATATTTTTCAGTTTTACCTTTATAAAGAAGACAATTGAGGGGGACCCGTTTGCACCTGGCAGTGATGCACTGCATTGATATTGATTGAAAATTGAACATTTTGTCTAGATGTGGATTACAACTTGCTGATTAGTAGTTGCCCTAGTGCGGCTAAAGATTTATGTATATATAAGGTGTATATATCTATATAGTATGTACGCAAGGTATGGTATGGTGTATAGCTATAACTATTTCTCAAGTCAATTATTGGGCTTACATGTTAGACAATCTTATCGAATAGGCTTAGTTTCAGTTACAATTCTGCTCGGATTTTATGGCTGCAAGACCATTTGACATAAGAAACTCGATAACATTTAATGCTAATGCTTTTGTTTTAGGCTACAGCTTATCAGATTTGAAGTACCTTCTCAGCAGTCCAGGTCCAGGCCCAGGTCTAGGTTCAGTTCCAGGTCCAGTCCGCCTTCGGTTCATGTCTATTTATGAATCTAGTGTAAAAGTTGAGCTTTTTTAGTCTCTGAGACATCACTATCACTCTCCTTAGGTGCTTTCTTCTCGCAGAACTCGATCATATACGAGCAGACGCCGGAGAGTGCTATAAATATGCCCGCATAGTAGAAGGAGTCGTCCCATCTGTGGCGGCGGCAATGGAATGCAAATTGGACAAATTAAACAAATAAGTCGAGGATTCATTTTTCACAAATTCATTCGACTACATACCTTCCCACGGACTCGTATATGAGACCTGCTATTGGGGGGCCTGCGATCATGCCCACACCCTGCACCAGCAGCACCAGACCGTACGCACACGTGAAATCGTCCAAATCCACAATACTGACCAGTATACTGGGCGTAAACGAAAACGAGCTGGCGAACGTAAAGCCGAAGATTACGCACATTGCCATCAGTCCATTGTAGCTGGTCATTAGCATGGGCATGCAGAACACAGAGGCTCCGCACACTGTCAGTGAAGAAATGTAGAATGATTAAGAAAGGACCACCACTCTTGATCCCTGAATCGAAGCAGCTCCAACTTACCCAGCATGCAGAGGGAGTAGCATATGTTGATGTTCATCCAGGGCTGGTCGCCCACATAGCCCAGTCCTATCATGCCCACCGTTTGCGCGATGCCAACTGCCGATATCAGAACGGCACTTACATTCACCTCGTAGTTATATTGCTTCATGTAGTCCGGTAGATACAGATAGGGTATAATGAACCTGCGGAACGTGCCCAGAGTGGAGATTAGATGGGTGCCTTTATTCGTTATCAGAAAAAGGTTTGGTTCGGTCTGAATCGATTCAAACCAGTCTCCTTATCGAGATCCTACATTTGGAGCACTCTGAATATGGAGTAGGGTAAACCACGATTATGCATCGAATACAGCGGAGGGCAGGCCAGTCCAGCAACAACCTCGAGTCGAGTAGCAATGCACACGACATGCATGTTGTTTCTTGTACTATTCTTTAACCGAACATCTGAGCAGAAACGCGCCCACCGCTGATCTAATCGATAATGTTGATCACACCATTCATATTTCATTGAAGCATTTTCAGCTCTGGGGTTAACAAAATCATTGTATAACAACAACAATTTGAACAGCTGCCAAAAAGTGTTTGCGACATCTGCTGGCAACTGTACAATTATGGCGGCGCGCATTCATCTGAGTATTAATTTTAGCATTTTCCTTTAGGTTTTCCTTCGCGCTGTGCGCACATCCGAGGCCTTCGCTGATCAGTAACCAGTAGCCTCGGAGTGCACGTAGGTGCATGGGTACTCACCAAATGAACAGAAACAGTGTCGAGAGGTTGAACAGGGCGAACTTCAGGTCGAGAAACATTGAGAAATCAAAAATGGACTTCATCGTGTCCACAAAGCTTTCGTACCAGGTCTGTGGAAAGGGAATAAAGGAGCAGAAGAAGAGCCAGATTTTCTTTAGGGTTTTCCTTTTGTTAATCGAATGTAGGCAACACGGAAGCCCAAATGGTCACCTTATCAGGCGTAATACGATATTTATACAGTCCAATTATGTACGTAGTACAAATGTAGAGAGAGTGAGCGCTGATAACTCAATAAGCAGTTGAGCAGCTGAGCAACTGAGCAGCTGGGGCTGTTGTCAAGCCAAGACCCGCCTGATAAGGGAGACCCAGGGAGGGAGGCATCTACTACATCTACTTACATCTTCTTCTTCCTTGGCGATGGTGGTCATCGAGTTGCGGTAGATGTTGGGGCAGGAGGAGGCCCGCAGCCGGTACCGGTGCGTGTTGAGCATGGCGCCGCGGTAGTGTATGGAGTTGCGGTGGATCCGCATGTCCTTGAGGAAGTTGGAGTTGCGTATCGAAATGTTTCGGCGCAGATTCGAGCGGTGCTGGCTGGGCTTCTTCGACCTGGACAGCCGGCGGATGCCCGTGATGCTGTCGAGGCGAGCGCGGCGCAGAGCCACCTCACTGTTGGCCGTTGGCTGTTCGCGATCCGGCATGGCTATCACAGTGGGGCCGGGGCGGCGGCCGTGATCCAGGAGGGCGAATGTCTCGTCCTTGTAGTAGCAGTGCATATCCTCGCTGAGGATGTCCACCGAGTTGTGGCGCAGACCATTCACCTTCAGGTTGGAGATCGACGGCGTCGTGTGCTTGGCCATGAAGAGATTTTCGTTGAGCGAGTACCGGGAGCTGGCGTGCTTCTGGGTGAGGTATCCCTCGTCCGAGGATCGTATCGACCCGACGGGGCTCGAGCGCTTCTCCGACGGCGACAGGGTCTCGATGGAGGCCAGATAGCTTTTCTTGGCCGCTTCCATGGCCTCCTGTGCTATTCCGCCCATGAGTGTATCGTCCGGCGAGCCAATGATGGCCGTCGACGGAGGATATCCCCCCGCTCCCGACGACATGGACAGCAGATTCTCCCGCGACGGAGCTTCCACCCCCTCCTTGTGCCTGAGGGAACGCCGACTCAGGCTCTTCACCTCACAGATGCTGTCCAGCTCCTGGATGCTCAGGAAAGTCGGCAGAAAGATCTCGCTGCGATAGCGTTTGAGGCCCGTGTCCAGGGGATCGTCGATTTGCTGGTTGGCCTCCGTGTTGTTCTTCGTCACAAGGCTGTCCAGGACGGCCTCCTTGGTGATGCCCGTGTCCAGCAGCTTCTTGATCTCCTCCAGGCATACGCTCGAGTTGGAGAAGGTGGTCACGCTTTGCGAGCGGCTCTCCAGGCGGTTCTCCTCTATCAGCCAGTCGGGGTCCCGCATCAGGGCGCCGCAGACACAGGCGTTCAGCATGGTGCCCCCCAGGATGAGGGTGGCTCCGCGCCACCCGTACGACTCGATGAGGTACGAGGTGAGGCGGGCGTACACAAAGGTGCCAATGCCCGTTCCCGAGGCTCCGATGCCGGTGGCAAAGGTCCGCTTCTTGTCGAACCAGAAGGCAATGGACACCACGGCGGTGACGTAGCCGATGCCCAGTCCCAGGCCCGAAATAATCCCAAACGTCACCATCAGCATCTCGATGGAGTTGCAGAAGGAGGACATGGCGAACCCCACGGCGGACACCAGCCCCCCAATGATGGTCATCTTGCGGCACCCGTACTTGTCCACCAGATTCGACCAGATGGGCCCCATTAGCAGCGGAACGGAGAAAAACAGCGACGAGATCCAGGCCGTCTTCGAGGTGGACTGCCCGAAGTACTCGAGCAGTTCCGCGTTGATCAGGCCAAAGGAGAAAGACAGTCCATCCGCTATGAGGGATACCACCAGGGAGGCGAACACTACCACCCAGCCGTAGCCTCCGTCGGGCATCTTCGGGGCCTTCTTCTCCGTCGAGCCGGAGTCTATCGAGTCGCCCGACTCGTTCGATATCAGCCGCTTGCGCTTCTTAACCTGGCTACTGTTCATCAGGCAGGTGAGGTTCCCCTCGCCGTCGATCGCTATGATGCTGGTCCGCACCACGCGGCTGTGCCCGGCCCCATCGGCCAGCTCCTCCGCCGACAGATTGCAGAACGTCACCTCCGGGAACAGGTCGTGCTTGATGGCACGGTTCAGGGGAGTGTTGGCCGGGGCCGGTACCGGGCTCTCGGGCAGTGCCTGATAGGCCCCCCCATTCTGCTGGCTGTTGTTGTTGGCCGCCTCCGCGCTGTTGTTGTTCGAGACGTTGGACACGCTGGAGGCCGTTGTGGGCTTGGCCATGATTGGGCCTTGATAAGTGCTAAGTGCTAAGTGTTTTTGTTTTGCTTTTGGGTTTTGGATTAACTGGTTGCCGTTCTAAGAAGGCTGGCTCTGGCGGCCACAATAGAAAATATCTGTAAAAATGTTGCACTTTCTAGACAGAGCAATTATTGGATTTGAACACGGTTTTAATTGCATTGGATTTCAGCATAGATTTTTTCAGTTGAGTTTTCCTTTCCTTCGGTTTTCTTTCAGTGCGTGGTGCTGTTGGGTTGGGGAACAGTAAACGGTAACAGCATTAATAACTTATTTGAATATCGGGGGATTTGGTATCGCTATGCTATGCTCTTTTGTCCCCCCACCTAATGTGTTTTCCCACCTTCCATTCCTTCGAGGGATCACAATATTTATAATGGCTAAAATGGTAGCAACAACAAGAACTACTCGTGGTAGGTGAATACATTTCGCTTATAAAATCGCGCGCAAACTGGCATTTGGTCGTTTGGCATTTACCCCAGACGAACGGAATCTCTCCCCAACGGATCCAATCCTATCCCATACGATAATCGCCTTCAACTTGACCTCAGAGAAAATGCTCGTATCGTAGCTGAAGACGAAAGAGAGAGCGAGATCTGCTGGCAGAGACGGCGCATTCGCCTGAGTGTGTGTGCGTGCGTCAGAAGACAACAGCTGATCCCCGAAAATAATAATAAACAAAACGACAAAAATAATAATAATATGTATTTTCAATTCAATTTGTGGGCTTTTGTGGGTTTGCTTGAGTGCCAGTCAGTTGGTGGCTAATTTTAGACGGACGTACTCGTTATGCACATAGAATACAGCGTGTGTCCCCCATCCCACAGCGATGGTCGGACGGAAATTGACAGGAAAGCTATTAGTGACTCCTCTCTAGCTGGCTTCGAAGAGACTTTCCTATAGGGTTCCCATTCTTACCTTTTGTCCTGCAAAGCCACTCGCAAAGAATGCTCAGCCCCGCGGGCAACAGGAGAACCGAGAAGCGTATAACAGATACAACAGAACGCTACACTTTAGTATTTCCCGGAGATTTTCACTGGCACTAGATCCTTTTCCACACTGCGAGCACGGGTATCACTGCCGCCGATTAGTTCACCATAATTGCACAGATCTTCAGTTATATTCAGCTCGCTGAGGGTGTAGCGACTGCGATTCAAGGGTTTATTGAGGGCGGCGGTTCGGTGGAGGATTCTTAGGCGCGGATCGCGGGGTATGTAGTGGAGAAACACTTTGTTCGATTTGCTGCTGTTGTTGTAAGTACGGGGATTGCTGTTCTGGCTCTTGTCGCACGACTTCGACGCTGTGGCTCCTCCTGCTGCTGCTGCGGCAGATGTCGTTTTGCTGGCACGATAAAATGACTTGAACCGAATGTCATTCATTAAGAACGTTAGGGGGTTTATCACAGGCCAACGGAGAATATATTGAACAATGACTGATGGCAACTGTGGCACGTTGCGGTTGCTCCCGATGCTGATGCTGGTGCTGTCGCTGTTGCTGTTGCGGCAGTTGTCGCTGCCAGTAAACGGTTTATGCCTTGGCACCCTCATGCGGTACGGTAACTACAGTTTCTGTTGGGGGAAACCAAACAACGCTTTTCGGTGCCAATGAAACAAACAAAAAATAAGAAAAACAAGGGGAATGCGTATGAATGACGCTCTAGTGTTCCTTCTGATGCTGACGCTGCTGCTGCTGCTCCTGTGGCAGGTGGGTGCACGTGCCTCTCCTGCACTGCTCCACTCCTCTCGGGCCACGTGGGGGGTTTAACGCGTGTCAAGTGCGCGGCGCACAGTGCGGCGGCGGACGGGCGAACATATCGACGGCGGTTCTCTCAGTGCTGGATGGCTGGATGCGGCTTACGCGGCGTATGATGAGTAATGTCCAAAATATTATGTAAGTGAGTCGCTGCTGGTGCTGCTTCTCCTGTTTCTTCCGTTTCTTCTGTGCCTCGTTAACGCGTGATGATGACAGATGGTCTCTGCTCTCGATTATCAGCCTTCAATGCTGGTGCTGCAAGGAGAGGGAACAGAGAGTTAGTCGAGACTCGAGACTCGTCCGATAAATGACTTAAATCGGAGCTCAGGGAGCACAAAGCTTAAACATAGTATCGCATCGCTTTCAATAGGAGAGCAATAAGCGAGAACGACATAATAGATTTCCACAAATGACGCCGCATCATCATCCTCACAAATCTTATAAAGCAATCTCCAACTCGTGAATTGCCAAACAATGCAAAATACATGTTTCGAGCATTCCATTAATTTTGACACATGACAGCGACAAATTCCCGAGGCGGCCCCAGCCACGGATGATGCTCTGAGAGATATGAAAGTACCTTGGAAACGCCTCACATACGTATAGCCTATGTATCGGGTAGAAGCTTTACACCTTACCGTTTCTTCGATGAATATAGTACTTGCCTATCCCACGTTTCTATGGTAAAAATGTTTCAAACCGATTTAAAATTTAGTTTTCGGGAATAATATACGTAGCATACTTTGCTTTAATTTCCATCTCTGGAAATTCGAGCAGAATTTTCCATTTAGTCGGCATAATTTAGATTGAATTTTCAGTGCACTTCACTTCCTGTAGAACATCCCGCCACCAAATGGTATTTGCTTGAACGATTAGACACAGTTCTGCAGCCATTCATTGCATTGGCTATTGCACATTGACCAACTTAATGGGGCCGCTTTGCGGACTGCCAAGTTCAACGCTCGATAGGGGAGAGTGATTAAAATACCCGTCCAACAGCCAAGTACAGACCGCAGAAGAGCGGAGCAGACGGGACGGGACGAGAAGTAACGTAAACAGAAACGGCGTGTTTTTTGATTGCCGAGATTTTCTGTGCTAAAAATGCGGACCGTCCGATTTCCGACTTTGGCGAGACATCGAAACGATCCCTTATCGGAAATCAAATTCGTATCACTAGTATACGCTGCAATCGTATAACTACACTCGGCGAAAACACGACACAGTACAAGGAAACATTCAAATTAACAATTCGGTTTTTACCAACAAGCATACATAGCAAATATTTTCATAGTCAAGATGTGTTTCTTTTCACAATATCCACTCTTGGAGCAAACCTACGGGATTTTAGGGGCTTTTTCTCTCGGTGTACGAGCACATCTGTGTGTTTTTGGCAGAACTATTGGGGGGATAGGTATAAGTACCAGTGTACTATTTGATGGCCAAAAAGTGCCTGCCGATGGCCTATCTTTACAATATAATTGACAGAAAGTGGTATTATATTGTGAAACGCGATAAGCCAGGAGATGTGATAAGGTTAGAGCTATTCGGGGAGGAGAATCAGCCGTGTCTAGCTGATTTTACAATTATACACATATATTATCCTCAACGATACGGTCATACGGTCTCGTGATCTCCCCTCTTGGTTTCAGGATCCCTCCAGCTTCGATGCGACACATTTACTTTCTACAACTTACATTTTCCGCTAAAAACAATCACAGTTAATTCAACATTTTGCACATTTCCAGCATAGCCTTCTGCGTTGGCGCCTGCTCGTATGCCACACTTTCGAAATGCACTTGCTTTTGACGGAGCACTTTCACTTTGTAGAGCAAATCATGCTTGAAACTCAAGACCCACATCTTGTTTAGTTAATATCAACACACACAACACAACGAGAGGCCAAGCCAAGACAAAGAAAATACAAATAAAAACTTGTATGTTACGATGATGATGATGATGCTGATGATGCCTCCAACAAAAACAACAACAACAACAAGCACATTTCTTGAGCGGTATGGTCTGCGTTTCTGTAAAGTTTCAATGTTTTCCCCGACTCGGAGTCGTAGTCGTAATCGGAATTGGGATTGGAATTGGAATTGGACCCGGGATTGACCGTCGTGTCGTCGTCGTCGTCCGAACGACTGAACAGAAGTGGGCCTGAGACGGGCACAAAGCACTACAGCAGAACGGATTGGAACGGAATGACATGGAACGAAACGGCGACAAGGCTGCCGAGTGTCTGTAATCGCGGCAATCGTTCGCCTTAATCTAATAAATTTCTTATCAAAGCGCGTCGCTGCTTATAGTATTTAGCATTTTTTCTCTATATATACATACATCTGTGCAGTTACAGTTGTGCACATACATACATACATACATATGTGTGAATTTGGGTACACATAAGCACGCGTTGGCGTCGCGTCTGTCAACTTGCCAGCCTTTTGTGACGCGCTCCCTTCGGTTCTCTCTTTTGGCATGGGCTTGTCGTAGATTCTGTGCGTAGATCTGCGTATGTATGTATGTGTCTGTGCAAGCATACAAATGTATGTACATATGTATGCATCCAAATCAAGCCAATCATGCGGCTGAGTGTAATTGGTTTTCTAGTTAGACAAGCAGAGAAGAGAATAGTGTCCGGCGGCAACCTTGAGGAAAGATACATATGTACATATTTGTGTATTGGTGAACTTTGATCATCCCCAATTAATTTGTGGGAACCCAATATTGGCCAAATCTATTCAACAACTAATTAATCGTAATCCCAAAATGTATAAGAAATAGGATTTTACAATGCATTAACATAGACAAGGCACTGGAAGTATCACTTGAATTCTTGAATAGTTAAATTTTGTTCTCTTCTAAGTGGAATCCGCCAATCCGTATAATCTTCGTACTCGAATTGTTTTATGCAATTTTAAGATAAAGCTCCAAAAACTTCCCACATCGTAAGGGAGGGGTCATAAATTCTAGCAAGTCGTTAATTGTGAGATAATTTTAGAGCCAAAAGTTTTTGGCGATAACTTTTATACCCCGCCAATTATGATAATGAATTCTTTGTTGGCGGACGTTTAGTTTTTAGTTTGATGCTGACCTAGGCCAGCTAATGGGCTAATGTGGGTTTTCCGTCTGATTGCTATATGAGGGGTTCTATAACTTAAGTTTAGGCCGGGGAATTCATGAAGGAAATGGCGCATTACCTGTAGCTATATGTAGCTTAGGAAACTACAATTCAGCCTTATCAATTGTTTGTTTCCATCAGCATCATCATCATCATCATCATCATCATCATCATCATCATCATCATCACCATCACCATCGTCACCATCATCATCATCGAAGGGAACCAAAGAAATTGATTTAATTAAGTTTGACTGGTTGCCTTCATGTTTTAATTGAAAGACTCAAGCAAATTGATTGAGCCAGCTGTAACCAGGGTCAAGCCACTCACCTTGAACGGAATTGAGTTGCTGAGTTTTCCCATGGACTACAAGCTTTCCCCAACCCAACCGCCGCCCAGCTCCGACCTTGCGAAAGTGTTTGTTTAGTTTGACAAGGAGAGCATCTGAAATGCATCATCAGGAGCCCTCGATGCAGACTCAAAGTTATCAGATGAGGAGACAGAGACAAGGAGAGATGCCGGCTCTATCCTCTTTGTATTTTTTCCCATGCTCAATGCTCAATGATATGAGCCAAGGTATATTAATTTAAGGTGCGGTGAGGCATACCGATTCTCCCGAGTGGGCTGATTTGATTTGATTGCCTCACCCCTCCTCCCCCGGCGCTCCCACGCTCGCATTGTAGGTGTCAGCTTTTAATTGAGTTGCGGTATTTACGTTTTCTTTGCGGCTGTCAATGGAAGTGTGGGTGGGTGCCGGCCACGGCCCCAAAGCCGTTTCTGTGGCACTTGCGGTCAGAGGGAACTCCATGCTTGATTCCCCACAATTGAACTTCTCAGCCCCAGGTCGAAAACTATTAATAATGGCCAAATTGTACATATATGCTGGAAATATTTTCACCATTACCATTAGTAATACTGTGGGGCTGAGAGTGCTGTGGGTCCTCCCCTTTTTCCAGCTTGACAGCTTACGTCACTGAAAACATTGTTGACAAAGCCGAAGAAGAGAAAAGTTACGAAAAGGTGTCCGCGTGGCAAACGACGCACCATGCATACTGGCCCACCTGCGGCATCCTTTCATGTTTTTTACTGTTCAGAGGACACCGCCGAGGACTCGGGGCTGGGGCCAGCAGCAGCGCCGCCGTCAACGGACGTCCACAAAAAGTTATCAAGTGCATATAAAAGCTGTAATGGCGGCTGCATTACCACCCCCCCCTGCACACAACACGTGTGTGCACAAGCAACATTTACCGTTAGTAGCGCTGGTGCAAGCTAAAGGATTATTTATGCTTTTTGCCTTAAACTTGACTAACGTTGCGGTCACAAAATGCAAAAAAGAAAACCGAAACGGGAACGGGAAAAGCGCCAGCAAACCCTTGTTTGTTTCATATTGATTTTTTCCTCTTCTAGGATATCTCTTTTGCTGTGCACTGTGAGTGTGTGTGCTCTGTCTGTGTGAGAGGACGGCATGCATACTAAATGAGATTTACCGTTGATATTTTGTCATTTCTTTCTATTTTGAGTGTGGGTCGAGCAAAAAAAAGGAAAATAAATAACTGAAAGGCCCCTGGCGAGCATGTGGATGATTACATTTTCCGATTTCCCTTCAGCTTGTAATTTTCTCTACCTCATGGTTAAGTTGGGCCTGCTCTCGACATTAATCTCCCTTATGCAGATTCACAAGAGGAAATTTAAAACAGTAAACTAATTAGCAACTAAGAATAGTGCACATTGTCAGCAAAGCGAATTATTGAACGAAGTCTGAGCGCAGCTCCTTTTCTTTTGTCAGCTCCTCCCCAGCCATGTTTCATCGCATTGGATGCGGTTAGCCCTGGGCACCGAAAGGAATTCACAAACAAACGAAAAAACCGGACCAAGACAAATGCCTCTGTTGTTCTCTCTCAATCTTTCCGTTGTTCTCGTTGGGTTTTGAAAAGGGCAACTTTCCGTTGGACGGAGCAGACCTCTAAAGGTCTGTGCGTGTTAGCAGCAGCCCCCTCAAGGCCGAAAGTATTTTTGCTTTCTAATTCCTGCTCTTGACACGGGTGCACACGTCCATGCAAAGTGCAAAAAATGCAAATTAGAAAATCAACTAATAAACTTGACGAACACACACACATGAACAGCACATTCACACATACATTTGTATAACGTATAACACTTTGGTGGGTAGAAGGTGTGCTTTAAAGTTTGCCACGCGTGCCAGGCGGTTCTAGAAAATTCCATGAATCAGATTTGGAATTAAAATGGATGAATAATTCATCTGAGCGATGATTTCTGGCCCAGCAATAATTCAATTAGTACTTCAGCCCATTTCTCAGATTAATTAGAAGCGAGTTCGTCCCACTTTGCGATGGAACAGCAAAGGCCGGAGTATTACATTTTAAAATATACTTTGATTGCTTGATTTATGCGATGCCTGGACGCAAGCTCAAGATAGGCCACGAAGGACATTTTCCCTGGGACGTCCCGTTCAAGGTCCACGCCAAACGAGCATATGATGTAATTATACACAAATTTTCCTCTGCGGCCAGAGGCAAGCGGCAAGTTTCCCAAAGTGAAATCTGACGCGTCGTCACACAGTCTGCGGAGGGGCTGGCGCTTGTGCGTGTTCGTTTGTTTTTGCCATGTTTTGTGGCAAACGCTAGGGCCGCTGCTCATGTGACAGCTCGGAATGAACGAATCGTTTCGTTGTGCGGCTCTTAATTGCCACTCCACTTACCCGGCAAATGTATCCGCTGGCGATAAATTCGTTTCGCTCGTTTGTTTGTGCTCGCTCTCCGTTCGCCTCCCACCCGGCTTCCATAAACAAATCAACAAAAAACAATCGAGCACACAGCACAGTAATAATCAATTAAGAACAACTCTTGTTGGGGCTTGCATTTCCTGTTGTTCTTCGATCTAATATTCTTCAGTGGTGTTGTTGTTGCTCGCTCGAAACTCGAACTTGGAATGACGGAGAGGTTTCCTTGCCCATCTCTTCATTCTCCTTCAGTGTTTATTCCCTTCCATCTCTCGTGCCATCTCGCACTCACTCTATTTCTCGTTCTCTTCTCCCTTTCCTGCTTGGAGTTTACAGTTCCAAAGTGTCTCATCCCCTTCCCTTCTCTTCCCTTCCCTTCTCTTCCCTTCCCTTCCCCAGCCATCCACCAACACTTTGTATTCTCACTTCTCTCCCTTGCTCTTCTGTTTTGTTTGGTTGCGTTCCCGTGACGCAGTGGAAATTTACCAAGCTGAGATCATTAAATTCCACATCACGGCTGAAGACAGCTCTCTTGAACAATCCTCCCCTCCCCTACCCTACCCTGCTCCGTATGGAGTGCATATTTGTTTATTTCAGTTGTGCAATAAAATCTGGAAATGTTCCTTACGTTGTAGCTCGATTAAACAAAATAAATACATACATTCAAAGCTTTGAACTTTGTTGCACACCATTGGCAACACTAGTGGTTTGATAACAATGTGCTATTTATGTCGTGCATGGTTCACATGCTTCCCATTAAGTGTTAGTTATTCAGGTTTCAGAGCTAAGCCAAGTTGAAGGTTCGTTCCAGCACAAAAGATGAATGGCAAAATTGCATGATGCACAAAGTTTGAAGGTTACGAACAGAGGCACGCGATAATCTACGAAATTAATATTGAAAATAGAGCTGCAATCAGTTGCTGCATTCCATATAAAAATGTACCCACTGTACCAAATGGAACTGATTTAGCAATTTAGCAAACAATAGAAGTCCTCGAATAATGTGAACTAGAATTGAGCTAATCCAATATTTGAAAATGTCCACACGTAATGAGAAGATGAGGGACGGACGCATTAGATAAGATAAACCAAGCTCATTAAATGTTGTTTTCCTTAAACCCCCAACAGTAACTATTTTGCTTGTTCACATGATTGAATGATTAAACTATAGAACTCTTTCTGTGGACAGATCCGAAAACATACATTAATACATAGATCATCCTTAATGTGTGGTCCTTTCGGTAATTGATAGAATCAATTGCCCTTCTTCTCGTTCTCGTAATCTGCGTGTGTTTATAATGACTATCGCTATTAGCTATAATTAGCACAATTTGTGCCCTAAGTTCCCTCTCCACAGGCGACAGGTGGAAACCGGTTCTTGGGTCTCGATTTTGTGCTCGATTTGCACGCAATCAGCTGTTTGCTCTTTAACATTCGCTGCTGACACACATTGTCAGACAGACAAATAAATAAGGAAAAACAACATTTCAGAATAAAATTAAATGCACAAAGGCCTTACCGGTTCCATCAGCTGCTTCCGACAGTGGTTTTACTGGTTCGTTAGAATCGCTACTACCGCACCGACGCGATGGACGGGTGGGATGTGGGATGGCATTCGATTCTGCTTCTACTTGTAGTGTTTACGCACATTCTGTGTGTAGCAGTTTGAGGTCAATGGCTTCGTAGACTCACATACACACACACATATCTATGTTTGTTGCCAACTCTAAGCACATTAAGACTTCCAAATGCACAAAATCGAGAGCTCAAGGACGACAGACAAGAGAATGGTTTTCGATTACACTAAATCAAATTTGCAGAGCCATAAAGCGACGGGAAAAAACCAAAAATCGAAGCCTAAAAAGTGTCTGTCCCACGCCCATGTCCATGGGCGGCACTTCCCCATGCATTAGTGGATGGACTGGGGGGAGGAAAAGGCAAAGGCAAAGTCACAGGCACAGGCAATAAAACCGAAATGAGTGGTAGAGCAAAATGTCGGCGCGTGTGTAGGTTTCGTATCGCAGGGAGTGGAATTGGTAAAACCGAAAAATCCCGAAACTGTGCTACCAACTGTGCTAAAAGCTTACCAACAGCATCACTGCTTTCGCTTTTTGCCTCCCACACTCTTTCGGCTTTTGTAAATTAAACCATGGAGGATAATGGAGGAGCCGTGGCAGAAACTATGAAGCTGTTCTTCTGCTATCTGCCCAGCTATAAGGTGTCAATATCTTTTAACTTACAAGTGCTTACAGGGTATGTATAGTATATATTTAAGGCCAAGGTACGAAAGTGTTTACAATTTGCCTTATCGGGGTCTGTTGAGTCAGTTCCACGTACCCGCAGTGCAGCTCTCAGCATATATAAATACATAAAATAACATATTACTTATAGAGAGTGTGGGGCAATAAATATAAAATGATTTCAGCAGACGTGCCCAAGTGATTTTAAATATACACTTTGTTGACCTATAAATAGATCACACACTCGATCACACTCAAAGACGTAGACATTTCTTAAAGATAAATAAATAAATAAATTATTGTTAACTCATGGGGCCTCAAAGTAAAAAACAAGGCAAACAAAATATGAATTAATTTATCAGAGACCATAAGACCCGGCGATTACGCATTTGTGCTTTGCAAATATGGAAATACTGTTCAATAAACCAGCAACCAGGTCAATAAACATTAAAAATGTACAACGCTTCTTACCTGAGCGCTTTTTCAAACGGTATTGATGGCGGAAGCTCTTCTGGAATCGTGGGGTTATTAGTTAGATTACAACCATTTTATTAAAACTCTGTGCTATCCTCATTTAAACTGTTTACATTGCGAGCTGAACGATATTTTGGGTGTACACCGTTCTGTTCTGGTGCGGGACGGTGCAGGTGAGTCTTTAAATAAACCGAATGAGCTCGCTCTCTCCCCTTGCTCTTGGCTTTTTGTCGTTTCTCTTTGCGTCGATGATTCCGTTTGCCGTTGTTTTATGAATTTTCTCCTCTGCTTTTGCTGCACAGTGGAACGTAATTGTGTTCGGCGCGTGTCATATACGGCTCTGTGCCTCTGAATTTTAATTTCACGTCAAGAGCTTTAATGCCAAATGCTGCACGAGTCGGTACTACTGATTGTATACAATTGCACAACACATTGGAGACTTTGGTGGAGTGTTATTATCGCAGGCTGTTTGAGAGCTGTCTGGAGAGCTGCCAGCTGAGGGTCGTTGGAGTTTCACTGTGCGTGAGTTTCGATTTTTTCCCAGTACCACACACTCTGGGGGAAGTACGAGTATGGCAATGGACAACAGCACCACCAAACAACGGCACAAGTTCACCAGAAAATGTGGGGCGGTCGGAGGTCGGAGTAAACAAACGTTACAACACACACACACTCGCACACAAATGCGGACACAAAGAATACGTACAATTATGTATGTATGTACATATGTACGCTGGAAACGGAATAAAAGTTTGATGTTTTTGGCACTGCTAACCGATTCGTATTTAATTATTTCATATTTAATTTAATTACTTTTATCGTTCCGGCGAGAGCTAATCACAAATTTGGTACGAAAGATTATCGAATTTTTTCTTTACAAAGCGCAAAGAAACTGAAAAATCTCGGAATTTGCATATGTTTTCCGAACCCCTAAAGATTGACACAAAACACTTTTTATTCAAATTAGCGCACGCTTTTCGCTTTGTTTTAAAAAATTGTACAAAATAGCGCTCTAACGACACGTTCAACTCGGGGAAGCAGTGTGACCGCGGACTCATCGAGAAAATATACCGTCCGACCCTCAGAAATATACCGAATATACGGTCTCCTTTTAAAAATATACCGTAAATATACTGACGAATTCAAGTTATTTTTACATATTCCTCGATTTTGATCTTCCGTGGAATATTACTATATATATAGCACATTTAGCCATGCCCACATAATTTTATACGATTGACGAATCAATTCTATACATGATTGGCCTATTCGAAATACTTGCATTTATTGGATTTCTATATAACATTGAAAATTAAATTAATTATTGACAAAAATACCATTTAGCACTAAAAAACACCACATGGGAGCGCGGCGAAAAGCAGTTTCTACAGTATGACCCTCAGAACAGCACCGAAATATACGGTCTCATTTTAAAAATATACCGGAATTATTCGAATATTACTAGCTAGATAGTAGTGTTGGGTAAACATTGCTCATTTTGGTGAACATGTTCACTTGTTCTTTTTTAGTAAGTGAGTCAACTCACTCATATTGCTCAGTTGCTCACTTGCTCAGTTGCTGACTTGCTCTCTCAGTTGTTCACTATTCATGCACAGATGGTTCCAAATTTCACTATACTTTCGAATTAGCGACACAGTGAATTTTTCAAAAGAGTAAACAGCTTTGCCGGTAATAGTGTGAAAAAAGTGTGAAGTAAACTCAAATATGAGCAAAGCTGCCAGATCGCAAAATGCCATTTGAGGAGCAAAATTGCGCAAAAAGTGAGTAGAGAACAAGTGAGTAAAAATGAACAAGTGAACAACAAAGAACAACTTGGAAGGAACATGTTCAGTTGCTCACTTAAGTGAACAACTCTTTTTTGTTCACTCACTCATGAGCAACACAACAGTACTAGATAGATCTTTCAGCACTCATAATTTTATCCAATTTATTAATCTATTTTCTACTTGACTGCTTTATTTTAAATACTTGCTTTTATTCGATTATGCCTATGTTTCCCCAACTCAATTTGACACATTTGCTCTGCCAAATTTGGGCAGCAGCATTTGGTGGTGAAGGAGTTTAAGGCTAAGAAGAAGAATAGGCCCCCCATAAATCACCCAAATCAATCCAACATCTACATCATCCCATCCAAACTAACTTCCCTCTTATTAACTTACTAAAATTTTAGAGGCTTGCGTAATAAGCTCAGCATCCTTTTCCGGGATAGTGTTGCATTTGCTTCCCACGTTATTGTGTTTACTGAAACCTGGTTAAAGCCGGACATTCTAAGTTCCGAGGTTTTGGCAGGTCGGTACACAACTTTTAGAAAGGACCGTTCGTCTCGACGTGCAGGAGGGGTCTAATTGCGGTGGACTCTTACTTCACGTCAGAACACTTCACAGTCCAAGTTCAACAGGAACTGGAATTCCTGTGTGTAAAACTGATTCTTCCCGCTTTCGCTATATTCATTACTTGCTCGTATATCCCACCTTCTTCGGATATCTCAATTTACGAGCAGCACTTGTCCGCTTTAACCGCTGTTTCTTCTTCGCTATCAGATAAATATCACATGATAGTTCTTGGGGACTTCAACTTGCCAGGAATTGTTTGGTATTTGGTAAACGAGTCTAGTATCGTAGTGCCCATGTCACGACATGACTTTGTTGACGACTGGCTTGACCTGTCCCTGTCTCAAGTCAATCATGTGAACAATTCCTTGGGTCGATTGCTTGGTCTGTGCTTTGTCTCGAAATCCAATTAAAGTGTTGTTAGCCCGAGCCCTTCCGCTCACTATACCTGAAGACGTCTACCATCCTACTTTCGAAGTGTCGCTAGATTTAGGACCAACTGTATTGTATCGGTCGAGAAGGCTACCTGAACGTGTCCGCTGATTTCGTAAATCCGAGTTTGCGAAGCTTAATAACCTCATTAGGGATTTTTATTGGGCCGCTTTGTACTTGTGCACTGACGTCATAAAAGGCACAACCATTTTTTACAATGCTCTTGGCACATTTTTTAATTCTTGTGTCCCGCTTTCTTGTCTGATTAGATCTGGAAAACCCCCTTGGTTTACCAAAGAATTATCCTGTCTAAGAACTTAAAATCAATACTTTATACAAAATTTCAAGAAGTTGGTTCTTTTACTTTTCACTTTTGCTCAGTCAAACTTTTCAGTTCTTAATGCTCAATGCTATAAGAACTACCTATCTCGATGCAGAATACGTTTTTCTCAGGACCCCAAACAGTCCAACCTCCGCACACCTTTCGTAATGCATCGGCAAATAATGATCAGGAAATTGCCGATCGTTTTGCACAATTCTTCCAAACCACCTATCCTGAGGAAAGCTACTCTAGTCATCCGTACCCATACAGTTTGCCGAGGTCGAACGGCATTTTCAGTCCCTTGTTAAATGAATGTTCTTTACTTCATGATCTTCGACTAGTTAAGCCGGTGTTTTCACCGGGTCCAGACGGGGTCCCAGGTTGTGTACTCAGGTACTGCGCCGAGAACTTTGCTTAAACTATTCACCCTGTACATTGATTCTTCTTGCTTCGCCCCGATCTGGAAGGAATCGTTTATAATTCCTCTCCATAAAAAAGGTAGGAAGTCTGATGCAAAAAACTATAGAGGTATAGCAAAGTTATCCGCTATTCCCAAAATGTTTGAGAAGGTTTTAACTCCGCACTTGCAACATCTCTGCAAGTCACTTATATCTCCAACTCAGCATGGATTTATAAGGCGGCGATCAACCACCACGAACTTGTTAGAGTTTACCTCTTTCATTATTAAAGGCTTTTAAGGTAACTTACAGACGGATTTTATTTACACCGACTTTAGTAAAGCATTCGACTCTGTAAACCATTCCCTTCTGGCGCATAAACATGATCTTTTAGGGTTTCCACCCAACTTCCTGAGATGTTTGTTCCAGGGGTCAAAGCGTCCTCTAAAAAAGCACCCCCTGTCTTCACCAGTCAGGGAAGTACCACAGGGCAGCCATTTGGGCCCTTTACTCTCCACAGTCTATATTAATGACTTGCATTCGGAATTAACATACTCTCGAGTAGTCATGCATGATGTTAAACTCTGTGTCCAGTATAAGTTTATAACGAGCTAGTCAAAGGAATTTGACGACCCCTATATAAAAAGAATCTCTATACCTTGCTAGTTCGTCCAATTTTGGAATACGGCTCCTGTGTATGGTGCCCTTAGTACAAAGTACCGTTAAGGGACTGTTAAGAATCAGTCTAGAAAAACTTCCTACTTTTTGCTCTGTGGGGCATTCACTGAGATGCGGGTGTGAGAATGCCATGTTGCTCTGGTAGATTACTACTAGTAAACCACCCATCCTTAGTTAATCGTAGAAAAAAGCTTGGTGTGATTTTTAAGCTCACCTTATCAAGGGTGACGTAGATAGCCCTGATCTGTTGAGCCGCATAAACTTCACGATTGCTAGTAGAATGAACCGTTTAGGGTCTTATGTTTGGATTATAATTCCCTTTAACATATTATATCCACCTCTTATTCGCTTCCTCTTATTAGTTGTAGTTGTCAAAACGACAAAATAAAAAGGTTTAAGCAAAAAGGTACAAGAAAATAATCGGCAACGCGCGTTTAGTGTGATTGTTATTTCAAACATCCAATTTCAACATCCAGTACACAACTTTAACGGTGTAAAAAAAGATTTTAATCATAGAATACATAGAAGACACCACTCTTCCTAATCAGCGATATTTTCTTTTTCAATAAAGAAAAAGATGGTAAATCGGACAGCCTACATTTTTGCAACCATTGGCATATTCTTATAAATATTTTTAAATATTTTCTATTCACAGAACCCATCGTATATTATGCCCTATTATGCCTGGCATAAGGGCTATTCTTTTTAGAATATAATTGAACTTCCTTCATCCATTTTCTTTTCCTTTGTTTCTCCATAACTCTCCGCTTTATATCTCCTTTTTTGTTTTTATCGGTATCCAATTTATCATTGACCCACAATGATAGAAACAAACACTTTTATCAAGAGTTCTAGGACTTCGTGTCTATGAGAAGCGCATGAACTAGAAACTTCAAACCATTCCATATCAAGCTTAACACATTTTACAACATTATTTAGCTGCATTCAAAAGTGCCACGATCAGCAAACATTTTAATTCCGGCCAAATTGGTTATCATGTCATCATGTCCTTGCAGATTGATGTGCTACTCCGTTTCATGTTTCAAGAAGTTATTTCTAACACTATTGAACATATGTAAATAATCGTACACGAATTGAGAGACTGGCTGATCGAGCAATCTTTCATTGTCTTTGAATTTACCATTGGCTGATCTCTAACTATAGCACGGACATTTAAGCCTATTGTTTTGTAATACTTAACTGCCTGACCAATGGCTTGGGTGCAATGGTGTGTAACAATGATCTGCTAATAAGGAATTAACGATAAATAAAAGAGAGGAGGAATGAAAAGAAATTAACAGTTTGTTAGGTGAAGTTTAGCTGAAGTTTAAGGATGAGTTCAGGGCATAAGGTATAAGGGAGTTAAAATTGTGGCATACATGCTGGGAATAATTTTACCTAATAACTTGGCCGAAAAGTACGGGTAGATCTAGATGGAACGACAAAGCCAATCTGACCCATTAGGGTTTTGGAGTCAACAATTCCGAGAAGGAGCTTGTGCACGAACATTACATTCTGCGATGGTGCAACGACGGCAGGTCAATTAGATTTAGCCAAGACCGGTAGGGTGGCAAGATTCTAACCGAGTCCCAGTTAAAGTTACGAAGGGCAAAAATTCAAAATTGCTTTTGCACGGATTCAATAGCAACCTGCTGCTCTTTATACTGCGGGCTCCACCCACAAAAACAATATTCCAATATCGGACGTAACCTGTGTGTTAGAGAGAGACAGAGCGAGAGAATGAAATTGATTTCTTGATTCTGGCTTAAGCAAGAGCTATGAGCTCTGTAAGGAGGATTATTGATAGGAGTATTTTTCCTCAGCGGAAATACCATCTCTCCGGTCTACTGACCATGGCTCGGTCAACGCTGGGCACAATTCGATTTTTGGTTTGATGATCATCTCATCAAAAATGGGTGCCCAATTTCTGTGACTCTCATCCATTTTTTGTACAAGTTTCTTCAACCTTTCAATGCCTTGAGCCTCGGAGCGGCAGCGAAACTCTACTTTGTTTTACTCCATGAGCTCCCTGCTCTCGGTCGTTGGCATAAGTTGAGAAATTTCTTTCTCTAGATCATTTATTTTTCGCGTTGGACGGTTAATGTGTGTAATTGCTGAGCGAATTCTCAAAAAATGGCCTAAATTAAAAAAATTAAAATTAATTTAATAAGTAATTTAGTTTAATTTAATTGCCGACCTGGCAAAGTCCCGTGATGGCGTGAGTAACTGCAGAGCACTGTGCTCTGCTGAGTCTATACAGCTCTGCCGATTGCTTCTTCCATCGATATAGCCATACCGATCTCGAGACCTTACAGGAGATGGTTTGCTGCCACCTCCCGAGGCAGAGTCAGGGATGACAAACATTTCCTCAATTCTAAAATATCCTCTTCCCAGGGTATGCAGACAAATTGAATGTTGCCGCAACCCTTGCGAATGATTTGGGGCTCACTGTTGCCTTCCGGTTCAGAGAGAGCGAAAAAAAGAGCCATAACCGATTTTGAGAGAGCGAGAGAGCCAAGAACTCTCAATTAGAGCGAAAATAACAAAGCCTGGGTATGAAAGTTTTCCTTACCCTTTGTTCTTAAATATCCCTTTGATCAAATATACCATTATATACCGATATACCGTAAATATACCGTCGGCTCAATTTTGACCTCAAAAAATAGTTCAACTCGGGAGAAGAGGAACAAGTCGGGGCTCCAATGAGGACGGTAATGTCAGCGAATGGTATAACTTATTATGTAGTACGAGTTCTGTCATTGGACTGTCTAGTTGGCGATCAGTAGACTCGGTGAAACGTCTAATAATAGTCGAATTTAATTTCTCGTATTTATTGGCTTGACGCTGGACGTCTGCTAACATTTACATATATTCTCATATCTATAGCTTACATATGTATTCAGACCATTCAATAGTTAAGGAAATGTCTGCAACTTTAGAACCTAATTTCTTTGGTGTTAGTTTAGATACACATGCCTATAGGCCGTATGTGCAACAGCTTTCATTAGCAATCAATCAATAATCCAGCAATAAATCCATCCAGTATACAGACAGTATAAGCTATGTTGTTTTATGGCAAATCCTGTCCAGTGGTGGATACTCTAGAAACAGGCCAGGCTGTCGTCGCCCTCCGCTTCGTCAGCTGGAAAACAGAACGGAAGCCAGAAATCAATACTCACATTGTATCTGCACCTAGCCAGAGCATAGTCCCACTAATACGAAACACGAGCCCCCTAATACCCCCAAGACCCGCGTCAATCAATTGCCGTTGCGGAGTCCCTCGCGATAAGGGGGCTCCCCAGCTGTCGCCCGCTTATCACTTACACAGTATTTGCAGTCCGAACATCAGGGCGAAACCGGCCAGAGCGGCAATGTAGGCACGCCAGCCGGCATGGTTCTCGGTGAGGATCTCGCAGAAGACCACATAGAGAAGGGTACCCGAGGCGATCCCCTGCAGTATGCCCGAGGGGACGCTGGGCTGATTCGGCTCCACATTCTGACTAATGCCAATGCCCACCCCAATCCCGATGGGCGTGACAATCGAGAAGGTTATCAGATAAATTATGGCGAGGGAGCTGCGGGTGCGGGCTACCAGCAGCTCCATACCCACGCAGAAGGCCAGCACCAGCTTGTGAGCAGCCACCGCCGCGAACATGAACCATACAGTGCTGACGGTGCTCTCTAGTCCAATGGCCATGCCCTCGAAGAGCTCGTGGAGGGAAAGCGCTAAGATAATCCCCAGTCCGCGCATAGAGGAGCCAGCGCTGTCCTTGCCGGCCACCACAGGCATGTGCGAGTGGCCAATGTGATCCTTGGGCTGCTCTTCCTGTAGGGTCTTTGGCTCCTCTGGCGTGGCATTCGTCTCGACTCCTTTGCAAACCAGAATACTGTGGCGAATGCTGTGTCCCCGCTCGAAGGCACAACTAGCCACCGACTCCTTCCGGCTGAGCTTCTTCTGGTGTCGATGCACGAAGGCGTTCATCAGCTCATCCAGGGCGTACATCAGAAAGAAGCCCGTGCAAAGCAGCATTTCCGGCAGAGCGAATGGAGTGTTGGCGAGAACTCCGCAGGATTGCAGTTTCTCCACCACCTCAATCACCTCCGGCAGCATGTGCAGGAATGTGGTGCAGATCAGAACGCCCCCGCCGAAGAAGAGCAGGCACCGCACCGCCGTTGATGAGCGGGTTTCCTCGGGGCTCTTCTTGGTCCACTCGAGGCAGCGATCCAGCATGTAGGGCAGGCTGCCGCAGATCACGGTAATCACAATGAGAACCACCATAGCCACTACCTTGGCTACCATCAATCCGTGTCGGTCAACGAGCGGCGAGGCCGTTCTGCCCATGGCGATACCAGACTCTTCCATCGACGCCAAACCGTTCATGTTTCCGTAGCGAAATGCGAGCATAGACTGAGTGAAAACCGGGGCCCAAGCCCAACCACTTATACTCTATTCTCCCTATCGTACTGTCATAAATCAGTAGCACTGATGGAAATCTGATTGCTGATTGATATGAAGAGTCAGACCCCCCAGACCCGCTTCAGACCAAAAATGGTAATATTTATCTTGTAGACAGGTGACTTTACCTTCTTAGCCCGCGATCCCTTTGATGTTTGCATAAAAAACAGTTGCATAAAATATGGGAATCTCGGATCTATTGGCTGTTTTGGCTTATCTTCGATATGATTGATAGATTCTCAGTTTCGTTTGTCATAAATTATTCTAAATATATAACAGATAACTAGCGGTGTGGAGTATCTTAGCTTCGATTCATCAATAAGTCTAAAATTGATCAGCCAGGAGAGGCAATCTGAAGCCCCGACAGCCGCTAAGGGCATACGAAGTGGCTCTTGCCCTTGGCTTCACCGACTGCAAGAAGGAGATTTGTCATTGATTAGAGATTGTGTTGTATACTTAACTGACTCACTTGCTATCTGGAGGCCAAACATCAGGATGAATCCCACCAACGAGGAGACGAAGACCCGCCAGCCGGCATGGTTCTTGGCCACAATCTCGAAGAAGATCACATAGATCAGCGTGCCGCAGGCGAGGCTCTGAAGGATGCCCGATGCCGTGCTCGGCTCGTTCGCACTGGATGTCTCGCTGACTGCAATCCCTATGCCCAATCCAATCGGCGTGACAATTGAGAAGACCAGCAAGTAAATGACAGCGATCAGCCACCGGGTGTGGGCCATCATGATCTCCATGCCAATGCAGAAGGCCAGCACAAGCTTGTGGACGGCAATGGCACCGCACATGAACCAGACCGTGTCCACGCTCATCTCCAGGCCAATGGCCATGCCGCCGAACAGCTCGTGTAGAGACAGAGCCACGATGATGCCCAGTCCACGCAGCCAGTTCGGCTCCTCTGGCTCCTGCTGTTCGACTACTAATTCCGCTTGAGGCTCCTGCTTCTGACCCTCCTCCTGGACTTCTACAACCACCTTCACAGCCGGCCGCTTTCTCAGCTGCCTCCGCCGCACCACAAAGTGCATGGTTTCCTCGATGAAGTACATCAAGTAGAAGCCCGTACAGAGGAGCACCTCCGGCAGGCCGAATGGTGTGGGCACCAGCATCCTGCACTGCTGCAGAGCATTTACCAACTCAACGACCTCCGGCAGCATGTGTATGAAGGTAGTGGCTATAAGAACACCACCGCCAAAGTTGAGCAGGCAGAGCACAACCATAAATTCGCGGGCATTTCCCTTGGCACGCTTCGTCCACTTGTAGAAGCGATCCAGGAGATAGGGCAGGAAGCAGAAGATTAGGGTAACCACCAGGAGAACCACAATGGCCACAATCTTGGCCACCATCAGCTGCTGGTCGGCCATATCGAGCGAGGTGAACTGAACTAACTAGCGAAGTGACCATTCAGGCACTTTTTATAGTCGGGGGTTGGCCTACTTGATATCTAGATAGAGATATCAGCAAATTGCCAAATACTCGAATTAAGTTCTTAGGGCTCCGACTTGGGGTGGATATCGGGTGGAAAGAGCTTGCGAAAATTGAAATTATTGGGCTTTGTGGCAAGTAATTCTGAAGATGGATGAGCATTTTGTCGGGGGTTTGCGATCTGAACTTTATAAAATGATATCTTCATTTTGCCAGGTGAAAATCTATGTACATAGGTAAGTTCCATTACCCGTATGAACTTTCTACCGCTTGGTAGAGCTTGTTGGGCGTGTTTCTGGCGGGGCCTTGAGGTATCAAAGGTAGTTGCCGAACTGAAAATTCAGCTCGTGCTAATTGTATTTTGTTTTTTGTAGACAGGCAAAGCTGTTGGGTGTGTCTGGGAATCCAAATGCTATCGTGAGGAGAGGGCTTCAGTTCTCCCTGATAACTTCAGAAATTATTTTCAGCTCTTTCTTTGTTGCCAAAGGCCCACATGACACTACTTGTGGTTTTTTTTTTTAGTGCTCAGTGTGGACATACGAGTATGTTCCTAGGAGCAATGTGGGGGTTATTAAAAGTGTTGGTGGGTGTATGTAATATCATCCAATGTTTTATTAATTACATTAATCCATAATGGTTTTACTGTAAAAATTATCATTGGCATTTATTCAACAATATTATCGCATTTAAATTTAAAGTAATTACTATGACTTGAGTGTTTTCTGTTTTATTTGATTCTCCTTTAAGTACACAAATGAATTTAGAAGACAAATGATGTGACGGATGATATGCATATGTTTGTGGATGGATATTTTGATATATCGACGTATATCAGAGTTTATCAAAGTTGTTCGCAAACTGTCCCAAAAGATATTGGAAAGTATCCAAAGCATCGTCTTTACTTGGGGCAACTTGTGGCAGAGTCCCAGTCCCAGTCTCAGTCCAGTCGTGGCCCAGGCACTGTCGTTTGTATCGGCGTCTAATTTAGACGATCGGATGATAGATCAATAAACATATACATCCGTGTGTGTGTGTGATTGTAAGAGTGTGGTGGTGGTGGTAGTGGTGGTGGTGGTAATATTCGATGTTCATTCCAGGTTTGATTCGCTCTCGTCCCGAAGCCCCTCCTTGATATCAGATCGTAGAACGTGTTTCAGTACTTGCTCCCGATGTCCCCCAGTGCTCTCTTAGCCAAACCGCTCAAGACTGCTTGGGGTGCTGAACGGGTGGCGGCGGTGCTGGCTTAAAGCACTGCAGCAGGAAGGCCGTGTAGATGACAAAGGCCAGCGCCAGGGCGATCAGGGCATACATAAAGATGTTCAGCTCAGGCTGGCGGAAGCGGTTCTTGCGCAGCCACTCCAGCACCTCATCCTCGGATAGTAGGTCACCTGAAAGATGGCAGGCTCTCAGTGAGGGTTCCCAGATCTCTCCTAGAACCACTGACTCACCTCTGTATATGCTGGGGAAGCGGCGACGGAAGTATACCATTGCTGGCAGCTTTGTGACGCCCCATTTCTTGGCATAGCGTGAATCGGCCATTTTCACAAACGTAATATCCAGATTATCCGTCTCGCTGTCGATATTCTCCAGCTTCTCCAGCGAGGCGATGCTGTCCGGATGATTGTGCTCATCTAAGTAGAGGGGGTTTTTGGGGCAAGTTAGGGGAGAATGTATTGAGAGCAGAGCTGTCTGTTTGCACTTACAGAAGAACACCGACAGGAATTCATTCTCTTCAAGCAGCTTGTCCAGCATTTTTCGGTTGACTTCTTCTATTTCGTTCTTGATTTCGAACACATCTTGTGAGGTAAGCCATGTGATGACCTTGTCATGTTGATGCATATCTCCGTCATACAGGACGGGTACTTGTTTCCTACAATGGATGCATTTGAAGCCAATCTACTGTCGTGGTTCCTGTGATTTCTTACCGGTAATACACCAGAGAAGGTATATTGACAATTTCGTATTTCTTCGCTGCGTCTATGCTGGCTATCTTCACAAAGTCAATGCCAAACATGTCGGCCTCTCCATCGATCTCCTCCAGGTCCTCCAATATTTCCTCGCACTCAGCGCAATCATCATCATCTGACAGGATAGAAGACTTTAGATACGGGCCAGAATGAATTACTCCAGAATGAACTTACAAAAGAAAACCACCAAGAGGGTGGACTCAGCCATCAGGCGGTCCAGCATGCGCTCGTTGACCTCCTCGATTTCGTCGGCCAACTCGCGATTGTCGTCATCAATCAGCCACTCCAAGACCGATTGCTCATTCTGGAGGTCGCCCTCGAACAGCAGAGGATTGCCATTGCTTTTAATACAAAAAATGTTGGTTTATTTACGCCAAGAGTTAAATACTCCTGCTCACCGGAAATATACCAAGGCGGGGAAGGTTTTGATGGAATAGCGTTTGGCTAACTGCGGATCTTGGATCTTGACCATGTGTATGCCGAAGACATCGCATTCGTCGTCGATTAGCTCCAACCCCTCCAATATCTGGTCGCAGATGTTGCAGTTGATTTTGTCTACCGAAAAGAAAGCATTTATTTAGACATCTGCTTAAGATGAGTGTGCAACGTTCAACTGGTTAGTGACAAGCGAAAGAAGGGTTAGCGGTGTGTGAGGAGAGGCCGAAGAAAACGCCGTAAAAATAAGGTATTCGCGTCCAAACTAAATTCCAGCAAATTCCAACAGATTCGCAACGTCTGATCGTAAGTCATTTCTAGTGGACATTTAATCTTGAAAAGAGATACAAATTTAGTTTGGTCGTAATACGTTGGAAGCCTGGTTTTAGTATAGTAAAGAATAGTACAGTTCTTGGATAGAACATGGAACAGAGCTCCTGTTGATGGTTAGGCACGGTTAGAGCTCAATCGAACATGCGTTCGACTTCGAGTTGCGAGTTGCGTGATTTGTATTTTTACACATGGAATACGGGAATACCTTGTTTTTGGATACGTTTTCTTTTACGTGAAATGTAGCTTTGTACGAATTGGCTGGATGAGTGTTTTGTAGTGGTAGTGGTGGTCAGGTTGCTTTCTTTAAGACTAGAGGGTGAACAGAAACTGCGACAGAAGGCGGGTTGCTTCCCCTTGCGCTCTGGCGGCACTGAGTGCGATTCACGTTTCGGTTTTCGGTTGTGGTTTCGGTTTCGGGTTTTTGTCAAGGATAGATACATATTTGTGGATATGTTTTGTGGATTGTGTGCGATGTTTTGTTTGAGGACAGGGGGGAATATAACAATTCAGAGTGTGTGAGAATATGAGACAGTGTTTGAAAAACAGTTGATATGTATGTATATGATCAAATCGATATGTTTCGTTGTGGTGTTACTTACAGAAGTACACAGCGAGATATTGGGTCTCCTCCACCATGGTCTCGAGCATTTGCCGTGTAATGAGCTCGATGCGATCCTCGGTCTTCTGTGTGATCAGCCACTGCAGCACCTCCTCCTCCTCGCTGAGCTCACCTACGAAAGACACCGTTTAGTATCGTTCAGATACTCATCTATATAGGTAGTACCCTCAAACACATTGGGTATGCCTCCCTCGAAGTAGACCAATGCCGGATACTCGTGGACGCCGTAGCCATCGGCCACAGAAAAGTCTCTGGTTTTCACAAACGTTATGCCGTGCTTGTCGCAGTCGTCGTCGATGTTCTCCAGCTCCTCCAGGACCTTGGTGCATTGCTCGCAGCCATCGGCATCTGGATGTCGCAGTCGGGTTTCAAATAAACACATTACATTACTCAACAAGGACTGCACACGAGGTCGGGGCTAGGACAACATACTATGGGCAAGCACTACACATAAACTAAGGCACAGCAAAAGTTGACGGGGAGCGTGAGAAGATGTTGGGAGAACTTGTCTTCTTTGAGAGTTTTACGAGTATATATAGTACAGTACACAATACAAAGCGGAGAAACAGCACAGCTAAAGACGAAAGATATAGGGTTTCGGGTATGACAGATAGAGAGGGGACGAGAGAGAGAGAGATATAGTTCTGGCAAAGGCAATAAAAACAGTAAGATAAGTAACGCCCATACATTTCAATTCTTCTATGTAGCGGGGTTTTTGAAGCCACGAATGCATGAGTGTACGTGTGCCTGCATATGCATACAGCCAAGTCTCAAGTACAAGACGGCGGCTCTCTCAAGTCGCATACGAGAGAGCGGCTAGCTTTTGAGCGCTCTCTTATAGCTTTTCGAAAGCAGTTTAAGAGACGAGACCCTGGAGCCACTTTCAAAATTTCGTTCCGAAAAATTGTATGGGCGTTACTTATTTTACTGTTGTACTGTCTTTGGTTCTGGGTAGAGCTACATTCGCAGTACAAAGTGGAGGAGGTGGTGCGTGTGGTGTGGTGCGGATGGGTTGCGGTTTCTGTAGGTTTCTGGAGGTTTCTGGAGGTTTCTGGAGGTTTCTGGGTGGTGGTGGTGGTTATGTGGTTAAACATTCTTGGACTCATTCCAGTTGCACGATCTATACAGAAAGGTGCGCTACCATCTTCATGCTTGCCAGCTGATGAATCCGTTGATGCAGCCGCCGCTGCCGACCCATCTGCCCCACCAGCAGCCGCCTCGCCAGCATCTGTTTCGCCGCCGAAGGCGGCAGCAGCACTGGCAGCTCCACCCTCCTGCTGATGCTGTTCGCGTTCCTTTTTCAGTCGGGCCTTGCGGGCCGCTTTCGATGTGCAAATGTCGCATTTTGTTTTGTTCCCTAAATTCATTTCGGTATTTGGTTGGTTGTTGGTTGGTTTTGAGCAATTTTTGTGTGGTTTTGGTTTGATTTTTCAGAGAGATCATATTCGTAAATAGAAATATAAATAAAGTCTTGATTGGTTAGATACACAGAGCGCGATAAGTGGCTTAAACTAGGTTGAAGACTAAAATGTTAACTACAATTACACAGAGCTCGCTGCAAACTTTTTGCGCAAAAGCGTGATTCTCAATCCCTCAAAGTACGCACTACACACACTGCACGAAATGTGACAAAATATAAGTTATTTCTGTTGGCGATCGACATAAACATTGAAGATGTGCATCTAGACAATATTTAAAATGAATTTCGAATTTGACATTGTACTTTGTGAGAATTGATCATCACCAAACCGAATGCAGCATTGAGTACCTTACGCTTCATGGTATAAGAATAGTCGCCATATCTGGGAGAGACTTTGGTGCCGTGGATGAAAACTTACAGAAGTAGACAGCTATGGAGCCCGACTCTTCGATCAAATGAACGAGTCGTTCGCCTTCGAGATCTTCAATCACATCTCCACTTGGATCCTTTTGCGTGATCAACCAAGTGAGGATTTGCTCTTCTTCATAAAGATCCCCTATGAAGTGCCGAGAAGACAGCGTCATTTAAATGATCCTCACGGATTGCTTTAGCGATTAACCTACCGGCGTATATGACTGGCTCCTTCGATGTGGGCTTGAAAAAGACGATGGCCGGCAGGGCAAAGACTCCGAACTCCTTGGCCATTTGCTTGTCGTCGATCTTCACAAAGTCAATGCCCGCCTTGTCCGCTTCATCGTCAATGTGCTCCACCTCGACGAGCACGCGAGGACACTGCTTGCATTCGTCGCTATCTAAAGTTCAGTCACGGATAAAGCTCTATAGCTCCTGCTCTCCGGCATGATCAGTACTTACAGAAGATCACGGCCACGTAGTCCGAGTTCTTGCGAATCTTCTCAAACATCTTGCGGTTGACCTGCTCGATGTGATCGGTCATCTCCATGTTGGCCGGACTGGTCAGCCAGTCGAGAACCTCCTCCTCGTCGTCGATGTCGCCGTCGTAGTTGATGTACTTGCCCTTGCGGAAGTAGGTCAGACCGGGAGGGTTCCTGAATCCGTACTTCTTGGCCATCAGCTTGTCGTGCATTTTCACTACATAAATGCCATACTCGGCGGCCTCGTCGTCGATTAGTTCGATGTGCCGCAGCACGCGAGGCGAGTCGGGATCATCTTCTTTGTCTGCAATCACCATTCAGATTAATAGTGTATCGCCGGATAATAGTACGGAGTTGTTCAGAATGGTTTAAGTGTTTATCTTATTGGTAGCTTGATTTTGCTTGTGTTGTTTTTGGGCAGTTACAGTTTTTAGTGGGCGCGCTTAGATAGTATATGCTTCCTACATATAGATTCCTTAGACTTAGCCTTAGCCTTTACCTTATAGCCTTTGGCTGGAAAGTATACTTACAAAATACAACCGCTAAAAAGTCTTTGGTGCCTATATATTCGAGGAGTTGATCACGATTAATAAGCTCTATGCTTTGGTCGGCCTTCTGCTCGAGAATCCAGTTGAAGACCTCTTGGTTGCTCTCCAGATTGCCTGTTTGTACAACATGGAGAAGCAATGGATGTAATTGGTATTTGTTCAAGCAGACACTTGTAGATATATCATCAGCCACTTCATGGCACATACCTGTTGGCTGCAGTTTGTCAATCAATCATGAGTTTTTCTTGAATTCTATATATACAAAATTAATGGTTTCTTTGTCCTTCTTAGCCCCACCGATCGAGCTTGCCAGCTTGACCCCCACCACCCACTATTCCATAATTTATGGCAAGCATGGTGTCTTTTTATATGGACAAGAAATTGGTAACAAATATACATTTTCATTGTTCATAGGCATACGTATTCCCTTCCCACGTTTTAAAATAATTTTTAATTGCCTTTCGGACTGTTTGAAAGTATTTAAATCACAGATAATTCTTTTTGTTCTTTTGCTTTGACAAAAACAACCAAAAATTTTGTGGAATTGGATTTTGATTTGGATTTGCTTAAATAAGAGAACCTAAATTCATTTGATTTCGATGGCTTTTTATTGTGAATTTTTACAATTGATTTGTGGAGCTTAGTTTTACAAAAATGTGCTTGCGGTTCTTACAATTTTCGATTTTCAATTTTCAGGCATTGAAAACCCGTTTGACAAAAATACATTTGCTTGATCTTGACTTTAAGGCTGCTGTTCAACGTAAAAAATAGCGGTTTACACATGTAGGATTTAGTGACAGAGTGATAGAGTTTAGCTAACATAAGTGATATAAAGATATAATATTCGGTATTTCGCCAATACCGATAACAAATATAACAGCGAGCGGTGTGGTATCGCATCGCTCTCAGAAGGAAACAAACGAAACAAAATGGCTGGCTACATTGCATGCGAGGCAAGGCAAGGCAAGAAGTCTTTGACTTTGTAACAGCTCAAAGGTTACAGAAAAATTAAGTATACGGTCTGCTCGTATCTGGCTATTGTGTCTCGCACATAAATATCAAGCTACAAAATGTGTATATGTCGTAAATGGCTCTTTTATCAGATATGTATGTATGTGTGTTGTATGTTGTGTTGTGTATATAGAATAACGTGTGGTGGGCTCTCATCTGTACATGTTTTAGTTAAAATAGTTAACAGTTTTTGCCATTGCAAATTGTAAATTGCTTCAAAAAATATTTCTTTTGTTCCGTTTTGTTTGTTTTGTTTCATTTCGCTTCGTTTGGTTTGGCTTTGATTTGTTCTTCTTTTGGCTTCTTTAAATTAGACTAGCTACATAAATATGTTTGTATGTATGTAAATTGTATATTGTGACAAAAAGTAGTAGTATCAAAAAGTGTACGCGCTCTTGTTATTGACAATTGCTGATTGGTTTGTTAATAACAAAGCTGTCTGGCTAAATAGTAACAAGTGAAAGTTCTCAGAAGTTTGATAGTTTTTTTGTTGCACTAATTGCTTTTAGTTTGAACATCGACAAAATGCAACAAATGTTGGGGTTTAGTTCAGCTTAGAGCTACAGAACTGGGGGCGGGCCCCCTCCGAAGATAGTTGTAGCGAAAATATCAAAAACATAGTTAATGTTAGTTATGTGTACGTTTTATGTTTTTGTGTGTGTTTGTTCATTAGTTTTTTGTTTGTTTTGAGTTGCGTGTGATTCTGCTTTCGAAAGATCTTCTCAACGTGGAACAACGAGTTGTGTCTGCGGCTCAGAAGGACAATGTGCGGACAATGATCGGATCTGCTCGGACACCGAGGATGATATTATAGTAGCATTATGTTTATATACACACAGCCATGCGTATTCACAGGTTATTCAGTTACTGTCGTCAGTCGGCAGTCACACATTGGTGCATATAGCATTTATTCAGAAACCTGTCATTGAAGGTTCTTTTGACGGCTGTACAGGCTTGGGTTTGATGGTTTTGTTTTGGTTTTGGTTTGGTTTCGGTAGTGTTTTTTTGGTATCGGTGGAGAACAGTGCGAATACGTGCTACTGAGTATTGGGTATGGCATATCATTCAATCATACAATCACTATTCAACTGATTTAGCAACTGGCTTTATACTCAGTTAAACTGTCTTACTCCCACAGAGAGATATCCTGAAAAATGAGGTCATACAAATTTTTTAGTCGATTTTGGAAAAAATTAACGCCTGCAAGACACAAAAGAGAGAGAAAAGAGAAGAGAAATAAACATATAAAGTAACGACCAAATTGTGCGTGTCTGTACGTGTCTATGTATGGGCACAACAACAACAACTACTACTCGAATGAGATTGGTACAGGACAATGAGAGTGGTGCAGCCAGAGGGCTCTAGAATGGTCTGTGTCTTGGCGGTTGTGGCGGGGGTGGCGGGTGTGGATGGCACTAGTACAATCTACAATGACTACGAGGGATAGTCCGATAGTCCGTGGACTACGTACCGGTTTTAACATTCAGCTTGCCGGACTTCTTTGACGACTTCTGCTTGGACGGCTTCTCCACCTCCTGGGACTCGTCGTCGTTGTCGTTCTGCTGGACCTTGGCGACGGGCTTTTTGCCAGCCTGCGGCTTGTTGCTGCCGCCTCCCGCCCGCTTGTTGGCATACGACACCTTGACCAGGGGCTTGCCATCATCGTCGTCGTCGTCGTCGTCATCGTCATCCTCGTCATCATTGTCCTGGGTGCGCTTTGGCTGCTTCTTGGAAGGCACTGGCTTGCTAGCAGGCTCTGGCCTCCTGGCTGCTGGCTTGGTGGCCGCCGATGCGGCGAACTGGAAGTTGCCGCCGCCGACGCCGCCCGCCCGCTTGCCCTGATCGCCGTCGCTGTGTCCGATCCGCTGGGCCGTCATTTTAGGAACTTTCGTTGACTTCTCCAATTTGGTTGGACAGCATTGGAATGGTTTGTAATCGTTGGGCACGAAATTGTTGCCGCGTTTAGCTGAATGGCCGTCGTGGCCCAATCCAACATAGAAACATTCGTCATCTGTGTGGGCAAACAAACAAAAACATTTTGTCAGATTGTTTAGTTTTAAGAGATTTTTGTTGTTGCTTTATTTTTGTAAAATTTATTTTTAAATTATTTTTTGGTTCACTAACAACAGAAGGTTCATTGCGATAAATCATCATCAAAAAACAGAACGTTAAAACAAGAGTGCATCAGAGTAGGCGGAAATAAGAATAAAAGTCGTCGTTAACTTGCTTTCAAAATTGTTTCTTTTCTCCAAACACCTCCGGAAATACCACACAGACAGAGAGTGAGTGAGAGAGAGAGAGACAGAGAAAGAGAGCAGTTAGTACGATTTCGATTCGATTTTCATTGTTTTGAAACTTGAAAATTCACAATTCAAGCTTGAAAGTTGAAAGTTGAAAATTGAAAGTTTCCTTGTTCTAGAGTATAAGAAGCGTGCTTTATGAATGGAACAGAATTGAATTTGAATTTGAATTGTTTAAACTTAATTTTCGGTTTTCGTATTATTTAGATTATACAATAGATATCACAACTAATAACTGACAAAATGCTTTTGATGCTGACTGTACAGGTATCGGATTTTCAGATATTCAGATATTTAGATATTCAGCAGATATCGGTTCTAATTCATATTTTCATTTTCTATATCGAGTTTTTTTCCCGGGGCTGTACATTTTGGACTTATTTATGCACATATGTACATATGTACATATATTTTAGGAGCATCCACTGTATTTTTCACTTGATTGATTGATTTTTGGTTGTTTTTGTTTCATATAGACATTTTTGTAGGTCAAAGCGGGTTCGAGATTAATCATTATAATTAAACAAACAGAACGATTACTTAAAGTATTAAGAGAAAATAAATAAACCAAACAAAATAGTTATTAACAGATTTTTCGTCTCGTTTAACGAACAAATTGACTTTTCCAAATTACAAAAAGACGATAGTAAGTTCCATTGTTGAAATAATTTCAAACATTGTGTCAGCTATGATATTGAATTTGTTTTATTTATTTTTTTTTCAATTATTCTTCAATTTTTGTTGATGTACCAAAGACTTTTAGACTTAAGAACTGAGTGAGGTTGAAGCTTCGGTTAGGGTTTAACATTCAGAGGGCAAACATTGACTGGGCTCGATTATTTTTTGGCATGACTGTGTTTCCCTCACGTGAGATGGCTTTAGCACAGAAGCTACTATGCGCTAGACGGGAGTGTATGGGGAATACGTGACTGGTTACCTGGGCTGAATGCATTACTTTTTGAATTCCTTTCACCCAAGTCTGTAGATAGACAATGAAATTAGCTGTAGTCGAAAGTATCTAGAAGAGTTTCTGCGTGTGTCTGTGTGTGGGTATAGGGAGTGGGGAGTGGGGGAGGACCAGAGGTTGCGAATTGAACATGGAACAACTTCGGTTAGTGCATCAGTGGCAACTCACATTCAGGTATTACCTATTTCATCTATAAGCCGACCCGAGCATAGATCAGCAAGCCGATGTATCGTTCGGCCCTTTGCCGTGTGCCTATATTTTGGCTTACTTTTCACATCTTCTTCTTCGTCTTCGTCATCGTCATCGTCATCGTCATTGTCTTTATCGTCATTGTCTTTATCGTCTTCTTCTTCGTCTTCGTCATCGTTATCTTCATTGTCTTTGTTCCCATCTTCGTCATCGTCATCATCATCCTCATTATTATTGTCGTCATCATCGTCATTTTCATTGTCCTCATCATTATCCTCATCATTATCCTCTACATCATTATCGTTGTCTTCATCATTATCGTCATCGGCGTCTTCGTCGTCATTATCTTTATCATCCTTATCTTCATCATCGTCGTTATCGTCATCGTTATCCTCATCATCATTCTCTTCTTCGTCGTCATCGTTATCTGCCTCATCCTCATCCCCATTTTCATCATTATTATCGTCATCATCATCCTCATCCTCATCCTCTTCATCTTCATCACCATTTTCATCATCATCGTCATCCCCATTTTCATCCTCTTCATCTTCATCACCATTTTCGTCATCCCCATTTTCATCATCATCCTCATCGTCATCCCCGTTTTCTTTATCATCTTCATCCTCTTCGTCGTTTTCGTCATCCCCATCAGTAACTTTTCTCTTATTATCATCGTCATCGTCGTCGTCTTCGTCATCGTCACCATTTTCGTCATCGTCATTTTGTCGTTTGGGCTTTCGCAATCTCTGCTTTCGAATCGCTAGCTGGAGACGCCTCAATCTCTCCCGCTTATCCTCATCGCTCTCTTTGGGATAGCTCAATTTAACAATCTTTTCATCACTTCCATCGTCTTCATCGTTGCCTATATCGAAAAGTTTCATTACGTTTTGCACTTTGACATGGCAATAAACGGGAAGATGATCTTTGGGTATGTCCATCTTTTAAGTATGCTAGTTTTTTGGGACTCATGGACCTACATATGTACATATGTAGTTCAATTGATTCGGTACTGAATGTTTGGCTTATGAGCGTGAGTTAGAAAGCAGAGAACACATTTGGAACAAGAACGCTTACTCTTTTGATTGATTAACCACTGCAGCACTCGATTTTCATTTTTGAGATTACCTAAAATTGAGTAAAAGTCAGATGCAAAATCCTTTAGTTGTTACAGAATTATATATATTGCAAGGTGTCTATTTACCATCATACATGATCGGGACTCCAGTCTCGTAGTAGACCAAAGCTGGGAATGCGAAAATGCCAATCTCATGGGCCAGCTTAACATCGTTTGATTTGACAAACTGAATGCCATGCTTATCGGTGTCGTCGTCGATATTCTCAAGCTCATCCAAGATATCCGAGCACGATTCGCACTCGTCATCATCTGGGGAAGAATAAAATACCCAATAGTTAAATATTCCTTGGCAAAACTCCATTCAATTTAGTGTCTTACAGAAGAACACAGCCAGATGCTCAACATCGTTGATCAGGACCTGCAGGGTCTTACGATCGACAGACTCAATGACATCAGCAGTAGACTCATGCAAATCGATAACCCATTCCAGAATTTCCTCTTCCTTCATCAGATCACCTGAACAAATAGATCAATAGATCGTTAAAATAATTTTTTGGGAGAATCATTTGGTTAATTTACCGGTGTAAATTGTTCTAAACTTATGTCTATAAAATGCAAGTGCCGGCAGACCGGGCAAATCGTATTCCTTATCAATATCGTCGTCGGATGTCTTGACAAAGTCGATGTCTTTTTCCTCGCACTCGTCATCGATGTTCTCCAATTCGTTGAGGATCTTCTGAGCCTTCTTATCTCCTTCGACATCTGTGGAAAAAGGGAAACGATAACTTGTTAGTCCAACAGTTTCTTAGAAGGATTTGATGCAAAGTAATTCTTACAGAAGAACACGACGACGTGGTCGTTTTCAGCCAAAATCTTATCCAGCATTTTCACATTGACCTCCTCGATCTTCCCGGGAATCTCGAGGGTCTCATCGTCGGTGATCCAGGCCAACACTTCGTCCTCATCATCAAGATCTCCTGTGAAGTGCAGCGGATCACGGTTTCTGAAGAATACCAAACGTGGATAAGTCTTGACATTGTATTTCTTGGCGACTCCGGTATCCTCAGTGGTAACGAAAATGATTCCAGCCTCGTCCAACTCATCGTCTATGGTCTCCAGGGCGTTCAGGGTGTGGTCGCAGGTCTCGCCCGGTTCGCAGGGACCCGTGAAGAAGACAACGACATATTCGTGCTCGTTGATCAGGTTGACGAGGATCTCATCGGTGACCTCCTCAATGGTGGCAGTCTTCTTCTGGACCAGCAGCCACTCCAGTACCTCATCCTCATTCATCAGATCGCCTTCGTAGAGGGCTGGGATTTTGTTCTCGAAGTAGATGAGGGCGGGCAAATGGTCGAGACCGTATTCCTTGGCTTCGGCGGCATTATCGATGCGCACAATGACAATTCCCTCTTTCTCTAGCTCATCGTCAATGTTCTCCAGCTCGTTGAGAATGCGCATGTCCTGCTTATCGTCCTTGTCATCTGTAGAAAGAGAAAGAAAAGAGATTTATTATCGATAAGGATAGGGATAGGGATGAATGATTTGTGGATAACTTACAGAAGATAACCGCCAGATGCTCGGTATTCTCGACCAGTTTGTCCTTCATTTCATCGGTGACTTCCGGAATCTCGGAATAGCGCTTCTGGTGGACCAACCAGCCAAGAAGCTCATCTTCTTTCATCAGATCACCCTCGTAGATGTGTGGAATGCCGCGCTCAAAGAGTACAATCGAGGGAATCTCATCGATACCCCATTCTTTGGCCTCCTTGTCATCATCGATCTTGACAAAGGCAATATCATTCTGATCGCACTCATCGTCGATGTTTTCCAATTCTGCGAGGATTTTCTGTGATTTCTTTTGGTCTTTGTCGTCTGCGAAGATGATTACAGAAAGGGTTAATCGAGTGCTCTTGGATATAGTTTTGTTAGCTATCGAAGGAATAATCTATAAGGTGAAACTAACTGGAGCCTAGCTCAACTTGCAACTTGAAAAAGTACAAACTACTCGTAAATTTCTTTAGGGTTCTATGGAATCAAATACATATACCATTTCTGGGGCTTAGATTAAGTTGATTAGTTTTTGAAGCGCGCTTTTGAAAATGATTACTTGGAAGCACATCGAGCAGTCGGCCGATTGTTACAACTACATCAGACACATCCCAGAGATACAACACAAAGTCTGTCGGATATACAATATCTACAGAGACGGGCGTGCCCAGGAATCCCGGCAGGTATCCCGGCACAAGGTTGTGGATAGGGCAGGGGATGGGCCTGAAATCACTTACAGAAGAGCACAGCAACATGGGGCATTTTCTCAATGATCAAGTCCAACATTTCGTCGGTAATGTCCTCGATTTGATCGGAACTTGTTTGGTCTGTAAGCCACTTGAGGAGCTTCTCCTCGTCCTCCAGGTTGCCTTCGTAAATAGTTGGAATGCCTTTTTCAAAGTATATCAGCTTAGGAACTTTATTGATGCCATATTCAACGGCCTCCTCGGGATTGTCGATCTTCACGAAGGTAATGCCCAGGGCATCGCACTCGTCGTCAATGTTCTCGAGCTCTTCGAGCACCTTCTGGGACTTCTTGTCGTTGTTGTCGTCTGGAAAACAGCGTGTGAGCAAAATGTGTGGTGGGGTGGAGGTAGCGCCGCTTGGGCTCTATATGGATAATTGTGTGAATATTTACAGAACAGCACCGCAATGACGCGTCCTTCTTTGATCATTGTGTCGAGCATTTCGTCGGTGACATCCTCGATCTCATCGCGTTCCAACTGGCTCAACAGCCACTTCAGTATTTGTTCCTCATCCATGAGATCGCCGTCGTAAACGTTTGGAATTTCTTTTTCAAAGTAAACAATAGCCGGAATCTGACGATCGAATAGGTTTTTTTTATGAAACACATTTGCACCGATATCAACTGCAGTTTTGCTTCGTACCGAATCGATTCCGTAATCGGCTGCCGCCTTGGCATCGTCGATTTTCACAAACTGAATGCCATGCTTGTCGCAGTCGTCGTCAATCTGTTCTAGCTCTTCCAACACGGTCATCGAGTCGTCATTGCCGTGATCATCTGGAGGATTGATAGCACTCGGTTATCCATGCCATGCTCGATGGATGGGAAAATAATCAATGTGATCTACATACAGAACAGCACCACCAAGTTATCAATGTTGCTGATCAGCGTCGACAGCGTCTTGGATGTGACGTCTTCTATCACGTCGTCCTCGTCGCCCGTCGACTTATTCTGCACCAACCACTCCAAGACATCCTCCTCACGCTGGAGTTCACCTGCAGGCGGCCAGACACAGTTGCGATGTTAACGACATAACGAATATCGATACGTGCATGGGTTTATGTTTGTGTTCAAGATAAATGTGTGGGTGTGTGTGAGGAATGGAGGTCTAGGACTACGTGGTACCTTCGTAAATGATCGGAGTCTGGTGGCGGTAGTAGACCAGTGCAGGCAGACCGCCCAAGTTGTATTCATCGGCCAAGGCCTCGTCGTGTATTTTCACAAATCCGATGCCCAGCTGGTCAGCTTCGTCGTCGATATTCTCCAGCTCCTGCAGGGCCTTGGCGCACTTGCGGCACTGCTGCTTATCTACGTCGGTTGTTGGTTGTTTGGTTGATTGTTCGGTTGGTTGGTTGGAATGTTGGTTGGCATAAAATTTGTCAAACAAGAGATCATTAGGATCGGCTGGCTACGGGCTTAGAGTCTCGGACAGGGTGTGGGAGAACAACGAATAACGAACAACTGGGCCTGGGGTGCAAGTGCATTCGCATGGATTTCTGGCTTTCGAGCTTCGAGTGGTTGGAAACATTCGCTGATTATGCGGCTGTAAGTTTTAAAACTTTCCTTACGGTTACAGTAGAGAGGTATCACATGCAAGGGAGCTATGGGAGCTAGTGGAAGCCATTTGGATCGTGCGGATATGTTACCCAATCCCAAACCTGCCCACACGATTCGTTTATTTACACATTTTGTTTACACAGCCTCCCTCCCCTTCTCTGTCTGTGTGCAACCTGTTGCAAGATGCTTGTCTTGGTAACGGAAATCACCTCAAAGGAGGGAAAATAAAATCAAAAGAAATTCTCTAAAAGCTCTCTCTTTTGTGCCGTCTGTTCTGCCAGTTTCCCCACATCTTGTTAACGTTTCTGTTTCGGTTTATATATTCATCAATCTGTTCTCTCTGCGCCTTTAGCGAGCTTTCGCTTTGCCACCCCATGCTGCGTATACGTAATATTTATTTCTGTTGATTTTCCCGTGAACTTGCGAATCTAATGGTCTTCTAATGGCTGCCTGGCTGCCTGTCTGCCACATTCTCCATCTACTCTTCTGGCTTCAATTCTGGAACAATTGATGGCCAATAATGCAGTCTGTGCAATCAGAGAAGAAACCACAAAAAGTCCACTGTCGTTTGGGTACGTTCAAGTGGGTGTCGCCATGATGACAAGGCCAATGCACACACATTGGGCAGCGCAAATGTCTCATAATTTACTGCAAAGTGTTTGAAAAATCTCAAAAATTGTACATGTTTATGGGACTCCGACTGTGGCTATGACAGTTTTGTTTTCGGTTCTATCTGCTTTCTTGCTGGTCCTCCGCTGCTCTTCTGCCTTTGCAGAGATGGGCAAATGTTGCACTTAACTAAAAATAGTGCAAGTCAGTCGGGAGGAGACTCGCGTATGCACACTATGTACCGATATATCTGTGTACATATATATATTATGTGCCACTGCATTTGGCTGCGACAACTAAAGATCTGCTGCCCATAATCATGCCACGCCGGCTCGCGCTCGTGTGGGGCATGTTGATGTATTGCTGTATGCAAAAGCAATTAAAACTGCTGTCTGTCTGCAGCCCCCGCCCGTGTGCCCCGGCACACTGCATTGCAGAGCCGGGGGCAGTTGGTGCCACGGGGGGCGGCACAACAATGGGCCACAATTTCGTGTTCTCGTCTCACCTACATGTTGTTCGCATCAACGAGTATGCGATAAAAAAAAAAGAAAGCAAAAAATCCCTGTACGCCGTCTGCGTTTGATAAAAATACCTATAGATAGTGTAGCGGATACTACCAGATACACCCAAGCCTATACATAAATATATGTATGTGTGTATATTTGTGTGTAAAGACCCACTCTATAGTTAGTTGTTTCAGAATCAAGCAAAAATAACAGCAGCAGCCGAGAGCAAAAAAAAGAAAGAAAAAAACCATTTTCTTGGCCGACCAACTGCTTGAGTTTTCTATTTTTAACGCAAAAATTGTAGGTGGCTGTGTCGGACAGAGAGGGAACACAACAAAAAAGAAATAAATAAATAAATTCTCTATACTTTGTTGTTGGCCAAGATATAACCACGCTTGTGTGAGTGGGTCTATGCAAACACATACATATGAATGTACGTACATATGTATATGCCAAGACTCTGCGGGCCTTAAATACGCCAATAAATTTATGTTTTTCTATACCAAGATTTCCTTCTTTTGTTCCAAAAATTTTGACAAGGCCATCACAATCAGAAGATCCTTGCATTTAAACATATATACATATGGATATATACGGATATGTATACTCGTATGAAACAGCCCACGTTTATTTCCCAGAATTTACGGCGAGCACATTATTTGATTTGATTTCAATTGAAAATCATTTTTTCAATTATTTTGTTCCCGTTTGATTCTCCGTCAAATCTACCGACGTCTTGTCCGTCTTGCCCGCGTGGACTTGGGCTTCGATTGGGTGGGAGAACGGCGTAAGGGGGGTGATGGGAACGCAAACATAATCTGGCGCCGAGCCCAGACATTCATTTGCAGCGCTTCTGTTGTTGTAATGTTTATTATTATACGTATACGTAATATTCGTGTCTGCCTTGGGAGATAGCAAACGTGAAAATGTACAAAATCCGTTCTACTAGCTGAAACTACTAACACTTAGTCCCCCAATCTGAAGCGGCGGTAAGCTATGGGTTTCTTCAAGGATTTGTTGGAGAAAACTACTCATCCCCAGCATCCTTTGGCACTCCAAATGGTCCAAATGTTAGCAAGCATCGACACACATCGACATTGACAAGTTATGTTGGTTATATGCATATAGTAGTTAGGATAGAGATAGACATATACATATACATACACGAGTACTATACATATTTACATATCATGGGTTCACGGGCATTTAGGCAGTATCTTTTCTAGTGCATTTTTTGGATTACTCGAGTCGGGGTCAATTATGATGGAGGGGGAAATTTGAAAAATTTGTAAATGAATTAATTAGAGGAAACAAAGTTTCAAGGTAGAGGTAGAGTTGGCGGAAGAGGAGGAACAGACGATCTGGGGATCGTTGAGGATGCGCGAATAACTTACCCATAACCCGGGGCGGGCATGTTTCATGATCTGGACCTGCAGTCGTTCGATAAAATATATAGATAGATAAATTTCGCGTATGTAATTTTGCTCAGACAGGGAGAGAAACACCGCCGGAATATATGAATATTCATATGGAGAGATATAGAAGTTAAGTTAAGTTTGCCGCCGGTTTTCTAGGGTTAGTCACAAGTTACATACGTATATATGGAGAGAGAGATATACAGATAGAGATAGAGACATATGCGTAAGTAGTAGTAGACATACAGAATATACAGTATAGCTAGATATGTATGCGGTCTATACCTAAGTTGTATGCTTTTTAGTCACAAGAGAGCTAAACTGTTTGTGTACGCTAAAAACTGCAACTGCTTTGAAAATAGAACATCATCAAGTCAAAATTCCACCAATAGATTTGGTCAGAAATATAGATATATAGAAGTATTCATGTTTATATGTTTGCATATATGTGAATCAAGGTCAGGCAGACTTACAGAATAGGACGGCCACGAAGTCGGTGTCCTCGATGATCTTCTGCAATATCTTGGCATTGACCTCCTCGATGCGGTCGGGCAGATCCATGGCCTCCAGCGAGGTTAAAAAGTCGAGAACTCCCTCTTCGTCCATGAGATCGCCATCATAGATGATGGGCTCCTTCTCCCTGTGGGGGTTTTTTTTTCTTTGGGTTAGATCTCTGCAGCACCCAATGGGTCGGGATGGGGGTGGTGGTACCTACCTGAAGTAGGTGAGGGCGGGGAAGTTCTTGATGCCATATTGTTTTGCTAGTCGTTTGTCGTTGATTTTCACAAAGTCCACACCGAAGGAGTCGGTGTCATCGTCGATTTTTTCGAGTTCCGCTAAAACCTTATCACAGGTCACACAGCTGCGCGCATCTGAAAGCATCCAATAAGGGAATATTTCAATATATGAATAACCTGGCTGCCAGACAAGATCAGATAGAGATACCAACATCAATTGACAGGCAGCAACTGTCGCGTGTGACGCCAGAAGCAAAAGCAGAAGCAGAACCACGACGACGACCACGACCACAAGCAGAAGCAGAAACAGAACCAAATGCCCCAGAGATTATTCATGCCTATATTAGATGGAGGATGCATCATCATCATCATCATTAGTATAGGGCGGAGGTAGCGACAGTGGCAGTGGCAGAGGCAGAGGCAGAAGCAGTCTGAATGAATGAAATGAAATGACAGCAGAGCCAGAGCAATTCGTTGCTATTAATTCGGGCAACAACTGCCGACAAATATGCTAAAATTGCAAAATTAATTCATAAAATTGTGGTGCAGCGGCCGCTATTAGTGAAGCACACAAAGACAGAGCCCAATGTTGGCCAATGTCTCTTTAAGTGCTTCGGGTGGTTGCACGCCAGACCAGGCCGAAAAAATCGCATTACACAATCTGCACGGAGCTCGTACTGAATAAACAATGTTCTAATATTTGGATGTACACGCGCTATGTGGGTATCCATTGAAGGCGATCCCTCACCGCTTGAAAAGTAATCGAAAAGCACAAACTTACGGCGCCTAAATGGGCACCCAAATTTACGGAGCAGATGCAAATATTGCGTATACGCTGAAGAATTAATCGATTCGATTTGTAAGCGTTGCAGGAAGTCTGCTCGAATCGGATGGGAATCGGGTTGGGGGTCTGTTCCGAGTGCTTTCACAACGGATTGCAATAACATTAATAGCGTTTATCTGAACAAACAATAAACACAAATAGCGGATCTCTAGAATTCGTTTCGAATTTGCACCGTTCTCCGATTTGATTACCGCCGAACCGACAGCATTTAATGAGCTGCCATTGGCGTAGATGTTCCATGATCGTTTTCGTTTGTTTGCCCAAGGCATTGGGACACTGGCGTTGGGGGCTTTTGGATTTGAAATATTTTCATTGTCAACAATTATTTTTGGAATTGCCGCCAATGCTACCGAAATATATAAGCGATCTGCGAGGTATATGTATACATGTGTATAATTAGCTATCTATAGCAAGAGGTATTACACATTTTGTTTATTAACTTTGACATTGAAGAATTTAAAGTAATTATAAGTTTAGTATTGGTTTTTGCCACACATTGGCAATTTGTTTATTACATTTTTTCATTGTCTATTGGTTTGACTGTCGGACAAATTGCTCAATTGGCTATATCCAGAGAAAGCAAACAGAAAGGTAATTTCTAGCCCCTAAAATAGATCGAACCTGTGTCGAACAAGAGCACGTTCATCTAGTTCTTGGGGGAATACTGAAAAAGGACAAAAACCTGTCGCCAACTGGAAGGAAATGAGAGTTTTGCGCGGTTTTTCACGGCAGTTTTCGTGCCAAAAGTTTGCGCCAAATGCGAAAAGCTAAAGCATCAGGAAAAGTAGCAAACGCACGGGGGACAAGTATACATACATATATACATACATATATACATACATATATACATATGTACATATATATGTATGTATAAAAAAATGAAAAGCTGAAGCGAACGCAAAAACGAAGACGGCAAAGACGACGGCAATTTCTCACAGCCAAAAGCTATTTCTCTCTCATAAACAGAACGTTGAGATAGCGGACCAACGAGAATCAGATAGAAAAGGGGGAAGAAGGCACCGCAGACTTCAACTAGGAACATCGGAGGGGGGAACAAAAAATAAAAATAAAAAATTAACCAAATGAAAATCTCAGAAATTTCGTACAACGAATTTTTCACATATTTTCACTTGTATGTGAATGCTTTGAATTTTACTCGCGAAAATTTATATAATATGGCTGTTCTATTACTATTTCGAGTGGGGTCGCCTCGTATTAAAAGCTTGATGCCCGGACCGGACCGTTACTTGTTTCACATGGCACACCCACACACTCGCACGGTCACGCACACGCACAAGCACTTTCACACATATACATATACATAGATAGAAGCATAGCATAGATACATATGTACGGTGTATATCTGATCCGTATGGAAAGACTGGGAGGCAGAGATCACACTTACACCAGAAAACGGCAACGTAATCCTTGTCGGCCAAGAGCTTCTCCAACTGCTTGGCATTGACCTCCTCGATGACGGCCTCTGGCTCAAGCGGCGCGGCGGCTGGCTGCGATCCTTTCTTGTTGTTAGCGCAATTCACATATCCGGGAAAACTCAGTGCCAGCAGAGCACACACGAGCAATGTCAGAGTCTTTAATCGGGTGAAAGTCATCTTTCGATTTCCTTCAGGTACGGTTCTCAATCTTCGGTTCGGCTCTTCTTCGTTACGATTCTAAACCTTTAACTCGAACATGCGGGCGTGTGTCGATTTTGCTCTCTCCTCCTTTTATTGGTTCTATTAAATTATAAGATTCGCTCACGTCGTTTGGTTTTTTCGTTATTAAAATTTATATTCCTTTGAGCATTAAGGCACTATTTATAGTTGATAATGGTATTTCTTTCTTTCGCAATTTATTTTATGTATAACAATTTTTGGTACACTGATGCATATATATTATGTTCATATATACACAGGCAGAATATATATAGGGTATATATGAGAAAAATTAGATTATATATATATTTTTCTTGCTCTTCTATTAAATGAACGTTTTCCGCGGACTGTACTCTATTGGTTTTCAGATTTTGTTCCACTCCGTGCAGAGGTCCGCTCGCAACTGAAAGTGTTTTGGTGAAAATTCGGTGCCATTCAAGAGGCCTTGCCAAAGCTTTAGGGATCTTCTGTTTCGGCCTGGTGCAGCTTTTTCCTCCGCCTCCCCTCAAAATAGCTTTCGGAATGAGCGAGGGAGCGACAAATTGGCCGCTGCATGATCGTGTGAGAAATGTGGTGAAAATTTTCAGAGAGGCGAGAGTTTTTCCGACAATTCCCTTTTGAACTGCATTTCTTTGTTTATGCATTTCGGCTCTTATATATAAATATAGATGTGCTGTGCTCGGTGGTCTTGCGAAGTGAGGAATGAAAACAAATACGACTAATTATGCGCACAGCCAGGACCATTTGAGTAATAGAAGAAAGTAAAAGAGTAAAAGAAGGCAGCTAGTAGTTTAAATTGCTGATTTTCAATTGCCGTTACAAACTATCGATATAAGCGGTCTGCTGATTGAGGTATTTTTTAGTACATTTTTTTGTCGACTGTCCACAATTGGTAGCAATCTTAAGCAACAAATACACTGCTACAGTCGAACTTCGATATAGCGAAACCAACAAAAAGTTCGCTATAAGTTAAACCATCAACACGTACGAAATACGCTATATAAAAACTTCGTTGTAAGTTCGTAATAGAGAAGTTCGAATGTACAGATGTACATATATGTATATACACTATTCTGAATATTTTGACGCCGAAATTTAGTTGAAAGCATATTTACGGTATATCGGTATATAATGGTATGTATCATCAATTTCGTCAATCTGTTAAATTTAATTTTTAAAGTCATATTAAAGAAAATAGGGTGTATAGACTTCGATTCGCAGGTTTCTTAAATTTCCACCTGCATCATTTATACCATTGCATTCACATCCATGTCCCTCATTCACTTTCAAACATTTCCATTTTAGCGCGCTGCTCTAGAGATAGCCATTCTCTTTCAGTGTAGTTCTGATTTTCGTGGTTTTTTGTAAGCAAAGAGGAAGAATATACAAGAATTGTAAGTAAAGTAGAAAGATAGGATTGACTTCCAAGAGGAATTTACAAACAACATTATTTTCCGCGGTTGTAATCAAGTTATTCCTGTTTAAATAAAGGCGGCTTGTGCGGGTGAAGATCGGTTTTTCATCGTTATATTTACGGTACATTTTGAAAATGAGCGGGTATTTTTATGGGGTCAGATGCTAATAGCGCAACGAAGAAATGAGTCGTAATTTTGAATGGTATATAGAAAAGGGAATGGAAAACACGAAAAAACAGCCAATCAAAACTGCAAGGTTCGTACGAACCTCACCTCGGTCTGTAAAGACAAGGCATATTAGGCAAAAGGGGTGGATTTTACCTGCATGCGTTGGCTTTTCTGGGCCGTTTTGACGCTTCTCCATACCCTCTGTTTCCTACCATTATGTAGCAGATGTGTAGCAAATGTGTAGATACCGTGCAGTTCTGCTGTAAATATTGTTACCATGTAAATATTGTTACAACTACAACTAACACAACACCTTGTCGGAGACAAAAACAACCAATTTCGGCCCAAATGCAAATACAAATCGCTCTTGCAGCGGCTGCAGTGCATTCAAAATTATCAGTAAATTAGCAATAGTGGCAAAGTTTTGGTTAAACCGTCTCGCCATTGAATTGAAAGTGTCAAAGAACCAACATAAACGGAGCCCGCGCCCCGTGTATAAAAATCGATCACAGACTCTGTTCAACTTAAGGTAAAGGGGAAAATCATGAATTAAAGCCAGAATGCGGAGGTATTCCTTCCTACATGAAGTGTTCTTTGAATCGACGCGAATAGATATTGGTTCACCTTGAACCTAGCATTGCTGAAGGGGCCGAGCAGCCGCATACCAAACCCCAAACCCGACCCAGTCAAACATATAGAAGCATACGCTTGTGTGTCCTGTGTGCATGTGTATGTATAAACATTACGCCCACTCGGTCGCCGCCGCAAGACGACAACAGCTGTTCGGGCGTCTGAAAATGTTTACTAGTTTCCGCTTTCATGCTGCAAGGCTAGCGAAATATAATATTTGAATGTCTTCAATGTGAACACGGACACAGACCATAACAATTTATGGCGCAGTTGTTGTTTCAGCGCGAACCCCTTATCGCTGCAAGCGGGTGGTGGGTGGTCCTGCACTGTGGGCTGTGGCAAGGCGAAGGTGAAAGTCACCAGCTGATATCAGTTAACGGCTAATGGACGGACGGACGGGACCGAAAACCCGTTATGCATAGCAGCTGTTTGGTATCATTTCCATTTAATCGGACAGAAAAGCCGGAACCATTGCAGCTTTGTCCACTGTCCACACATTTATTCGTCGCAGCAAAAGCGATACTCAAGAGTTGGCGGCGTATCCCAGTCGTGCTCCGATTTTGTAGTGGTTGCTGTTACGCCTCATATCCGCTCTCCGCCTTTGTGCTGCTTTTGTTCATTTAATGATTGTAGGGTCTCGACTCTTGTAAATTAGACACGTTCTCGCAATTGGTGATATCAGTGCGAGCTAAGTTCCAGAAAGTTGTAATTGAACATTTCGTTGTCGTCTCTCATGTTGGATTGCAGGGTGCACGACAACTTGACGGCTTTTATGTGATTACTATGAAATTGGATGAAATTGTTGGATGGTAAGTGATTGCACAATTGTCAATCATCTTATATATATATATGTATACTCGTATATTAAAGTCGTGTTTCTGTATGCCTAGGTACCAGAAAAAAATCGGCACCTATGACAAGCAAGAATGGGAGAAAACAGTCGAGCAGCGTATTTTAGATGGCTTCAATAATGTCAACCTGAAGAACACCAAGCTCAAGACAGAACTGATTGATGTGGACCTAGTGCGAGGTGGGTTCTCCCTTTATTATTCATTATTCTATCCATACGAAATGTTAATTTGTCGCTTGGTCGATAGGTTCCACCTTTCCAAAGGCAAAGCCAAAGCAATCGCTGCTCACTGTCATTCGCTTGGCCATTTTGCGTTACCTGCTGCTCCCGCTGTATGCACAATGGTGGGTCAGGCAGACCACGCCCAATGCCTTTGGCTTCATTCTGGTGCTGTACCTCACCCAACTGATGAACTGGGCCATATACATCCTGCATAGCAATCGCATTGTGCCACTGACCAGCGACCTGCAGAGTAATGCCACTCTGTATGGCGAACCAGATACCGATAAGCAGCAGGCGGAGGAGCATGACGACATGCTCAGCGCCCTGCTCATACCCTGCGCCCTCAGTCTGATGATTAGCCTGATACACTCGCAGATCGTGGCCACCAACAACGCGGCAACTGGTGGCGGTAATGGGACCGCTAAAAACAAACTACGTCGCTTCTCCATTTCCAACTTTAACGAGAAGTCAACCGCAAGGGAACCGCGTCTGCGGCGCAGGAAGAAGTATGTGCGGTGAGTAGGGGTCTGGGCTCCAGAGATCATAAGCTCATGCATTCTCCTGCAGTATACGCCAGCCCGAACCGGATTTATCTCATCCCAGTAGCAACACGTCTCTTCCAACGCGACGCACAACAACCAGTGCCCCAGAAGTGCTCTCAAAACCGCCCACACCAATCAGCAGCGCTCCTGCACAAGAACCTGATCTGCCAGCCAACGCCACCGCCAGCCCACCTCCCGTTGACATCAAGCAAAGCAGCAAAGAGGAGACGTTTCCCAGCACAACTGTCGTTACCACGCATCGCCAAGCACAGGAGACAGTTGACAGCACTACGCGCACCGAACCTATATATGATCTGAGAAGGCACGAAGGCGGACCTGTGCCTGAAAGTCCCAAGAAGCGCAACGTCAATTGGCACACGCCCATTCAGATCTATGCCACCTACGACCAGACAGAGCAGCCCTCATCGAGCAAGGCCAGCAGAGAGGCTGACAAAGAGAGCGGCGTGGAAACACTGCAGCCCACTCACAAAACACGTCGCAGTCTGGGCGAGGATGATGGCTTTGAGAGCTTGAATGGAAAAAGTTCCAGCGGCGAGGACAATAACCACTCGCCCTTGCCCAATGCAGGAGTGCCAGCCGCAGCAGTGGTTCCTGTCCAAGCCAGTCAGTTGCGTCTGCGGCTAAATGTGGCAAATAGCAGTGCGAGCAATGTGCCAGCAGCACCCGAGAAGAAATCGCAATCTCGGGGAAACGAGTCCACCAGCAGTGGCGCTGACTCTGATAATTGCGATGATGCCGATCTAATATCGAGTCCAGCATCGGCCTGCAACCAAGAGTGCACCACATCGGCCACAGATTGGCTGGGAGTGACCACGAATAGTGAGGATTGCAGCTATACCTCAGATATGGATCATTCGGATGCTGGATTCAAGCCATGCAGCGATGAGGACCCAGCCGAGCTAGACATTACACCAACAACCATTCTGAATCCCCATAACAGCATGGATCGCAGTGAGTAGATGTCCATTTATGTCTAGGAGTTCACAGTCATCTGTATATCTATGTATCTTCTTCCCGGTCTCAGTAAGCTGTACCATTTGGGATCAGCGTGATGCGAAGAAAGCCCAGCTCTCTGTCCTTGAGATAGCCTCGTGCATAATTGAACGCGTGGACTCTATGGGCGAGACGAATGACTACATTTACATAGGAGTTGTATTTTCCTTTCTACTTACCATGATCCCAACCTTTTGCAGGCTCTGTGTGGTAAGATCTGAGTATGTGTGTTTCGCAGGTGTGTTTCAATTCTTCAGTTCCTTGCAGATCACTCTTGGGAGCGATACGGAAAAGGCCAGCGAGATAAGCTACATTTACATACCCCAGTTGCTGTGGGAAAAGTCATCGTCTTCATTTTTTACTCTCCTGGGGTTTGCCTTTGGCGAGGCTAAATGGGAGCGCACGGTGCTGGCCCTGGGCTTCATCCAGCGGCTCAGCCTGACTCTCATACTGTTTATCATATTTGCAGTGGCGGAGCGTACTTTCAAGCAGCGTTTTCTGTACGCCAAACTGTTCTCGCACCTAACATCATCGCGAAGAGCACGCAAATCGAATTTGCCGCACTTTCGCTTGAACAAGGTGCGCAATATCAAGACCTGGTTGAGCGTACGATCCTATCTAAAGGTGCGTAATCATGCTATTTTATTTAACACAAGTTCCTTTGACTAGTTCTGTAAATCTCCTGTAGAAACGTGGTCCGCAGCGGTCGGTTGATATTATTGTATCTGCCGCATTTATCGTGACCTTGCTACTGCTCGCCTTTCTCAGTGTTGAGTGGCTGAAGGACTCGGTTCACCTGCACACTCACCTGACGCTGGAGGCCCTGATTTGGTCGATTACGATTGGAATCTACTTGCTGCGCTTCATGACACTGGGACAAAAGATTCAGCACAAGTATCGCAGCGTGTCGGTGCTGATAACCGAGCAAATAAATTTGTATCTGCAAATCGAACAAAAGCCAAAAAAGAAGGATGAATTAATGGTTTCGAACAGCGTTCTCAAGCTGGCTGCCGATCTATTAAAGGAGCTCGAAACGCCATTCAAGATCTCTGGCCTCAGTGCCAACCCATATCTATTCACAACCATCAAGGTAGTCATATTGTCGGCACTCTCGGGCGTTCTGAGTGAGGTCTTGGGCTTCAAGTTGAAATTACACAAAATCAAAATAAAGTAAAGTAAAGACCGAGCTGGCAGGGATGGCACATGGAACATACCCATGGCATGGCGCAGATCGATCATATTTTTGTAGTACAATTTATTTCGAGACGCTTTGAGAAAATATAAAATTAAATACATGTCTCCATCTAGAGTAGTTTAATGAATAAACTTAAGTAAGCCAATGTTTATGATTGTCGTGTGATTGTTCTACTATTGACTACGTAAACCAATATACATTATATGCTTACCATATACTACCTTTTAGAAGCGACCTGCACAATCACAAATCGTCAGTTAACTGAAATTGTGTAATGAATCCGCACCGAAGTTCATAGAACTTGTAGCATAGATGTTATGCACGTTTCGTAACATCCTGAATACTATCTTAGAAAATCTCAAGTTCGAATCCCAAAATATTAATAAATATATTATTCAAGTTAAAAACATAATCTTTTGAATCTAACGGACCTTTCGAGATCTCTTGGCATTGGAGCTGCTAACGCCCGGCGGAGTAGGGCTGCCAACCTCTCGTTATTTCTGCGATCGCACAGCTGGTGTTGTTGCAATCGTTATCACATACCGCCCACGCATAATCGATACTGACGTAACATCAACCAATCGCACTTCTGCAGCATTTTTCTGTAGTTTTTAGTTTTCCTATTCCAATAAATCATTGTGCAAAATGCTTAGGCTTAAAATATTGCTCAGAAATGTGGTATCAACGAACTTGCTCCGAACCCAGACACGTTTGCTTCACGTTGGCGAGGCGAATGTCTTGCCCAGCGAGGTGGACAAGCAATCGGCCGAATACAAGGTATAAGCAATTTGCGTATTTCAGGAAATATTCTATAGCCCGAGTTTTTGAATAGGACAATGCCAGCGAGATGGGGAAGCTTGTCACAGAGCTGCGCAACCTCACTAGCCAAGTGCTGACGGGTGGCGGTCAAAAGGCCAATGATAGGCACACCTCACGCGGCAAGCTGTTGGCCAGGGAACGCATTAATTTACTTCTGGACAAGGGTTCGCCTTTCCTGGAACTTAGTGCTCTGGCTGGTCACGAACTGTACGGGGAGGAAGTGGTCAATTCTGGCGGGATAGTAACTGGAGTGGGCCGGGTCTGCGGGTAGGTCGTGCATCATACTATTGTCCCTCTAAATATGATTTGAGAACATTCTTTTAGCACTGAATGTGTTGTCGTGGCCAACGATGCTACTGTCAAGGGTGGCAGCTACTACCCCATAACTGTGAAGAAGCATCTGCGTGCCCAAGAGGTTGCCCAGGAGAATAGACTGCCGTGCATTTATCTTGTGGACTCCGGTGGTGCTAATCTGCCGCGCCAGGCCGAGGTTTTCCCCGACAAACTGCATTTTGGGCGCATATTTTACAACCAGGCAAACATGTCAGGCCAAGGCATTCCCCAAATTGCCGTTGTCATGGGAAGCTGTACGGCCGGAGGAGCCTATGTCCCAGCCATGGCGGATGAGAGCATTATTGTGAAGAAACAAGGAACCATTTTCCTGGCTGGTCCCCCATTGGTGAAAGCTGCGACCGGAGAGGAAGTTTCCGCCGAAGATCTGGGCGGTGCTGATCTCCACTGCAAAACTTCGGGTGTCACGGACCACTATGCTGTCGACGACGAGCACGCTCTGTACTTGGCCCGCCAGATCGTTAGCAACCTGAATCTGCCCGCCACGAACTCATATAACGACCAGCTGCTGCACTCCAGTCAAGCGAACTTCAAGAAAGACAACACTTATGTTCCTGCTGCAGTAGAAGAGCCGCGCTATGATCCCCTCGAGCTATACGGCATTGTGGGACCTAATCTTACCAAAAGCTTCGATGTCCGCGAGGTAATTGCCCGAATCGTGGATGGCAGTCGCTTCACCGAGTTCAAGAAACTTTTCGGCGAGACTTTGGTCTGTGGTTTTGCGAAGCTCTATGGGCACAGGGTAGGAATTGTCGGCAACAATGGTGTCCTCTTCTCGGATAGTGCTCTCAAGGGCGCCCATTTCATTCAGCTCTGTGCACAGCGCAAGATTCCTTTGGTCTTCCTGCAGAACATAACAGGTGAGCTAGCACCGCCACTTGGCTGACTACTCCTTTCATCCGACTGAATGCTCTTCACTTTGCTAGGTTTCATGGTTGGGCGCGATGCCGAGGCTAATGGAATTGCCAAAAATGGAGCTAAGATGGTTACAGCTGTTGCATGTGCAAACGTCCCCAAGTTTACAGTGATAATTGGTGGGTCGTACGGTGCTGGAAACTACGGGATGTGCGGACGGGCCTATTCGCCGAGATTCCTCTACATGTGGCCTAATTCGCGCATCTCTGTGATGGGAGGCACTCAGGCAGCCAATGTATTGGCCCAAATCACTCAAGATCAGCGGAAGCGAGCCGGCAAAGAGTTCACCGAGGAAGAGGCCCAGAAACTAAAGGCTCCCATTGTGGAAATGTTCGAGGCAGAGGGCTCACCGTACTACAGTACCGCTCGTTTGTGGGACGACGGCATCATAGACCCGGCCAATACACGGCAAGTGCTGGGCCTGAGCCTAAAGGCAGCCCTCAACAATGCTGGACACGACACGAAGTTTGGCGTTTTCCGCATGTAAATTTGATTCGCATGCGGGTGTAATTAACACTGGGATATGTGCATTTATAGACATTTAATGTCCTGCCACTATATTGAAACTGTTGCATTTATTAGTGTTAAGTGAATTGTTGTTGTTTCTGTAAAGGTCCATGGAGTATCTATTTTTGAAATGAATTTTAGCTAAAATAAATATTTTTAAATTAAACGACCTGAACAATGGAATGGGAAATAATTTGTTCTATAACTCGTATTTTTTTATTCGGATAAACTGCGGACTCGGATGCAAATGTTCAAATTACCCGCAACGTGCAAGTAAAATTATGTAGACAGGTGTCTCTGTGAAAATTTCATCCCCCTGTAGTTGACATGTATCAAAAATCATCCCTGTGTAGTTGCCAGTAGCAAGCAAATTCAATTTTGTCAAACTCACTTTTTAAGCATATTTTATCAAACAGTGAAGCAAAAGAAGTACTTAAAATCAGCTAATCTTGTAGAAAATTGATTAATTTATGGGATAAAATTATATTTTCTGTCCTGAAGGTGCTAGCTACCTAGAAATACTAAGCCGAATATCAAAATCGAGGAATGTCATTTTCGATCATGAACAAAAAAGGAGGATTTTCATGATTTCCAACACTAGTCAAATCTAAAAAGCAAAGCGGCTCGTCTCGGTTTGTCACAGGGCAAATTTTTCGCATTTCATGTTAAAACACAAGTCTAAATAAAACTAAAAGTATCATCGAGCATTAGTTCTAACTAAAACTCGTTAATAACTATAAAGGTGAGTGGACTATTTGCCGGAACGAAGTGTGACTGTGTGTGGGCTTGGTTTCATCTGTGTGTGCGTGCTGGTAAATGTTGCGGCTATTTTGCCTGTTTTTGCACAAAAAACTTGAAAATGGCAAAATCTAGAAGTAGCGTCAGCAAAAAAGAAAGTTCATCGGAGAGTGGCGGAGTGTATGTGGCGATTTTAAAATAACTTTGCCGAAAACTTCAAGTGCACTCTTGAGTCGGTCGCGTGCAGGGAAAGGGGAAAATATCTGTACATTGTGGAAGAGAATCTGGTGCATTGGTGTGCGTGTGTTGTATATTTAAATGTCGCCTGCTGCTGCCGCTGCTGCTGATACCGTTCTCTGTTCCCGGTTCCCTGTTCCCTCCTCCAAAAATAAATTATTTTCGTGAGTGCGGCGTCCTTGTATGTGTGCGTGTATGTCTGCTGGCGAGCCTGCTGCTGCTTACTTGAAACAGCGTCAGCGGAGGCCGCAAAAATTCCATTGCAGTGGCTAATCTGCCTCGTCACTTTCCCCGCCCTTCCGAAAGAGCAGACCATATTTTCCTATGCTCATTCAGGTTTCAGGTGTTGATTGTGTTTTCCGCTTTGGCTTCCACTACCATGACGTCATTGCATGTTTCAACTCTTATATGGTCTATGTGTCAAGCCCCCGCAGTCGTTAAGTGGTAAAATGTGTGTTTGTGTGTGTCCCTCTGTGCGTGTTTGTGTGGGTCCAGTTACCAACATTTCTTCGATTCTTTTAGATTGTGTTACTATTTGTATTGGATAAAATAAAACACTGGCGACCCCGACGACGCCGACGCAGCTCTTTCGGTGGCTGTTGGCTCTTCTTGCCGCTTCTCGGCTTCCATTAGGTTTCTCCACTTACACACGCACTCGTCTGTGTCTTCGGGCGGTTTTTGCTCGTATTATTCGCATATTTATTTTCTGTTTTTGACACACTTCCACACTCGCTTTCTTCCCCGGGGAGATTGTCTCATATTATCAATACGAATATGGAGGATTAACGAGCATTAACGAACATATGATCAGTTGTTTCTCTCTCCCCGCCCCCCCTTAAAAGTGGTTTACATTTATGGCTCTCCTATTCGGCGCTTGTTCTGCCTAATTGGCGCGGAAACAACTTCCGCTGTAGCCCCGCCAGCACGCCCACACCCAGCGTAGCCGCCATGGAATCGACAGCCATAACAAAGCACAATCCCCAACTTGTTGTATTTGGGGCATGGCTATTGTGGCTGCCCCTGTAGGCTGCTGCTGCCGCTGGGGCACACTTAAATCAATAAACCAGGAACAAATCGCTCGCATTTGAATTGAAGTTCCGCCCTTTCGGGTCAATGCACTTTAGGCACACACACAGACACACAATAGCAAAGTGAGAAGGTAGCGTGGAAAGTCTCCCCAACGCGCACACACACACACACACTCGGGAAATGAGTCGGATATTTATAGGCTGGCTCCCAAATGCCGGCTAATTCTTTATCAGCTTCGTGGCTGCTGTGGCCCACGTTTCTATGTTGGCTCGTTGGCCAAGTTGACATTGATAATGCCAATGACGAAGACCGGCAGACGGACAGACCACCAGAAAGGCAGCCAGTCAATCCGGACGGCCGACCCAGCCCATGAGTAATCTTCATCTCCAAGAAAGCAGTGACTGAGACGTCAGCATCGGCAGCGAAGCGTTGACAACGCAGCTCCGTCGCTCAGCCGCAGGCCTCAGACCCCAGACCCCAGACCCCAGACCCAGGCCCAGGCCCAGCCACAGTGCAAGTTCATTGTTCGCGCGCTCCAGTGCTGCTGCCTGCCTCTGAGCGTTCTTAGTTTCCATTTCTCCTGATTGCATTTAATGCTCGCGTAAGTTTCGAGACTCGAACGAAGCGACACACGAGAATCATCTAGAGGGTTTAATGCCTTCTTAATCGCCAGATTTTAATAATAGAAGTTCAAAACGTAGAGAAAACAAATAAAATAGATCGTAGAGCTATGCGAAATTCGAACAACTCGATTCGATTTAGGGGCGGAAGAAAAATATACTCCATTGCGAGTAAGTGCCTACGAGACGGCCTCTTCTATGCTCTCATAAGTTTTCAAGAACGGCAAGGGACTTCAAGATTCATGCCTAGTTGAGTTTGATCATAGGATATGTATGCACTGCACCGCTCTTGTACTATTGAAGGGTTTTGTCTTTTTGTAGGCGTGTATACATTCGCCTACTCCTTGATCTGTATTGAATCATTTCCAGTTGTAAAAATGATATTGTTGAAATTTTTTTGAGCATCAGAGCAGGCACTTTCCAATAGCTCTTTCCAAGGTGGAATAGTCAAAATGTATTATAGCATTTGAACACAGCTGTGATAGATACAAAAATTTTAAAAGTGGTTCCGGAAAATACGATAATTGGCAGAGAGAGAGACTTTTCCAGCCGAACAATCGAACCGAACTTCAGTCTAATAACTCAAATAAAGTGGCAAAGCAACTTTCATATCATCATTTGCCAAGTAAGAAACAAGAAACACAAATTCTACAAATTCATGGGGCGAGTGGTGCAACGGTAATCATTTTCTGGCTGCCGCTGGCCTGGTCCGCGGATCATTATCATTATCGTGATCTTGATATTGAACACGCACATGGGCAATGCTTGAATGCATCCCCGTAGCCAAAACAATTATTAGCAACCGGGTAATTAAAAGTTGTTCATTCGCTTGGTGGGGGGAGGGGCGGCCTACACCCACACACAGGCCACACGGGCCACAGAGGCCTCGGGGTATTGATGGAGATGTGCCTTATATGCAGAGCTCACATACCATTAAGCAACTAATTCCAGATCTTTGTTTCATTTCAGTATCGCTCAAGAAAAAGTACGAGAATCAACAGCGCAATATGGCCGTTAACGTGTACTCTACAAATGTGACTTCAGAAAACCTATCGCGCCACGACATGCTCGCCTGGGTGAACGATTGCCTCCAGTCGCAGTTCTCCAAAATCGAAGAGCTCTGCACGGGTAAGTGCCCATGAAGCTGAGATGATGAAGTCATCTGGGAACTAGTAATTAAAAAATGATACCTTTTTAGGTGCCGCATATTGTCAGTTCATGGACATGCTGTTCCCCAATTCAGTGCCCGTCAAGCGTGTCAAATTCCGCACCAATCTGGAGCATGAATACATACAGAATTTTAAAATACTGCAGGCTGGCTTCAAAAAGATGTCTGTGGATAAGGTAGGGATCGAGACTGATATCTCGACATTAAAATCGACATCGATTAAGTTGTACATTTTCTTTGAGAGTTTTGATTTGATTAATGCACATCCACACGATACACGACACCCAACACCTGACACACGTACCACGGCACCTTCGCACTCTTCTTTGCGGAGGGGTGTGGGGACACGGACAATTGATATTGATATTGAGAACAGTGTAAGCCCCCCATAACGGCACTGCCGGATCTGGCGCTGACACGTTATGCGCGGCTTTCGACTGTCTGACAACAACAACACTACAACAACTACTTGAATGTCGTAACTAACTGCCGTTTCCGTTGCAAATCAACAACCTCCTCAACCCAAACAACAGATCATACCAGTTGATAAACTTGTAAAGGGACGTTTTCAAGACAATTTCGAGTTTTTGCAATGGTTTAAAAAGTTTTTCGATGCCAATTACGATGGACGCGAGTATGAGCCCCTGCAGCAGCGCGGCGGCGTCCAAATCGGCAACGGCAAGGGATCGGGCGGTGCCATCATCAGCAACGGAGGCAGCGGCGTGGGCAGCGTCCACAACGATATCCACATGATGCATCGTAAGGGAGCTCAGGCACCCCAGCCCAAACGCCTGGCGCCGAGCGTCCCTGCTAATGAACCGGGTATGGACTTGTGCGGCTTGCGGATTGCGTGTAGCAACGAATTTCTTTTGGTGTTGGTCATCGACTATTTGTTTATCCAAGTTACATTCAAGTTCCAAGATGCGAGCGAACGTGAAGCACGTGGCGACCACCCACCAACCAAACACACCCGCCAACCCGCACACACCTACACACCCAAGCACAAGCACACACAGCACCCAGACGCATCCCAGCACCAAATACTCGAGTCCCAATCGGATGAACTGTTGTTGTCTTACATCCCACGCCACTATAAACCCGTACTAAACCCCAATAATCCCCCTCCCCATCACACTCGTAACATTGCGGACGGAAGAGGTCTTTGAACATTTGGCTTGCCAAAGAAACAACAACACCTGTTACTGTCGACGACATGTTTTTGATGTTCTCTCTGTGTAATGTCCAGGTTTTTCGTTGGTTTTGTGTTTGTGTCTCCCCTCCCCCATTTTGCATTGGGCTTTTCTCCACCACACACTCTCACCGCTCTCTGCATATTTCTTACACATTTTATTTTTAGATAATACCCATTGACAAATTGATAAAGGGTCGCTTCCAAGATAATTTCGAGTTTTTGCAATGGTTCAAAAAATTCTTCGATGCTAATTACGATGGCAGGGACTATGATGCTAGCGGAGTGCGCGAGGGCGCGCCGATGGGCTTCGGTTCGGGTGCAGTGAAGTCCCTGCCCGGCACGGGCAGCAGCGGCGTGGCCAGCTCTTACAGGCGTACCCCAGCGACAGCAACGCGCCCGACAACGACAGCAACAGCAAAGCCCAGTATGTTGTTTTTGGTTTGGTTCCCTCTCTATCTTCTCTATCCCAGTATTTACATAGCTCTATATTCTAAGTTCCAATTTACCCCCCACTCAATGGTCAGACATTTGTGCATACTTTCGTCAATGTAGATCATACTCCCTTCCGCCTCACATTCCTCATATTGTCGTAGTTTAACAAAACTGAATGCACATTTCCAAAGTGATTCCAAACGATAAACACACACACATAAAAGACGAAACGCTCTCGCGTTTCGAACGTGCTTCACGTTTGTTAAATCTGTCTCGAAAGGAAATACGTTGCCTGCCCACGTGATTGCGGCTGGTTATTCGGTGGTCGTTGTTAAATATTAATATTGACTTTTGTATCGCCCATTTAAGCAGTCTCCAAGGTTCTGCCGCGCACGAGCAGTACAGTGTCTCATAGCAGAGTGGCTACCGCCACCAATATCACAGGAACAGTGAAGAAGATCGATGCGAGCAATGCCGTCAGTACTCAGCAAATCGACGAGCTATCCAGCCAGGTAGCTACAGCTACAGCATTTTTCCCAGCGATTGCATTCATCACAATTCTTTTCTCATCAGGTCATGGAAATGCGCATAAACCTGGAAGGTTTGGAGAAAGAACGCGACTTTTACTTCTCAAAATTGCGCGATATTGAAATACTGTATGACTCGTGACCCGTTCCCAATGAGATCCCTTCTAACTATCTAATCCAATCTTGCAGTTGCCAGGAGGCCGAGGAAGGGGTGACCACTCCGTTGGTGCAAAAGATATTGGACATACTCTATGCGACTGAGGTACCATCTGCCCCAGCAAATTTATTATGTAAGTTTTAATGTTCTTTTTTTGTGTGTATGTTTGGACTTCTAGGATGGTTTTGCGCCTCCAGACGATGCACCACCAGAAGATGAGGAGTATTAGGAGTTATTTAAAACGAAACAGCCCACGACACACCACATCAACGTCTGCAAACATTTTCAAACCAGCATGAGGATAAGCAAGAGATAGACACACACGTGTTGTATGAAACATAATAACCCAAGTAATGGCCACATAACAAGGATACGCGCGAACAAACAGCCACTAAACTCGTCAACTCCCCAGCAGCAAATCCCCTGAACATTTCCAAACATTTGCCTTTATTTTTTGATTCGAATTTGATGCTGCTCCACTGCTCAATTATTCTAAAATCGTGCCTAAGCTGGATCCAAACAAAAACAAATTCTACATTAGTCAGCATTTTCTATCTAAATTTTTGTGTGTTTGACAGAATAAACTCAACATTCACTAAATTGTAAACCACAAAATTCTCCCATTGACAAAATTGTTCACTACTGTGCATCGAAAAAGTGTTAAAAGTTCTTCAGTTCAAGGAAGACATGCTTTTTCTTCTTTTTGACATGCTTTTCAAGAAATTTAATAAATTTATCATTTTCATGCATTGTATTTCCTCACTTTGATGGTTTTATGTGACGATCAAATGAATCGAAGTTGTACAATGTGAAAAGCAAACATTGTAATTGTATTTATCTATTTTCAAAATTCTACAAAAATTGGCTGCATAATATAATATGAATATAGATCTTAAGTGATTTTTGCTCTCGATTCTGTTAGTTCTATATCTATGTGTAGAACAAATTGAACAATGTTAAAGAGTTTAAATAAACACAAACATCTTTCTAATTTCTAAAAACCGTCACGTTTCATTTCTATTTTATTTGATTCTCGAACACATTCCCTACTATATGTGCTAGTTGTGCGACTGGAGCTGTATATTCAAGTTTATTCCTTGGACCATTTAGTGGTTCTGTTCTCATAAAGCACAACCTTAGTTTTGGGACCGTTGTAAATATTTTGTTAATGCTTGTAAAATCATACTAAATATATACATACATACATACAAAGACATACTCATCCAAGAGTCGTGCATAGTATAGTGTTCGTACACAATTGATAGGCATTTATTAATCGCGTGTATAAATAATGTTCTATTATCTAGAATAAAATCAATATGTTGCTTGACTCAAACAATGCATTTCTGATTTCATATACATATGTACGTACAATACAAGTAAGCAGGAAACTATTTAACGGCTGCCTGGATTTCCGGCTGCTTGTGCGTGCCGTCGCAGAAGGGTCGGTGGGAGGTCTGCTTACAGTTGCAGAGCCAATAGTCGCCAGACTTCTCCACCTTAAACCGTATTGGCCTGGAAAGGAACTTGGTTACAGATATCTCGTAGAACCCTGTGAGCGACTCACCTCAGCTTTATTTTCAGAAACTCATTCTTGTGCGTGCCATCGCATATTGGCTGCGATTTGGACTTTCCACAGAGGCACCAGGAGTATGTTTTATCTGTGGGTGGTACGGGGAGATCGGATGTTATGTTGTGGTTATGTAAACTTTTGAAGTGAATGTTTTTCTGCAGCTGTGTGAAACGAACCCTTGTCTAGGTGTATCTTGAACGGTCGCTTATCGAAAATTACTCCATTTTCCTTCTGCAATACAGCAGTTTGTTTGTCTTCGACCAAGTTCTTGGGAATTGTTTTGGCAGTGGCATCTCCCGACTGAGAGCTGGAGCTATAACAGACCTGCTGGGTATGCACATAGATTAGTTGAAGTTATACGCAACTAAAATAAAGAGCTGCAAAATTACCTTTAAAAGCCCGGGTGTGCGAAGGCTGCGTTTTAATATTATTGACATATTTCGGTTTTTTCTAATGGATATTCCGATTATTGAACAGCAGCCGCGATAAACATATGTTTTCCAGGGCTGGATCGCCAGGTTATCGAAATCGTCAATTTGGTATCACTGCCCAAGGTCGCCCCGTCCTCTCGTGGAACACTATGATTGTCACAATTTCTAAATCTGTTTTTGGTGATAAGAAACTGTGTCTCAGCACTTGAACAGATATGATTATGATGCGTCTTAGAGGCAATTCAATACATACACACATCTATGAACCTGCTTGTGGCCGACTCCACCACGAAGGTTCTTCCATTTGAAATTCGAATACCCAAAAACTATAGTCATGAGATACTTAAGATAAGATGCCAAAGTGTACCCGCCTTTATCAAGCAGCCCCATTACAAAAGCTAGCTGATTAGCTTCCCATTCTAACAACTCCCAGAGTTATAATACACACTTTATTTGAAAAATACTTAGGTTAGATGTTTAAAACTCGTCGTTGAATGGATAGTATTTATGGCCAGCCATGCCCGAGAACGGGACAGTCCGCTGTCCCGTGTGATATCCCTCCATAGCCTTAACATCCTCGGGACTCAGTTCGAAGTCGAAGACTTTGAAGTTTTCCTCAATGCGCGTCTTGTTGGAGGACTTGGGCAGTGGCACGACACCAATTTGAATGAGATATCGCAGGCAGATCTGGGCAGTAGTTCGTCCATACTTCTTGGCCAACTGTTGGGCCTGATCATCGTAGATGAACGCCGGCCACTGGCGGGCGGGCTGGGGACGTGCCAGCGGGCAGTAGGCACAGATCACCAGGCCGTGCTGCTTGGCATGCTGCCGCAGCTTCTGCTGCTGGAAGCCCGGATGACATTCCACCTGGTTGACCACCGGCTTGATGCGGCAGTCCGCCAGTACACGCTCCGTCTGTGCGGCGTTGAAGTTGGATAGGCCGATGCTGCGGGCGAGGCCCAGGTCCACCAGCTTCTCCATCTCCCGCCAGGTGTCCAGATAGTCCACATCCGTCAGCTCCAAAGTGCCATGGACATTGCTGTCGTTGTGGAACTTCTGGCCAACGGGCAGATGCATCAAGTACATGTCGATGTACTCCAGTCCCAGGTTGCTCAGGCTCAGTCTGAAGGCGCGCTCCACCAGTTCGGGATCGTGATGGATGCCACCCAGTTTCGTGGTGACAAAAACGTCCTCCCGCTTGATCACTCCCTCCGCTATTTTCTCTCGAATCGCCTGGCCCACCTCCTGCTCGTTCTCGTAGACGAATGCGGTGTCGATGTGCCGGTAGCCAATGTCAATGGCATTGCATGTGGCCTGGTAGGCCTCCGACTCGAACGACTTCCAGGTGCCCAGGCCGAGGACGGGCATTTCCTGGCCATTGCTCAGTTTGATTTTCGGCGCAAGATTTGCCATTTTGTAGATAATTAGTACGAATCAAACGTTTGTTACTAGATTGCGACGCGACTAGAACTATTTTTTTTTTGTAGATTTTAGACAAAGCAATCTGTTCCAGCACGTTAAAAAAAAAACGGCCTTAGCCCACTTAAGCCTCTTATATTTAACAAGCCTCTTAACAGTTCAACGACTTGAGTTAAATGGCGGAAAATAATAGTGTTTGTAAGTTATTCTCGTAGATCCGTCCTATCCTTCCTATTTACTTAAAAAAAAAACGACGATATCTTTCACCTAAACTGCGCTAAAATGATTTTATTTGCATTATTTTCAGTGGAATATTAAAATACCCCCTTGGTCTGCAACGGGTTAATCGTTTTCCGTCAAGATTGGAAGCCATTCCTCCATTTTGATATTCGATTTGATATTACTGGCTAGCTATGACTTTCATACCTGAGCACATAATTTTATTTGATTGACAGATACATTTTCTACATGATTGGCTAGTTTTTAGTACTCCCTTTTATTGATTTATTCCCAAAATAGGGTTTAAACAAATAAAGTACAAAAAATAACGTAAATGTGTCTGGAAAGTTACGTCATTGTTGCTGGCCAACAGGTGTCCCCTGCGAGTATGGACATCTTTATACCCTATTTTATTTAATTAACACTAAAATTATGTTTTCCAAGCTCATTTGTAACATTAGTAATGACTTCTTCTCAGATTGACATGTCTTAGACCTATTCATGCATTTGATTAGCTTCCTGTATAAACACTTAGATCGACAACGGTACCTATTCTTGGTCTCTGTTAGAAGACCACTAACTGTAAAGTTGAAATACCGTTTAAACAGATACTGACGAGATTCTGCATTCATAAGAGCCTGGTATGACAAACATATCCGAAATTCTATAATATCCATTTCCACAGGGTATGCAGATCCGCGCAATGTTGAGGGACAATGCTTCTCGATTTCTCGGCTTTTGTGTATAGACTCATTGCTGCCTACCGGTTAAAAGAGAGCCTTACGCGATTCAAAGAGAGCGAAAAAGACAGCCTTAACCGATTTGGAGAGAGGCCAGCTGCTGTGATGACGTCACTGCCAGAGACGTCACGGTTCAAAAACCTCTTTTTCACAAGCGAGTAAAAGAAGCGAGAGTGAAAGCTTTTGGCTGGCTCGCTTGAAATTCAAATTTACCAGGGCGGGAAAACGTTTTGTCGCTAATACATAAATCTTTATTTGAATATTAGTTAAAGTTTAAAATGTTAGACAATCAAAGATACATGCTAGTTTATTCTTAGTTGCACATTTAGGGTTTGGTTTGCCTTTAAAATATTTAGCTTTCTTTGCATAAAACTCACTGGGGATCTTTGTAATAGGGGTAATCGTACTATATAGTTATGTATATTCTGTTAATATGGTTAAATAACCCTGTTCCTGGGGGAGTTACACATTATGCACATTTATTATATGTTGTCTTTGATTTCCTATTGAATATCAACTTAGTTGCCATGCCCTGGGGTTGCAACTAAATTGTTTGTTTGGTGTTTGATTCTTGCTGTGAGCTCCATTGAAAGGAGACTTCCACACTCTCTCTTCTATTACGTAATAGTCTGCTAGAGATAAATATCTCTAATTCTTATATGGTAGGTAAGTAAACTGGAGATTGTATTGCGTTAGACATGTAGACACTGATTTGAACATCAAGCTTTTGGGTATTTGTTTTAGCTACGGTTTGGTTCTCTTCTATTACGAACTAGTCTCTAGAGGTTTATTCTATAGACATGTAGACACTGATTTGAACATCTAGTATGTATGTATGTATTTTCGTTACAGTTTGGTTGTTTGGTGTTTTATTCTTACTGTGAACTCCACTGAGGAGCTTTCCACACTCTCTTCCAAATATTAATAATACGTCAAGAGAGATCTATTCTATTTCCTATCCAATAGGTAAGTAAATTTGAGATTGTTTTGGGTTATCCATGTATTAGACACTGATTTGAACATCTAGGTATACGTGCATACATATGTACATATGTATGTATCCGTATGTAGCTGATTTCCGGTTTGGTTTGTCTGCTGTTGAATTGAGCTGCATTCCATTGAGAAGCTTTCTTTGCTAAACTCTAATTTGTATCTGCAAGAGACCTATTATATTTTCTATGTGGTGGGCATTGTACGTAGACTGGAGATTGTATTGCGATTGTAGAGACGACACTGATTTTAAGATCTATGTATTTTTATATATTTATGAACCCGTACCCGTAGTTTATTGACGTCTTGTTTGTTTCGCGTTTGATTCTTCCTGTGAGCTTTATTGAGGAGACTTTCCTTATGGCAAGCTAGTCCGCTAGAGACTTTTTCTATTTCCTTTTTTTATGGTAGTACATATGTATGTATGTCTTGTAGTTAGTTGTATGTATGCATGAAATTTAGTTTCGGCTCGATCGTTAACTCATTAATCATGGTTGGCTTAAGCCTATAATGACAACGGAGGTATATACGTATAGCATGAATATCTCTAGGTTACCCGATTTAGTTAAGTTTATGCAAAGTGCTTAGTGATTTTCTTTGAAGTTAAAAGTAGAGTACAGTGTTATGTTTTTGTTTTTTTGAGATTGTCAAATCGAATCACAAGTTAAAATTTGGAATTTTCTTTTGCTAGAGTATATTACTTGCATTTATAATAAATATATATGTATATGGTATATAGCTTATAGTATACAGTATATAGTATATCGGTATTATTGAAGGTGCACAACAACAACAATGATTGTTTATTGTTGCCAAAAGTATACATTGATACATTTCCATCCTTTGACACAGATGGCTTTCTTTTCCCTATACAAGCTAGAATCTAGGTTTTACGAATCAATTTAGTTGTATATACTCGTATAGTATGTACATAAGTGTTATCCCATCTACAAATGTCTATACTATACATATACGCTAGAAGATTTGCTGAATGCCTCCTCCTCACAGGTTTGCCATGGGTGGCACATTGTGTAGATAAAGTAATTAAGGGCTTTAAACTCTTTTCATCTTACAAACTGGTCACGTACTCACGTAAAATTGGTGTTGCGTTGCATGTAAATCAATTCGAAATCGATACAAATCTTTAGTTATTAACTTAACAAGACCTTTCCGTTTCAATCGGCTCGCTATACTCAGATTATGTTCTATATATAAAAGTTTCATTGAAAATTCGTTTGCTGTTGCTGTTTTTTTTTTTTACTGGGGGAGAAACCACTGGATACTGCTGATGTCTTGGATTATAGTTGTTTATGCAAAAGAAGGACAAATATTTTGTAATACATATACACGACATATATCCTATGCATCATGGTCAAAGTTCTGGTTACAATACGTATAGGATTTGTGGTAGGTTAAGTGTTATATCGTTGTTTGAGAGACCTTTACTTGGGAGAGGAGTTGGAGTTTTTACGGCTACTACGATTCTAGAATTAACTACGATGTCTTACCAAAAGATCAACCCGCCCATGATATCTGATATGAGCTGGATTACCAGATATCACATCGGGAGCTGTTCAATTCAAAGTAATTACTTTAAATATATATTTATGTACATGTGAACCGATTCTTGTGGTCTTGCACATACTATATTACTAATTTCTACAGCTAGTAAGGTCCCTCTCCAGTGTTAATTATTTTATTGCACTTTTACATGCATGTATTCATTTTTCTTTGGCTAATTTAACGCAAAATAAACTCTGAATTATGTACAAAATAAAACAATTAAGTGTTGTGTAAATAAATATTAATAAATGTATGGGTATTTTATTTGCGACTCACGCTAAATAGGGCGTATGGTATCGAGAATTACTGAATGAAAACGAAAGTCCGAAATTACAAATTAGATATCTTATCCCCTAGGCTTAAATGTTAATAACTAGCTTCAACTAGACTGTGTAATAGTTGTAGTTTAAGGGTTCTAAAAAAATAGATTCCATGCTCTGTTGTAGTATGTTTATACAAAATACTTTGCGTAGGATATAGATATAGATATATGTAGATGTATGTACGTAGAAAAGTTGGTAGGAAGTTATGCAGTTTTAGTGCTGTTGGTTTTGATGTCGTCTCCTCTAAATGTTTAGTATCACACTCGTCCATTGTTTGTTTTGTATTAACAACGTATGTATATTCTTCTCTCGGCCTCCACTGGGACTCCTGATTCCATTGCCCCGAATGTCAAATTTGTGGTTTTGTTTCATTTCGTTTCGTTTCGTTTTGTACTAAAGCAAAAAGTTTGTGGTTCGCATTGAAATGCCTTTTGGGTTGGGTTGGGTTTCAGTTCATTTGAAAGTTTAGATAGTCCATAGTTGGGTCATAAATACTCTACTTAGCCTAGGCTAATTCGAATGCGAATGCAAACAGAAGTTTTGCAAGGGGCTGTTGTCGAGACCGCGGTTCTGGGCAGCAACAGCTAAGCTCGTATCTGTGCAGCTAATTGCAGATTGCTGGTTGATTAACACTTAACACACACATTTGGTTAGACACTTAAGTACTCTCTCTACTGGCTAATACGATCTGCTATATCTGGGCTATATTTTATCTGCTATCTGCTTATAGCTTCCTGGTGGGCTCCACCTTCTGCGACATGGCCGTGAGCACTCGCTGGTTGTCGATGACCCGAAAGCTGCTGATGTAGGAGCGCACCTCGCCCTCGCTCTTGGGTGATGGCGGCTCCAGTCCTGCCACAAATTGGTTAATTTTTATTAAAATTACGAATCGTCGGGGGCTGGCTGACAATCAATCTTACCCAAACTTCTGGAGCGACAGAAGCGTATGGTGCGCATCGTTTGGGCCATCATGTGCATCTTCTCAAAGTTCACGAGTCCGTCCAGGCTGGTCTTGTTTCCCTCGTGGGCGAAGGTCATGTCTTTCAGCAGCAGAGGCATGAACGGTATCAGGGGCGGCTGCAGCTTGCCCACAAACACGCGATAAGCCCGATGGTTGCGGCTGGGGTCGATGAGGGCCTCGAACTCCTGAAAGATTTTCCTGAACTTTGACGGTATCTTTTCCCAGGTTTGCTGCAG